ATCCTTAACGATATTTAACGATCCTCGGTGCGCCGAAGATACTCCGGACCAACGATTGTCATTTTCAACGATCTTCAACGATCCTCGGTGCCAAATATCATCCGGACGATAGTCATTTGCAACAATCCTCAGCGATCCTCGTGCCAACGATTCTCCGGACCAACGATAGTCATTTTGAACAATCCTCAACGATCATCGATGCCCAATATCTTCCGGGCCAACAATAGTCATTTTCAACATGCTTTTACTCTAGCGGCGCCCTTACCACAGATCCTACTGCCGTGACGTGCTACGTTTGTTCGCTCGCTTTCGTGTATTTGTACCGTGTTGCTCATGATCTGTGGGAACGTGTGTGCGTTGCGCAGGAACGAAAAGCTGGAGTATCAGGCGATTTCTTGCGCAAAGAAGGTTTGTATTATTGCGAATGCATTTTTGGTTTGGAGTTCGGAATGTCTCCCTGCGAAATACAGCCAGTCGCGGCTAGGTTAGGCGTCGATTGCAAGTGCCACGGATGCCTGGTAGTCCTCGGGCATGCGTGGTTTTGTACCGACGAGCCTCCTGGGTGCCCCTGAGAAGGACCATTAGAAAATACTTTTGTTTACGCGAGAGAATTAGAGTTTTTACAGTGCCGAAGCACGAAAAACATCGAAATGATACACAGACAGTGAGGGGCCCCAATAAGGCGGTGTCGGGGCAGCTGATAATGACCGCCTCATAACGGGGCAGCCGCCTTTTTCAATGTGCCTTCAATGTCAGCCGATTTCACCCGCCTTATATAGGGCGACCCTAGACCGCCTTATGCGGGACCCCACTGTATGCACATTTAATAAAGAACTTTAATTAAGAACTTGTAACTGGAAAGCAAGTCTACTCACTTCTCCACGCTCTTCTGTGCGTTGCATTTACGAGTGCCCTACATCCGCCACGTCATCCGAATTGCCACAAGCTACGAAACCTGTTTTTTGGGGCCGTGCACCACTTGAAGGAGTGGGACGTGGTACAGTATTAGAACCCGGGTCTTGTGCCGCCAAAATCAGACTTTGCACCGCGACGCCAATGCGAAAAGAGAACCGTCCTCCATAGACGTTCGGGGAGATGCGACCCTTGTTCAGGTCTCGTTGGCATTTATATCTCAGACACGACGGTCGCCGCATCTCTTTCTCCAAAAACTTCATTTATTCCCACTTGATCGGTGATCCGCAACAGAGAGAGGGCTATCGAATCTACTGATACATTCTGACTGGGCGATGAACGCTGATTGGTGATAAGCCCATCTAAAATATTTACTTCCACACGACAACAACCAGACAAACCACAGGATGCTCTCGGTTGCGATCCCAACTCGAAAACACAAGTCTTGAATCACTCTTGTACTTCACTCCTTCTACCATTACGCCACGACTACCTAATTGGTTTAATTTCTTGTTCTATATCTCGGTCTGTCTCCTTACCCATGTATCCCGATTACGTAGACGGGATGGCAAAAAAACAACGCACGCGACAAACTTACGTCCGCTTGTGCACTAACAAGGAAAACGAAACAATGAGCCGAAGGGATCGGCCTAAACCCAATCCGCCGCTTTAGGCCTGTGCACCCCCCTCCCCGCCTACGTCCTCTTCCTCATCCCAGTCCCATCCAAGGGCGGCCGCATTCATCCCAGCGAAGTTGTCATCTCCATCGATTGCGCTGCAGTTAAACGCCGCGAAAAGCAGCCGCTCCTTCATGACCTGCAAGACAACATATAGGCAGAGATGAATAGCGCGCAAGTTTTTTCGGGTACAGGAACTGAATTTGTGTCAGTGCTTGCTGTCGAGGTAAACCCTCGAAACGAAGACACCACGCCAACATTTTGTACCTGTACTAGAAACACACTGCCAGATCGACCAACCCGGTCTAAAGAGACAAGCGAGTTGCTTAGTCGGAAGGCGTGGGCCTCTCTATCTTCTACTGTAGATCGACACACGTTACTCTGGCACACCAGGCCGGCTATTATGCTTGCCCGCGACACATCCATAGCATACACCTAAACATTCGAAACAGTTGAGATGCATTAGGTCAGATAGTAGGTCAGATCGTGCTTCAAACGCATGAGGAGAAAGCGATCGCGGCCTGTGGTCATCTCCAGAGGGCATGTGCAAGCGCGAAACTAAGCTCTGGACATAAGGCTTACGGCATCGAACTCAGAAACCAACATGATGCGAACGTCTCCGCCTGCCTCTCATTTTACTTACACGAACAGGCTCAAAGAACACAGCCGCAGCTGCGAATTGCGTTCGATGTTACTTAACGACAACGGGCGCCCGACGAGTCTTCGCGGTTGTTCATCTACTCGGTTGTTCTTAGCGGTCAACATTCTTCCCATTCCGAAAGGTTGAGCTACTCTTCATTGGAGATCTTCCTCGGAGTACAGGATGATGGTCTGGTGACGCTGGAATGAGGTTCCCACTTCTTATACTTCAGTACATCGGAAAGAAAAGAGGCCCGCTCCTCTTGCGACCAATTCACATCGCAATACAATCAGTTCGGACGAAAAAAGGAAGCAATGCCACTCGTTACTGTAGGCCGGCGTGCCTCGAGAGAGCTGTAGGCCGGCAGCTCCAAGCTGAAGAAGCACGTGTGAGCCACTGGCAGATAGTCGTCTGCGGGAGAGCGCGCGAAATTCTGCAGCTTGAAGCGCTGGCTGAAGCCCTCCGCCGTGAGCGGTAGCCTCGTCCTGAGAGGCACACACAGCGTTGTTGTTCAAGGCGCACAACTTTGATATGAGAGGGAACTGTCGTTGGTATTGATGCGGGCACCCGTAACCAGGTTCAACAAAGCAACAAGCACCAAATTCCGAAGTGTGCGGAAATTGGCGTCATGCGAGGTTCTTAGAAAAAGGTCGTCGTGGGATGTACCCAAATAACTTTTACACACAGCAATCGGAAAAGCGACAAATCGTTTCGTTGTCGTTCCGCAACAGCATTTGTTCAGCTTACCGTCCCCAGGTGAACTTGATGAGCATCGATCGCTCTTGTGGGGTGAACTCGCGCAACGCCTGCCAAAAGAACTTGATGTGCGGCTGCTCCTTCCTGCACCCGGAGTACTCCGCGATCGCCTGTGTGTCGTCCAGTGTGCGGATGACGCGTACAGTGCTTAAACGAAAACTTCGGACGGGTGCGATACGCTTTGCTACCATGTACTTGCGCAAGACGAGCAGCGTGGGTCACGCCTTTCTCCTCTGCAACATGAACGTCCCCCTGAGTGCAATTACATCCATTGTTGAATGTTTTTTGTGTCGTGTGATACGTTCGCCAAAGGAAGACCCGTGATCGTAGCAACCGAGCTACCGGAACAAGGAGACAGTCCTCGTTTCTATCGACATCGACTATATTGGCAAATACTACTAGCTGCAAGGTTTGTTTTTTTCTACAGGGGCGGCAGGGTGGTGTGCCTGTGGAAGAAAGAAATTACCTCGAGGAGGTCGACGTCCACTTCCGGCTTTCCGCAGACCATGGTCTCCACCTCGTCCCAGTTGAACATTCCCAGAACCTAACGATGCGAACAGGCATCGCAAGCAAGTGTGGGAATGGAGGGGTAAACCGAGCGTGTGATAGGAGGGGCTCGGATGAGTGAGTTGCGAAAACACACAAAAAGACGTTCAAACCAAAGTAAGTTGGCAAAGCCGATGCACTCGGTGCGCGAGCTGGATCTCACATGGCCCTGTGCACATTCCGAAATAGGCACCAACAGGTGAGCTCACCGTCAGTGGTACCACCATTGCCAATCCCTTCCGGATGTGCTTGACCATGCTGCAGCATTCAGACAGACGCTGCTCCTCCATGAGGTCCGCGTACCTAGCCCGGTGGTTAGGGTAGGTTTCGCGCGCACGACGACATAGCAAAGAAGGGGCCGCAGCAAATCCACGCTAAGGAATAACGTGGTTGGTTCCACTGCCCTAACGACCTCCAGAACACGACACTAAGACGAAGACAGAAATGGGGGTGGGAGAAAACAACGTGTACAGGCAAGAATAACCATCAACCACGCGAACAAAAGGAAATCCTCTCGAAACCCATTGCGATGGAGCGCGTGCGAGTTAGGGAGCCAAGCAAGTCGAACTTAAGGAGGGTACAGGATCAAGGGATGGTCAACTCACTCGAAGCGGTTGTCCCACGTGACCGATATGTTCTTGCCGCCTGGCTTGAGCTCGACCTCTCTATTATCGAGAGAAACTGCGGTGAAGTTCTCCATCACGATGTCCGAGAACAGCGTACGGGTGACACCTGCGATGTGCGGCGAAAGCGTTGGCAAGCACGGTCGTTGGGGGTTAAGGGATTGTGACCCAGGTTGAGTGACGCCATTAAGATCACGTCGGCTGTGAAGCGGACGCTTGATTGGGTCAGCACCTATTTAGCACCTTAACCTATTCCTGTTCTCTGCACCGATGTACTGCAGACAAGCTTAAGCTTTACCCTTTTGGTCAATGGTGCGGATGTCCTGCATGCTCCTGGTGAGCAGCACGTCCACGTTCTCGAGGTCTGAAAGCTGTACTTCCTGCCCCACCAGCGCCTTCCACACCACCACCGACAGGTTCAGGCCGATGTATTCCTTCGACCTGTTGGTCGGGATGATGTGCCACCGAACGCCACCAGTGTGCATTGGACGAGGGAAGTATGGTTGGTTGGGTGCCTGTTGTGCTTGCTCAGTCTTTCTTTTATCCATTCCTTCATCCAGATGTCAGATGGCGGTGCTGGTCGTACTATTCAGCCCGTAGTGAAGAGGAATATTGATCGAACTCGGTCGGTCTTGCTACGATACTCATGAATGAGGAAGTGGAGCAGGCGAGACCTACCCGTCTTACTATTGCCTCTGTGGAATAATTTTCACTTGTGTGCGTGCTGTTGCTGCTTTTGCAGAATAAACATGCTTCAAGTAGATAACTAGGGTACTTAATGGCCCCCGCCCCCCCACTGGGGGCGCGGGGGCCCGAATCGCAAGCGAGAGTAATCGACGGCGGTGAAAAGGGAGATAAGAATGAAGATGGCGAAGAAGTTGGAAAGCTGATGAGAATTTGTTCCCGTTCGCGGGTGAGAGTGGAAAGGCGTGGCACCGCGCAATGTGTGGTGAGAACGCACGGGTACCTGTATGCGAAGGTGATGAAGGCTTGCGAAAAATAGATATTTTTGTGGAGATGCTATTATCACCCTAGTAGTGCCGCAAAGGTTCGCTTGACGCTAACGCCCTGGCAATGTACTGCAGTTCTCTGACTGTCTAGAGTTTGAATTGAAGAATGTGTGGCTTGACATCGAGTGACAACATCTTTCCCATCGTCGTACCCGTGAGTTCCAGAATACAAACGACCATGAGTAAAGGGATCCAACGTCAAATCGAAACATATGCATCCGAACCGTAAGCCCTTGGACACGGTGAACAGTCATCATACCGAATACAACCTTTTCGGAAACTGGGTTCGCTTGACGCTACTGTAACGCCCTGGTGAGTGGCGATGAAAGTAATGGTGATACAGGGCAACCAATGTACAGTTCTCTGACTGTCTAGAGCTTGAATTGAAGAATGTGTGGCTTGGCGTTGAGAAACAACATCATTCCTATCGTTCGTACGGCGGTTAGACAAGGTACAGCACAAATGACCACAACACCATTTTCGCGGTTCTGTTGGTTCCGTGTGAAGAAAATTCGTGAAAAAATCTGTTCGGGTCCGCTGAGCAAGCGGCTTGCGTACAGCACACCGGCTGAGAGTAAACGTGCGTCAAGGTTGGGTATGGCGTTCGTCGAAGCAAGTTGGTGAATGCAAATACAGCAGCAGTGCTGCAAACGATATGTGTGCATCTACACGGCTTGACGGCCGTCCGAACCCGTTTTATGGCCGGGTCAACGACGTCCTGGAGTTGTGTGGCGACCTCCTGCATAGTCCATATACACAAGACGTGTTGGGTGTTGGCTGCTGTTTACATTGCGGAGACACAGCAGTTCTCTGCTGCCAATCCTGTGCTCCTGTGGTTCGGTGCTGGTATGATCACGCGGCTGTCACACACGTTTTCACGGATTGACCAAACCCCAAACTCGCGAACTCGCCAACGCGCGACCTAACAAACCCTAGTAACACATGTGAGACGTGCTTGAACTAAGGTCCACACTGATCCGCCGTGTACACACGCCACAACAGATGTGTGTGCTGTACAGCGGCTTAGAACTAACCGTTGGTTGCCGCTCTGTGTACGTAATCGTACGTTGCTCAAGTTCCGCATACTTCCTCTGTCTCATAAGTCTGCGCAGTTATGGACTTGGGATTGTTCACGTACGCACACTATTCCGATCATCCTATAGTTGGGTTCGTTGGAAAGATGAAGCGCCAAGGGAGCTGATGCAAAATTTTAAAAAAAGTTAGTTGTCCATACGAAAATGAAGTCAAAACATGCCCATTTTGGCCCGTTTTTGAGGGTTGGGATAGGGCCCTACTGGTGTTTGGTTTGCCCCGCAAGTGTCTTGGTTTTAGTGTGGGCCCACCAAGTGTATTGGTTTTAGTGTGGAACCACTAAGTGTCTTGTTTTTAGTGTGAGGTCACTATTATACTGGTTTTAGTATGGGGGGACGCGACATGGGTCGTTTAAGTAGCGAAGGGCTGGGTTTAGGGGTAGTGATAGTTCTGGGGTTTCTAGTTTTATTTTCCATGGTGCCCCCATCCCCCCCCGCTCTGGAAAGGGGTCAAATACGGCCATTTTCGGCCTGACGACAACACTAGCTCCCGCAACAGAATGTCCTAAACCAGCAGCTGGCAGAGTGTTGTCCAATCGTACGTCTAGCAGTCCCTGTGCTCCAGCACTGCTGATGCTCCAACGTGATCGGGCGCAAACGGAATGTCCTGCAGGCAGCTGCCTTATCTCGGTGCGCATGCCTCCTCTCCTGCAAGCACGCAGACATACTCTTTGCCATATAATATAAATGCCCACTCCTTCTACCAACTCCAATAAACACCAATTTCAGACTCCTCCCCCCTTTGGTAGGATCCATCTGAAATATTCGCATTTTCGGCCTGACTATTTTTGTTAGCCGCTAGCCCATGCAGGGTAGTGCGCAAGAAAAAAAAAAAATTGTGTTTCAACCCAAAAAACGCTCACGATTTCGAAAAAGTTATCGCCGAAGACTTCCGAGACCTTTAACGGTTTCTCCCAACATAACTGCGCAGACTTATGAGACAGAGGAAGTATATGTCTAGAATTCCTCTAAACACTCATCCGATCACGACCATTGCTCAAGTGTGAAAGTACATGTTCCGTTGGTCAAAGGTTTTGGCGGTCGGGGGCAGCCCAAGGCTGTCGTATCCAGTCCCACACAAAGGTGTGCAGCGTGCGCAAAAAAAAAAAAAGACGAAAAAAAAATCTCCACCTACTCTATTTTCAAGTAGTGCGACGGAATGAATCCTTGGAGTATATAACTTAAAGGTGATTACGCAAGTCGTCCGTAGAGAGAAAGCAATAACCCAGCGATGACGCCGATATGTCCGATGGAACTCTCCAAGAGCAACAGCAACGGTAGCAGCAGTGCTTCTTTGTGTAGTTGGCAAACGGCACCATATTTTCCACTGTGGGCTGCCCGCAAACTTCTTTGCACGTACGATTTGTGGCTTGTCTCTTCTATGTGGGCTGGGACTCACTCCAATGGGGGAGTGTTGTTGCCAACACCTCCGACCAAATGGTAGCATGAGGCGTCTCGAATGTACCTGGCTGCCTCGGCAATTTTCAGCGGACGTGGCACCGCCGCTGCGTCGGGATGCCACCACTTGCCGGTGTTCTACATCATGTGCCCCGGAGACAGCCCAAAAATCATGTGCACAACGAACGACGGTACCGGATACGACATCCTCCACAATTTCCAAGTCTTTTGGGGATCGTTACCTGCCCTCTTACCTCATGGCGTGTCCCATAATCTTCCCGAGGAAGACGAACATCTCCACCTGGTCAGGCGACGTCGCCCCAGGGTTAGGCACGTACCGGTCTCGCCCCATGCCTGCCGCATGGACCCCGTTTGGCGTACGGATCAGCAGCGGCAGCGCGCTCGACTGTGCGGAAGATCGAAAGGCGCCAAGGCGAAGGGGTGGGCGGCGGTACGCAGGAAGTAAGCGGGAGGGGGCCGGCACCGCAGCCCATGGAAACAAACCACGCATTGTTGTATAACCGAAAAGGGGGCTTTGCAATACTCCGCCGAATGCAACGATGTCAACGCGGCGGTGTTGTCACTCTTAAATTCGTACGCAAGGGAGCCAGCAAGAAAACATTGCATATTCTGTCACACCTGCAACTCCTGGGCGTACATCGACCACGACTCTCGGTACGGCCCCCCGGCATCTTGGCTACGCTCGCCCATGAAAACGCAGTTGTATAGCTTCGAGTGCGTGCGAAGACTCCTCGGGTGCATGGTGTTCATCTGCAACGAGATGACAGCCACATTTGACGCATTGGCCATGTGGCAGCGAGGGGTGAGAACAGGGGGATAATGACGCAAGTCGGCATTCAGAGCGCAGGCACGCTTGGCTTGTACAGTAGAGAGACGGTTTGCCTGTGGTTGAGTGGTTGGTCGTGTGCTTGACATTGTTCGTCAACACGCGAAACACTCGTCCATGCGGCTGTCTCACTTAGAACCAACCACTGGCCAAACATCCAAATTCGATTCACCGATGCATATGCATACGTCGCTCGGTCTCCGCAAATGGCAAGATGCCTATCCCACACTATTTAGCTGAGGCTATTCCTACGAAAACGTTGCAGGAATAAAACGATTGACATTGATCTTCTGAACTACTGACTGGGATGCCATTCAACAGAGATCGTCGGGAGGAGACGGGCGAAGCCTATCCTCAAGAGATTGGCACGAAATGGACACATGGAAACACAGAGACGAGTCAAACACAACAATTGTTCAAAGATTAGCATATGCGCTGGATACCTGTCTGAACGCCTGGCCGAACACAGACCATCTTCCTTCGGTGTCAGTGTGCCCGAGATGGATGTGCTTCGCCGCCTGCACGCAGTAACACGCAGGGTTTGGGAGAGCACCAAAAACATACGGAGTATTCTCCGTGAGAGTCGTTTCGGCGAAAGACCTCAATTGTCGGCAGACCGACCGTTGAACCAGTGTTGTTAAAAGGCAAGGCCGATGTCCTTACTCGACTGGCAACGAATTTTTCAGGACGTGTTTCAAGAGCGCGTGGAACTGCGACAGAAGGTGTGGACAAACACGAAAGTTTTATCTAGCTGGCGCCGTTCGGAGAAGGGGTAGGGTTAGCATGCCAGCAAACTGTCCATGACGACGATGCCAAACGATGGCTTCAACACCACAGGGAAGCCGACCAAACGGGTTGCAAAATCTAAGCGACCTTTATAAGTCGAGAGACAAACGGTAGAACATGCGGTACATGGAATATTCTCACATCCATGGTTGACATAATCACATACGATCAGGCGAGGGCGTAGATTACCGTACCTTGGAACGGCTGAGGTTGAGATTGAACTGTCCACCGTCGGCGTAGGCCGTGTCCGACAAGGCCGAAAGCAAGACCGACTCTTTGATCGCGCGGAAGATCAATCCGCGGCAGTTGGACAGAAGGTGAGCCGCCGACAACTCGCAATCCAACTGCGGACCAAGTGACACACGAGTGTAGAATTGATAGGTTAAACTTGTTCGGAAGGTAGCGATTATGCGATGTTCAAGGGAAAACGAATGTCGTAGAAGTAAGTGCTTCCACGACAGCCACAATATGCAACGCCCCGATAGCAACGGAAAGAAGACGCGTGTGTCAATGACAAGAGTAGCTGTACATTTCCCTCGCAGGCCGTACAACGACGGTGCCGTCTAGCCAGTCCATACTAGACGTTGCGCATGCACTCTCGCTACCCACACCACAGCCACCACAAAAGCAACAACTTCCGCACCATACCTGGGCGAGATCGAAGTACGGCAGCGCCTCTCGGAGCTTCCTGTTCATGACCTGAAGCACCTGGAAACGCGCAGCGATACCACCTTTCTTCTTCCCGAATAGCGGTCCGGCCCCTACCCTGGCCCCCTCGGCACCCTTGCCTTCACCACGTGCCCCGTCTCCCGCCTGTCCCGAGACGCCCTTGCCATCCTCCTTAGTTTCAGCCAGGACCCCGTCTTCCCCCTTCGTCTCCTCCACGCCTCCATCAGGGGACTGAACGGCAGCACCCCCGCCCTCCTTCGTTGCAATGGAACCGCGTGAAGCGGCCGGCGGGCGATGCCAGAGGAACAGCTCTCGTAAAAGTGGGTCTCTGACGAGGTCTTCCTCCGACGGGGCCATGTCATCCCACGAGCAGCGAAGGAGACGCTCCGCATCGTAGGACTTCTTCGCTGCGAACGAGTTCACGTACCTAACACGATGACCAGACGCGGTTAAAGCATTGGTAGGTGAGCGGGAGCTGAGATGCGAAGTAGCGCGGTTCACTCTGTGAGATCGGGACACGTCGAAGGGTCTACGAGGGTGGAGTGAGGTGTTCATCTGGGAGGTACCGCGTACGTTGATTGACGCCGGCGAGAGGCACTGCCTGTGCTTCTGACCTTGCTCCGAGAAACAACCTGAGCATGCAAATAATTCAAGAAACAAGGATCCGGCCATCATATCGCCCTCCCCTCCCTCCAGCAGCGCGCAACGGGCAGATAAATCACCGCCAGTCGCCATATAAAAACACACACATCTGAAGGCAATGAAGATCGCGGCTCGCGGGAATACAAAGAACCTACAAAAATGAGGGTGCCGTGACAATTATTTTCTCATAAATCATGTACCGTACACAAAGATGACTGTGTACTAGGGTTCCATAACTTCGAACGTTCCACAATTTGTTGAGGTGCGCCCTTCAAACACTCGATTTTCTCATCTTAACGATGATGCTTCTGATGTAGGTCGTGACATTTTAAGGACCTCTACCTAACCGTGAGCCTGCAATTCGTGAAATGTCACGGGGCGCTAACTACCAGGCTTACCGCACTAGGGCCTGGTCATGCTTCACGTCAGCGCTACCGTAGAGCCCGCGTAGCGCCTCCAGCTCTTCCTCCACCTCGGGCAGTCCAGATAGGCCCTCAAAGGAGTAGATCGGCGTGACGGTACAGCGCCAACCCCAATGGGACAGAGTCGGCTCGACGGGGGGCTCGACGGACGTGGTCCAGGTGCAGGCAAGGTTTGGCAGAGCGGCGATTTCTGCAGGCACAGGCACGTTGAACAGTGGGGGGTCAAGTAAATCAAAAGCGGTACGCAACACTGTCCATGGCGCAAGAAGAATAAAGTGGTTCTGACGACCAAACACTCTGCCGTTTACCGAGCAGGCTTTAGAGAACAAGCAAAAAGTAAATAAAAGAACCTCCAAAGTTCATACCATGCACAAGGAAGTGACCCCTCAACCAAAAATGCCGGAAAATAAAGGGACCAAGAAACGAACCGCAGCGCCCCCCAACTCCCTCTTCCTGTCAAACGGGTATATGTGCCTCCGTAACCGGCATCAGCAAGGACAGCAACCGCAACAACCAGTTTGACTTGACTTGCTATGCCTCACCGGAGAAGGAACCTCGGTTGTTCAATACTGCTCCCTCGCCCTCCGTGAAGGGGAAGTTGACGACAAGTCCGGGCGAACCTGTCTCAGGCAACACCTACCAGGGTGGGTGACAACAGACATCGGAATGCATGAAGTGAAGGGCGAAGTCCTGACAGCATCGGCAAGTTGATACCCAAATGGGAGAACAAGAGTAAAGCAGAAGCTTACTAATCGTTAGGAACAGCACTCAAGAAAGCCTACGAGAGGCGCACAGATCCACAAAGATACGGCAAAATGTGTAGTCAATCCATGTTTCGCACCTTGAGCCTCATCGTCACATCAGCGGCGCCCAACGCTGTCGACCAAAGGCGGAGATCGTACACGTGGCCGTTAAAGGTACCCACGTTGTCGAGAGAGTCTCCCAGCACCATATCGCAATCCTCTAGCACCATGCGCGATCCTGAGGAGTCGTCCGGTAGACGTGACGATGAGTTAGTTCGACACGAACGCACAGGCCTGGTTGCTTGCTCTATTTCATACTGATGACCTTAACGACACTCGTAAGCGATGCAATGCAAAACCTCGTGGCGTAAAAACACAGAACGGTGCAAGTACCTTGGAACGACGCGCTCGCCACCTCAGAACCGTTGACGAACAGCTTGGCGCTCCCAGCAGCGTCAATAGAGAATGCCACGTGTCCCCAACGTCCCGGGGCGAGAACGCCGCCGCTGAAAGAGATGCCAGTGGTCAGGCCATTGCTCTGGTACATGTCTACGTGAACGGCCGCCCGCCGACGGTCTTCCAGAAGAAGAAGATGGATTGGATGCAACAGGAGGAAGCGCCAGTTGGGGGGAAAGCAGGATCACGACTGGCATGCCTGCACACTTAACAGGCTACTGATGCTGGCATTACCCACAGCTGTCTAACCGCGGTTTTACCAGAGGGAAGGGGTCCAGATTACCCAGTGGATCTTTTGGAGTGCGTGGGTGGGTGGGTGACGTCCACACCTTACAAGAGGCGATTCTCGTCTGTGTGGCCGAGACATCGTGATAACCTACGGGTGTTATAGGGAAAGCGCGCCCAAGCAGCATTCACACCGAAGAACCTAAAACAAGAATACTGTACGAACTCGATTCGGTTATCACCACGTATGTGCCACCATCAACCACTGCCGTTGCCCTCAAGCGAAGAAACACGCTTGGCTCACCTGTCGTAGATACTGCCTTGATGTTGATCTGGCTGATCCCTTCCATGATACTCCGAGACAAGAGCGGGTAAGCCCTCGATTCCAAGCCACCGTCCGAGCTTGCCTGTCGAACAAACACATAAAAACAGAAGATGGTTTTTAGTCGACGTGGCAACATCCAGCATGAATGAGGGTTCGGCAGCGACCCCACAGCTACACCTCGCCACGGACGGTTGATCAAATTGGCTTCCAGGGATTTTTTGCTACTCCCAGAGATGTCAATTCTAGATGCCATAAAACGAAACTTGCCTCGAGTCTAAACCAGGCCTCCACGGTGAATTCACCGGACAGCAGATCCCTGCCCATGCTCGGCTTCAGCTTGACCGACACGCTGGCCCCGTCTCGCAGTCGCAGGCGGGGCGTGGAAGCACTACTGCTGCTGGACTGTATCGATGATGGCTCCGAGACAGAGTCTGGGTCGACTACGGGAAGTGTCATGCCAAGTTATCAGAGATGGTTGGGGAGAACGGGAGGGGGGCGGGGTATCACGTCATGGAAACGTCGAGTGTCATAATCGTCTTTAGCGTGCAAAGCTCTACGGGAGGATTGCCAGCATTTTACGACGTATTACCAGGCGGGCGCCCCCAGAGGGGCGAAGGCAGGCACATTCTACGCGATCATATCATAGGTTCCAGGTACGCTTGCCAACGTCAAGTCAGGCAAGAGCACACGTTGATGCCTGAACCACTCTCTCGTTGCGTGACAGCTCTCTATGTATCGAACAATGGCCATTGTCGTGTACTTGTGATGGACTCTGGAAAGAAAAGACAAGATGAGACGCGTCTCAGGGGAAACACTAGACCTTGCTCCACAACGCCGAATCGCCACGTATAGGCGTGCCTCGCGACATCACGCCAAGACTACCGGACACGACGCAATCTGTTCCAACCAGGCCGCGCGCACACGCTTCCTTCTCACCGTGGATGGAGAGACTGTCGCCCTTGATGACGACCGGTTTGGTAGATGTGCTGCCGTGCGCCACGATGAGGACATCGAAGCAGCCCTCGTGGTCCCACCTTCGAATGTCGGTACATATCATGGAACAACAGTTTTACTTTCCAACAAGGGAACCGGTTGTGTTGATAACTTGGAGTTACGAGGTGATATGAACATGGGGTTAAAAGCTTTGATTGTATGGGTAGCGCTGTCCTTCGTAGGCATCAGGATGAGTAGAAAAGATAGTCTGTTCCCCTACAACATTGTCGCACCTGTACAGACCGACGAACGAAGTGTCAGCCCAGCGGACCTTGACGCCACTGCGAGGCTTGCCCTTCCAAGGTCGGATCTGAAACCAAGTACGTGGACAACAGGGATAGATCGTGAGAGAACAGCTCTGTAAGATATCGCCTTGCGGATAGCAAAGTCAGAGGTGTCCTGCACCAAGACTTGGCATGTGACCCATCTCAAACGTTTCCATGTTATACCTCAAGGAAAGAACCCGCCGAAAATGGAGGTACGCTACAGTAGCAATAGGTCGAAAACCAACGTGGCAGGCGCAACAAAAAACACTATAATACATACACACAGGACAGTATCGCTCGTCACGTGCACCACTGCCCCTCTCACATCAATGACGGTGCCGTATCCCCCCGGCCCTCCATCGTCTTCTCCCCAGTTCCACGCGGGGCCCCTCACCACGCTATCGCCAACAGCAATACTTGCCAAGGCGCCACTGCTGGATTTAGAGCCCTCCGCGCTGTTGTTGGAGCCAAAAGAGGACTCCGTTGCACCCACCAAGCCTTGTAGCACTCGCTTCTGCTCCACGAGATCGAGGGAAAAAAACATATAACGATGAGTCGAAGAAAAGAAAATACCATGCCACAAGAATTGGTCAGGGACGGGAGTCGGATCATTACTCCCCATATCTGGTGACTTTCAAGGGAGGAAAGGGTGAGCATTTGCAGCTCGAAACGGGGATCTCATTCAACGTGTCATTCTTGAAAGAAGCCAAAAAAATCAGAATCCCCTTGGCGGGTTGGTTGGCCGATGCTTTCAGTGATCAGGACGGATTGAGACACACTGCGGCACGGTAATTCACAAAGTTCAGTGTTAACAACGACTGTTTCGGTTCCACCACGCACCAGCCCTTGGTCGTTATCCCTGAAAACGCTGATCTTGTCACCAGGCCCCATGGACGTACGCACGTCGAATACGACCTGGAACGGCAAACGCGGGCGGAAGGATTAAGACAAGAGGGCACGCGACGCGAACGTTCAACTCACCAACATCAACCAGACAAGTCTCGCCGATGGTCAATGAAGCCACTTCTTTGGGTATGCTTGTTCCTGCCATGCGTACCGCACGCAAGGTGCTATTGCAAGTGCCGGCATGTAGCAACCCTGCTTTACCGGGATGACTGAACGAGAAGCTGCGCATCAACCTTGCAACGACGTCACATCAAAATTTAAACTCAAGCCAATCACGCACCTCCAAGCTCGTCGCTCCCTTGATGGTCACAGTCTCCTCGGTATGGCTAGCCCCGAGAGGGTGAGACGATTCCAGAGTCAGCGCCGCCCGTTCTTGGCACTGAGAACACAAGCGGCACGTTGTCGTCAATGACAAGCCAACGACAGGCAAAACGAGCGAGCGACGAAGGCTGTCCTCTTTTCGCTTTTCGCGGGGTTCAACGAGGTTGGGCCGACAACGTCCGGGGCCTGCCTGCTATTGTTGAACAGCAAAACTTCAACCAATTTCCGCAAACTTGAGATTTCAATCACCAAGCAGCGTGAATTAGTTCGCGACGTTGCTGGCTGATGGTACCGAATGATCATGTTTCAGCTGCAGAAGGTGACCTTTAAGGCGAAGTGTGGGAATGTTGCACTCACACTCGGCAGGAGCTCCTTCGCCACAAAGGTAGCTGGAAGCTCTCTCTTGAGCACCGCCGACATGAGCTCCATGCTTCCCTTCACGCCCTCTAGCCACTCCTCTCCCCCAATCGCGCCTAGTTTCCCGCTTTCCAACCTTGCTCCCCACCAAGTCGTGTCTCCTGAAGGAGACAAAGAAGTTATAGTCGAGCACAACGGCACCGGCGGCGGCACTATCTGCACCGCGTTGTCTTTACCCCCCAGCGTAACCGCTAGGTGCAGAGCTTCCCCGTCCCTCCAGGGAGGGAATTGAGGAGTCTCGTCGTGCTCGATCCGCGCGCTAGAGCCGTCTGGCCCGAAGGCGAGTCCGACCAAGGCCTGCAGCAAACACATCCAGGCGAAGCGGATAAGGCACGAGGTACGAGACGACGCCGGACAAAGCACAACACGCGTTACCCCACACGATCGTTGTAGCAGTTCACGAAACAGCCTAATCAATGGTGCGTACCCCCCGCATTCTTGCACTACGCAAGCGACCCTTACCCACGCTGAGAGTGTTGTTGGTGCGGATGACAATTGTCGTAGGATTTGGTTTGCGGGGATTCGACGCGTCACAGCATAGTTGTGGCAAACGGGGTCACGAAAAGGGTCTCGCTACATGCTCGTCACAGCGCCATATTTAGAACTACGTGCGCCACGCCTACAAAGCACGGTGCTAGTCTCGGGGGAAATCTAGAGCATACAGATACTCTCGCGAGCATCTCGTCTCTCTTGAATCAGATATATATACATGTCGGTGGTGTTCTTAAAAATCATATCGCTTGTCCACGTTCACCAACAACACCAAGTGCGGTGTAGACTACGGCAAGACAGAGCTTTCAGACGGTCCACAGACCGGATCGACGATATGACAAGTTTCGAGCACTCGGTACGGCGACATTCGTCCTCCTACGGCAACGATGTCCTTGCCTGGTTCCTGTAGAATTTGACTTCCTTCTTGAGGGCGTCGACCTCCACGGTGACCATGTCGCCAGTCTTGATCTTTGGCCCGTACGGCAAGGGCATCCCTTGCCCAGCCATCTGCAAACACACAATGTTCCGGGACGAAAAGCGGGAAAGTACTAGAGGTACGGGGATGTGCTGTGAAACCTGTTTCGGACAAAGGGTACGGTGGAGCATCTATCGCTCCAGCAAAGGGTGTGTTGCCAGTGGGGCGGGTTCTCCACGCGAATTTTATGACGCGGTACCGTGCTTCCGTCGCGGCATGCATCGAAGCTGGGTAGTGAGTTCTGTCTGGGAAGCTCAGAGTTCCATGTTTCCTCGCGCGCTATCTCGGTTTCGGTAGCCTGGCGAAGCCAATTCTTCGGGAGACAAACCCTCTCCAGGCTAGACTCTGATCTCAAATCATCAACACTACCGGACGTTACCACACCACCAGCCAAAGTGCCCAAACAAGAAACCAATGGAATCTGTAAGAAACAACACCCACCTGGAGGTTCCCGTCACAACCCCAGGTCAGCAACCACGACGGACATCCCACGGAGGTGTTAGGCTGGAAAACCCCCAACCTGAGGCCTGACCTGGGGCCTGATTCAGATACTGCCAGGACCTTGACGTGCCACCTTCGCCACAACAAGGGGAAGCAAGAGGGTGAGACCAAGGTGCGATAGGACGATTGTCACGAACGTGTTGATATCCTGTAAAGGTCAACCGCTGATAGCACCGTCTGGGTGACAAGCTGCCCTGTGTGGACCGCATCTGTGTGGCAGTTTGAACGGTCCTCCGACATGTGCACAACAGAGTCGTGTAGACATCCAGACGCATGGCCGTCGTAAGTGGAGGACAACGGACAGCAGCGGTGGACACTGGACAGCCTTCTGTAAGCACGTTAATGGTTCGCTCGCGATGTACTCAGCGCAAATGCCCACCTGATGACCCCTCGCCCACCCATGCCCACAGGAGCAACGAAGCCTGGCGTTGCCACAAGTGGGGCGGTGTCGATAGCGTTGGACGTCGAGCGCACTAGTCGGTCATCGTCCGACCTCTCCACGTTTGCACGTTGCGACCACCGGGGGAAAACAGCCTCAGCACCTGCTTTGGGGTATTCGGGGTGGCCGTGGTAAGCAGAATATTGGGATTGGGAACTGATTTGCGGCTCTGAGGATCCCATCGCAACACGAGACACCGGACTTTCGCTTGATCATGATGGTTGGTGGTAACGGGCAACTTGCTATGCCGGTGAGGGCAACTAGCGCATCAACTGCAGTCAGTGACCTTGTGATACTGGTGATCCAGCCGTGACATGCGGTCGGTTAAACATGGTAAGTCTACAAAAAATCGCAGCACAATGCTTCACACTTCACAACACGTGCCGAAAAACGGCTACTTGCGTACAGGCGATGCCTGTACACTATGCGCACTAGCACCCACCGTCTCGTAGAACAGCGCCCGGTCCTCGCTTTTTGTCGCACTCGTCGGCTACCACGCAAGCCTGATTGTTCGGGCACGAAGAAACAAGGGCGAGCGTTTCAGTTTCGGGAAACGAACAAACAGTTTGCATCGATTGAAACGTGCCCGATACATCCGGCAGCCGACTAACCCCTGGACACGAAAGGAAAACAGCCCCCGGGCGCCCCTTACCGCCCAACCCCCCTGCACAACACGTCCAAGGGCCACAACCGCGGTAATTCTGCCACGAACCGCTGACGCCGGGATCAAGGTTCAACGTGCATGGCATGGGCACCGATGCCCGCTATATCCGAGGACATCCAGCACACGCCGCGTGCGCCTCCCCACAACCCTTCTCACCATCCACCAATGCAACACGAGGCCTAACTAACCTGGACCAGCGCCTGCAGCAGCGGGCTCCTTGTGGATGTCCCCTTGTCTTCCTCCGCCTTGGCCTCCTTCTTCGCCAACTCCAGGAGGACTGGCACTGGTCCCGCAGGCTCGAACATTGCTTCAAGCCGGTCGTCCCAGTCTGCTGCCTCCAAGGAGTCACCATCTGCTTTCGGCGAGCAGGCGCTCTGTAACAGCGAAGAGATGAGGCGCACCACCCATATCTTGGCCTTGTTGTCAGCCGCCTCGAGGAACCTGCCGAAAACACCCAAGAAAACGACCCAGGTGTAATTGCCCTTGCAACGTGTCCTGCGCCTACTGCTGATCTGCTCGTGAAGGTTAGCTCGACGCGAATTCTACGACACGGGTTTGTGGTTCTCATTCGTGTTCCAACCCGCTGTACCTCAGCTCCCGCCTGCGACGCAGCCATTACCTTGCCAAGGTCTCCATTGTGGAGAACCGGTGCATGAGTGCCTTGACATATCTGCTCTGCGATTCCTTCGCCAGTGCCTCTAACAGCCAGCACGCCAGCTCAGTCTCCGGGTCGCCCACCTCCTCCTGCAGCTCCTTGTAGGCCGCTCGCTCTTCGGGTGTTGGCTCCTGTGCCAACAGTGGGGGGACGCATATCACACGAAACAAACCTTCACGTGTAGTGCAGCTCGGAAAGAGGAGGGGGAGCTTTTCTCGGTCTTCACATGCATAGCATTAAGCGCTGCGAGTTCCTGCCTTGCAGCGTGCTCTCGAAGAACTCGTAATTAGTGCATGTCGACAAGAAGAGGGAACGAGTGGTGGGTGTCGTGACTTCCACCCGCAGTAGGAGATACCATAGCACAAACTTTGAAGAAACAGACAACACGTTTCGTGACGTGGGCGAGACATGTCACGGATAGCTCTGAATGGTAGTTTCGCGAAACCCCGACTCAGGGCGTGTTGGCATCACTTCGTACCTGCATGATACCGTACGCGTGCATTCTGACACCCCAGTCGTTGTTGGACGCATCTGAGTGGAAGTGGACCTCGATGGTGTTCGCCTGCGAAACAGAAATAAAGAATGGAGGTGGGGATAGAGGCCGGTGTGGTTGTGTTTGCGCCTCACTAGACTCGTGAGTCCGAGATGTGAAAGCGAGGCCTGTCAAAACCATTCTGAACGACGAGCGTGACCTACTCAGGTCACAGTAGACACCGACACTGACCACCCAAACCAGTAGAGGTGATCACACCCTCGGGTGCCATGGTTGAAGCAACGCCAGGCCGACCGCACATCTACGAGGAGAATAGTCAAGACCATGGATATAGCTACAAGCCGGCAAGCACACGAGGAGTATCATGTGGTCTTGCTCCGAGAAGCAATGGTGTCGTAATACACCAGGAACAAGCACAGGTAGTAAAAATACGAACCTCGATCGTGAGGGGAGGGAACCCTGCGACCCCTGCCCAGATCTTCCCTCGCGATGTCGCCGGTCCGTTGTACTTGTGCTCACCCCAGTAGGCAGTGTGCTCCGCGTCTGTATCGAGGTATGGGTCGTTCAGGATGACAGTTTCTTCCGCCGTCATAAAGACCACAAGCAGTTGTCCACACTAAGCTATAGAAAACGCCCCTCACTAAACAAAAAAAAAACGTCGAGTAGACGAACGACTTGCAGGAATCACCATCTTGCGATGCCGTCTCGTTTCGAGTGCCTTACCCCTTGCCCTAGACGAAGGAGTATACTGTCAGGCTAGGTGACTGATGGTGGGCATGCAATGACGTTACGATGATGTCCAGGTATCCAACACGTCTCGTCGGCTACTGGAGACGTTTTTGTCCTCCTGGGGCATGGCTAACCTTTGTATATCCTGAGGAAGTCGCACCCCATCTCCGTACTGCATCTCTCATCGAAAACCACGCGGATCCGCTTGGCCCCAGGGATAGATATCTGCAGCAACAACGAAACCAATCACCGAGCGTTGGAGCTGTGGCCCGACAGAGTCACGACGATATGTTGGAAGAGGCCAACAAGTGCAAGTTTCTGTCCCGCAGTGACCGAGGTATCCCTACCGTTCCGACAGGAGAAAAACGCTGCCCGAAATGCGCAACGGCATCTAGGGATCGGAGACAGGCGAGCAGGAACACAACCCTTGATGTTTACCGCTGCGTGTTGCCGCAATTTAGATGGAGCTAACGCCCTGGTAACTCTGTACATGGACAGCCCTGACAACAACGGAGTCATGCTCATACCCGCAAAACATACAACGTGAACCTGGCTGTTTCATCTTCCTGATTTTCAACACAGCCTTCTTTTACAGCGGTTTCCGGCTATCCCGGCAGTCTAGCGGCGAACACTCGTCTTCAACAAGGTCGAAATGCCCTACAGGGCGACTACGGGAGGCGAGATTGCAACGCGGGTTGCTGGGTACCTTGGTGTAGGTGTCCGTGTTGTCTGCGTAATTGTGAGCCGTCTCGAAGATCCTGGCCACAGCCTGCGTCGGACACAGGAACTTCGAAAGAGAAACAGCCGTCTTCAGCTGCCATTTGTAGACAGGTAAGGTAGATCGGAGAAAAGCGAACGAACCGGCACAAACATGGTACTCTGGATGTGAACCAAGTATCAAAGAAGGGCGTGGGATCCTCGGTCGTATTGGAACGACGATGCCGGGGCCCCGCTTGCGAAGCAAAAGCGGCACAAAAGCGCCACATGCCAGCAATAACGCGACCATGAGAGCACCACTGTGAATGGCTGAACACTAATGCCAAGGAGGTGTAGGAAGGAAGACACGGAAAGTCCGTGCACGTTGGTGCGCTAAGCTTGAGCGGGCCCCGTAACCGAGCACAACCAGGCGGCTGACTTCGACCAACAGGCAAACTGGGATCAACAGCGTGAACCCACCTGGTGAAGGGCAAAGGCCATGAGCATGTCAGCAATCTTCTCTCCTTCCTCAGATGATTCCTGCCCGACAGCGCCTAGGATCTTCTTCTTCAGCACCTGTGAAGAGCCGAACGGTAAACCGTAGCAACAACCACGGAGCGCTCAACCCGTTTGTGGCGCATAACACTTATTTTTTCCACACAGGAAGTTATCCAAGAGGGTTCCGATCCGATACTCTTCGATAAAACCCACAATAGACGTTGTTGACAATTGCAACCGGGTGAACCGGTTGTGCCGTGGAGAAAGCCGTTACCATATTGGTCCTTGAGAAAACAATTTTCGCAAGTAAACTCATATCCTGGCTAAAGAGGGAAGAAGGGGGGAGGTGTGTATGTGTAGTATTATTATTATTATTATTATTATTTTGTTCTTCACTTCAAATCAGCGCTCACAGCATTAGTGCCGTTTATTCCAACCCGTGGTCACACAGAAGAGCCTCTCTCTACCCTCCCCTCCTGCGGTACTTTGCCTTCGATTTTTAATGCGAGAAGAGTTCAGCACTCTCTTCCCTCTGTGTACACACACGAACTAGCGCTATCCACTTGGCCAGGAGCGGAAGCGAGAGAAAAACTCACTTTGCAAGAAAAGCTCGCCTACGCCGGGATTCGAACCCCTGACCTGACCTCTAGAAGGTTACGAGGTTACCAACTAGACCACCGGGGCGACCGGTCTTGGATCTGACAGGATTAAAAAAGCAACATGTGTCGTGTTTGATCACCTCGAGGGCCGCGATGTCCACGTCGCTCTCACTCTCCCGCGCCTCAGAATACGTTGCGCGCAGCAAGGTCAAGAACCTGACGAGAGATGTTAAAAACAAGGGGTGGACTCATCATTAATCGTGCATCCAGCAGTCTTCTGCGAACCTAGATTTTCTCACGTAGGCATCGTCCGCTTCTTCTCTGGAATCGTATTCGAAACATCCAGCGGTCTCCTATCTTCTCGTATCCTTTTCGTGAGGTACCCAAGATGAGGGTTAATGTCAACCTGCACTTGACGCCATGCAGGACGCGGAGATAGCTGTCGCTCGCACTCACATGTGGGGTCCTCCGTAGTCATCGAGCGCTAATGGAGAACATCCGCTGTTGTTGCCGGGATAGGACGATTCAGCCGATCCAGCAAGAATCCGCGTGAGGGCCTGAAGAAAAAGTTCGCATAAGGACGCGGTCGCAACATGTAACAACAGTCCAGGTGAGCACCTCCTCAAGTAGTCAGGAACGCGTCCAATGTACTCGCCAACGCAGATGGACGGGTTAGTCGTGCTTTTCTTGCTGCAACCGTGTCTCGGGAAACATGAAAATCCACCAAACAAGCAAGACGCCTTCCAAGAAACTTCCGGGAACCCAGTCTCACCAGGCGGCTGAACCTAGTGGCCGTCGCGTGCGAAGTCTCAGTCAGCGCGCTCCAGAGCCTGTGGCTTTCACTGGTCAGTTCAGCACCGGCCTGAACCCCGAAAGCACCCTGTGACGCCGGCCCCACCTCGTCTCCTTGCGGTGGGTCCACAACCTACAAAGAGGTCGTTACGTGTGACAAGTCTAGCAGTTGTTAGCGGGTTCTTGGAGACATCTACTCACGAGAGAGGTTTAAACGGCGAGTGTTTCCTGTTGTAACGGTACTACACACTTGTTTGCATGAGCGATCGGGTTGGTTGCCCTTGAATCGGTTTACCGTCTTAATCAGTAGCCGCTTAACCAACACACCATGGGGTTCCGCCAAAGGACAACAAAAACAAAGTGTCACCCCAAAACTGCAGGACGGCGCAGTGTCGTCCACACGAGCACTAGCTCAACCTTACCTCGAAAGCAGCGCCCTCTGTTCCCGACGAAGCCCTGCCTGCCGTGCTTGTTGCCTCTCTCTTATCCAGGGAAATGACGTCTCCCTCGTCAGGGAGCGTGACAAGGTGCGATGAAGCCTCCTCCCTCGGCACCTTTGTACGTAGAGGATGGCATGGATGACGACTTATTTTGTTCGTGAAACGACATGCTTCGTGTCAAAGGAAGCCAGTTTACAACGCGTTTTCTCTGCGAATGGCCCCGTTGCATGGAGCAGGGGCGCAGACATAAACCTGATTTGGTAGCCACATGCTACCCGTAGCCCGGTAGGCTGGAGTGGGGGTTACACATGGCCTGCCAACGTGACAAAGGAGAGACGTCATACCATCTAGGCGAAAATGTCCGTACTTTGCACCTGGGAGAATAACGTCGTTGCCCTCCGGCATATTGTGTGCCGTAGCTCACGTCTAATCGCCACATCCAAAGACGCGTAGCTGGCGAGTTGTGCTGGATATATGCAACGGGTCCGGTTTAAGTCGGAGGACCATGAGACGATAAATTTGCGTTCTCCACCGTGTCTCATCATCCTTCCTCGAACCTCATCCGGAATGCGGCAACCTCCGTGAGACACCACGATCGAAACAAAACACTCACCATGTACAGCATATCTCCTTGCCGGCGTAGCGCCCACATGGCGTCCACGTCGCCCTTGCCAGCGGCAGCGGGGCTCATCCTGAACGCCGTGGTGACCTTCTCGAAAAACTCGTTATCGTTCTCGGATGACATCTCACCGCCCTTCCCTCGTCTCAGCGTTTCGTCGAATCGAACCCACAGCTCCTCGAGTCGCCGAAGAGCGGCTTGAACTGGAACAATGATCGGAATTACTCTCATCCAGTCTCCTCTCTCCTCCACCACAAGCATTTGCGTGTTGATCCGCACCTTGCTCACCTACCACCATCCACATTACGAGGGGGCGGGGGGGGCGGGAGGCGGGGGCGCAACATTTAATGTTACGGGGGCTGGCTCAAGGTGTTGCCTGTTGCACCCGCGTCCTGGACTTCAAATCGCCTGCTTGCATGTACGCCTTGCCCCAGAAGCATGGGGCTGAGACAAGCAGCAGCTTAAGAGAAAAAAACGACAACAATATACGCCGCCATACTTACGGCACGCGGCCCGAACATTCGTTGAAAGAAAAATGATCTCGAGCGCTCGCAACAAGTTGCGCACCTCGTCGGAGTCCGTTCTTGGCGCTGCTCTCAGCGAAATCTCCTCCGCATCGCGCGGGTTGACCACGAACACCCTCAGCCGGTACCGCCTGAGACACCTGGGTATCATGGGCATTCCCACAGCTGGCGTATCCGCTGTCGACACGGCGGAGAGATCAGTCTTGGCGGTCTGGGCCTCAAAAAAGGAGTCCCATACGATGGGGGAATGGATAGACGATGGCCAGGACGGCTCGCCCACGCGCACGCTACTGCCGTCGGGCAGAGGTTGGATTGCTGGTTCAGCTTCAAAATTTTCCAGACCCAACGCTGGAGGCTGGACGCCGTGAGAGAGTCAATCAAGAACATGAGCGAGAAGTAAAAGGAACGTTAGTTGGCGATTGTATCTTCCTTACTCAAGTCTGTTATCCCATAGCTTTCGCAAGGCGTTCATGTTCGTGGTTGCTGCATATTTTGTCGATTTCTACGTTCGTCGTTGAGTGTGTGACCCCACAGTTCGCCTATGCGATCCTGCTGTATATTGTGCTGATAGCACGCCACCATATCGCTATTTACATATTTGCTCTCCACCACATGTGGGATGCTCGCTGGTGTCGCTAGACAAGATCATTGCGGGAATTTCTGTTACGGCCGGCTCCATTAAAGCTTTCGTTATATAAAGGATCTTCACAATCTCGCTAGCCCCTAACCCCATGGGATTAGGCTCTTGTGTATTCGAAAAGTAGGCAAGTCTTCCATGATAATTCTCTGCAGGCGCGGACTATGTCATAGATGTTGTCGTCCTTCGAAACATCGTATTGTAACTGATATCACCTGCTCCTTCGGGCAGTCCCGGCATATCCGTAGCAGCGACGCCAACTTGCTGTCAAGCATCGGCGGGGGAAGACTGGCCGCATCCATCTTCTCCATCACGGGCGTCACAACCATCCTCCACCCCCAGTCGTTCACCTGGCAAAGTTGATCGGTTGGGTGGTCATGGAAAGTTGGCGTTTCGCGTCCCTCGGCCGTTGTAACTTCAACGGACTCCCGCATGACATAGGGCGGTCGAGAGACAACGTGGGTCATGAGAGATGCCAATAAACTTCGGGAAAGCTTCGGGCCCTCCAGCGGGAGCGCAGCGCTTGTTCCATACGGCCACTACGGAACAAGCGCTGCGCTTACGCCGAAGTGTGTACGGAACACCCCAAGTTTAACCACCAAGGTACCCAGATGCGTGTTTATTGCGGGCAGCGTGCTGAGGACTGCAAGGAGAAGCATGTCTCTTGCAGCGGTGCGTTTTTATACCGATGCCGCCTCACTTGGCAATGCAAAATACTCTATCGTAGTCGAAAACAACCAATCAGCCCCTAACTAAGTAGGAATCCTCCTTATCCGGCCAACAAAGACAAAGAATCCAACACACAGTAAACATTCGTCCAAAAACGCAATGAAGAAAATATGCTCGCATCCAAGATATCAGTGTCCGATGGTGATCCCCGACGGAACTTACCGATCCGTCAGTCTGCCAACGGAAGAAGAAATGGCTAGCGGGGATCTCAAGCGGAGGCCGTCCTCCTGTCCCGGGCCAGTTTGATGGATGGCCGTCTTTCCCCCCGGTGTATTTGTTGTCCCCATACACCTTGGACATGGTCTCGTCCGCGTAGAAGACCATGAAGTCGCACCCCTGCTCCGTCCTGCGAAATATATGTAATAAACGGGGTTGCTCACGTTGCTGAAAAGACGCCACTTGGTAGACGGCGCGTCGCTTTTTCTTCAATCGCGCAACACCTATACCCTTGTGTGTGCAGGGTAAAACCATAAAATCTATTAACCATCGACGGGAAATAGCCGACGATCCGAACCGTACAAACGCCAGTTACGTGCATTCATTCACATCGGCAACATTGCAAGTAACGCAATACGCAGATTGCTGCTTACCTGGACCTGTCATCGAAGGAGATAACAAGCTTCTTGGCTCCCTCGATGCGGACCGTCTCCTTCCTATCGGCGTTGTGGGAATAGGGATGCTCGCTTTCGACCACCACCTTGGTCGCCCGTGGTGTCGCCATCTTCTTCAAGTCTGCCGGTCCCGTAGCCATTACAGAGACGTAATGAGAGATATGCAACAGTGTGAATCTTCTCAGAACAGGAAACCGCACAGCAGTTGTCATCAAAACCAACAGTTCACTTTGATTGACCAATGGTTTCAATCGTGGCCAACCCAAAACCTTTGGCGTCACCGCAGACGCTGCTACAACACCAAAAATAGGTACGTTTCGTGAATCTTTGTACGGGTACAACCACGACACGCTAATCACGGCCAAACTACAACAGTACCCGGAACGGCCAGAGCGTGTATCTGAAAAATAGAGACACTCGCGCGCTGTGCAAAAATACGTAAGAAAACGTTTCGTACCGTCCTGGGAACTGTTCTTTCCCAGCGCACGCTCAGCGAGCGACTTGATCAGCGGCTGCGCGTGTGGTACGAACTGCGGCCATGAGGTCACCAGCGACATGAGAGCCTGCATGCATCAAACGCGAAACAATAGGCAAACGATCAATGTAAAAATACAAGCCCCGGACGACTGCAAGCCCCGGACAGCTGCAAGAGCGGAAAGTCAAACGAATGGCAAAACACAAGCAAGAACAGCCGATATTGGGCACCGCAACAACGATTGGCCCATTGGCCAAGATAAAGGACACACATCAATCGCACATGTGCTTTCCGAACGGTGTCATGGCGTGTGGCACGCGTGCATATAAATGAGCACAGAATGCAACTCTGGACACAGTAAAATGCCAAGTACATACGGTAAAACACCGTGTCGAGCTAACTCTCAACCAAACGTGGTTTCAACACAGCAGCATCACTATCACTCCATGAAAGGAACATGACAATTTTCGGGCATGAGGAAGATTTAGCGGCCATGTATGTATACACAACAACGCAGCATGGACAGCTCTCCCTTCAGCCCTCGACATTAGAAAAACAGTAAAATTGTGTTTGCTCATACGACGATGCGACAGCTTTCAGTTGCAATGCCCTCAACATGTGTACCAATTTTGCGGTTCATACCTTCGCCCCACACGCCTGCAGCAACGACAAGGCGGACGGTCCCACAAGCGGTGGCCTAGCAGCGATGGAAGCAGATCGATAAGAGCACAGGACGGACAGTTCGACACGAAGTTCGACAAAGGGGGGCGGCAGTTGCCATGGCACAATTAAAGAAAAGAGAGCAGAAGCGAGCCCATGCCTTCAAGATGACATACGCAATGCACAGGTTACGCATAGACCAATAGAACAACAACACCGAATTATAAAGGGACGCCACGCGTTGACACCGACCCCCTTTGGTGTACGGTGGTACAACAAATCTACTTGTACACTACCACCCTTTCACCGCGCGTTCGACGCACTTTCGTGCGACTCGGAACGACTCATTGTGAGCCATTCACAAGCATCACAACCGCCACCTGGTCAACGGTTGAATTTTGGAGAGCGTTAACAATCCCTCCTAACGTCGAGGTTTGCTGTTTCCCTTGGAGGTTACTGGTATGTACGTAAGCTTCCTTCGGCCACCACCCTCTCCTGAGACCCCTGCCTCCTTACGCAACTAGCGCCGTACAGCTGCTAAACACCCGTTTGCATCTGACGAATCTGACCCGCTCCAGGAACGTTGATAGAAAGCATGCAGAATGCGTCATTCAACATTTGGCGATTGGCGCCATCCATCCAGAGCAAAGGTCAAGGTACACCGCTCACCGCTCTGGCGGAAGGGTGAAGGTCTTGCACTTGGCCTTGGCTACGATGCGGAAACCCCAGTCCGGATTTCGATCCTCGGAGTGGAACTTGATGACGCAGCTCGATGCAGGCACGCACACAGCAGGCCTCCCATCCAAGCCCGGCCCTGAAATGAACGATGGTCGAGGTTCGTTAGACTCACAGGCTGAAAGGCGGGTTGGGCTTGGATTCAGGCTGTAGCCTCGGTACAGAAGCCCAAGACATCGTCGGCCCTACTGCATGTGTCAAAGGTGTCGACAGCAACCCTTCGAGGCTTGCATGAGGCATTTTGAAGCTGCGGCTCACGGTTGGACTCACATTCTCTGCGCTTGCCTGCCGTTCGCCCTGCCGACAACCCTTGGTTCACTCTGTGGTTTATTGAGCTATTAAAATCTCGGCGAAATTTCACCACCCTTCCGACATACTGGCCAATTTCTCAAGCTTACCCCGAAATCCCGCGTATTTTTTTTGTATTTCCAACGATAGGCACCCGGGCTAGTTTGCCTGTGGGTTTGACTATTGGTTGACATGCTCAGCACTGGTGTCTTGTCTAGTTCTTCACGTTACAACGGAGAAACCCGTGTACACTTGTCCTTGATCTTCCAAGTGGCTGACTCACAGTTGCCGTCCTTGTCTCGGCCTTGGTACATGCTCTCCCCCCAGATAACCGTCTTCGTGTCGTCCTTGTAGATTCTGATGTACGCCGTTCCTTCCTCGGTGCGGCAGTCCTCGTCGAAGAATAGCTGGAAGGACGGAGTCAATCAATAAAGCGGACGCCAACCACACCCCAGAACAAAAAAAACGTGGTGATTAGCGAAGAGGGATAAATGCACGGTACGTGCAACTGCGAGCTTCCAGCAATTCAACCAATCCGGGTTGATCGCGCAGCAAAAGAATGCAAGACTGCGATTCACGCTACCATCAACCTGCCAAGGTTAAACGTACGCCTTTGATCCCTGTGCAGCACCTGCGCAGCACCCCGCATTGTTCAACAGAACACATCATCCTCCTGAAAGAAAATCGTCTTACACAAACATAGGTAACCCATCCACTGACCTGTATGCTGTCCGCTCCTGGAAAGTCTAGCGGGTAAATATCGTCGACGCCTCTGGCGTGAGGGTGGGAGCTTTCGAGGATGCGCTCTTCATCGGACACAACCACCGAAGGTTTGTGCCTTCACCATGAACATTAAAACACGCGTCAAATGAAACGACGGCGAGCGCCCCGGAGGGAAGGGAGATGGATGCAGGTACCTGTCACCTTTCCGTGGCTGGTGGAACACGTGTGCGTTAGACACGCCAAAGAGTGTCTGCACGGCCGACATGTTGCGTTGGAGGGCCCCGACGCTAAATCTGCCGTCTCATCGATATTCAAAACACCAGATGATCACGCCCTAAGCAACCCTGCAAGCTCCACTCGGCGTGTACATGGCGGATCACATCTACCAACGCCTTTTGTCCTACCCACATGATTTCCGCTGGAGGCAAAACATTAAAACCTTTGTTCTGTCTCCTGCACGCACCAAAAATGAAACTGCACCGACAGTGAGCAACACGCAATGCGGCTGTCCTCCTACCATATATCTTCCATTCGCACCTGACTCTCTTGTCTGTGGCGTCCGCGGCCGACAGGACACCGAATGCCTCCACAAGGGGCTTGACAAGTCCCTGTGGGACGTACGGGATAAGGCCGGGTGTCCCCTCTTCCCTCGCGGTAGCGACCGCCGCCTCCGCCGCTGCCGATAGCTTACCACCTCCCCTCGGAGGAGACTGTAGGTTGAAAGGAGGGGATTCCAAAGCCGACAGGAAAGAGGGCGGGAGCGGGGCGGAATCCGGGGATACGCGTCCTCTCGGAAGGACTCGTGGGGTATCTGGCTCCGAGTGCAGGCAAACGATGACGGCATCGCCTAGAGACTGCGGCGAGGGGGCAGCCAGACGCGATAGGAGAAGGGACAGAAGGGGAGTTTTACTGGAGGTACTTCAAGAAGGACGGGTATAGCACACACATGTCGACGACACCTAAATCACGAATTTTCGACAACTTTGGTACCGCTACCCTCGGAGATCTCCATCCACACGAGACTGCGTGACGAGTAAGCCTTCTACCACAAGGTAGGGACAAGGCGACGGCTGTCTCGTAGGTACGAGTGAGCTCTGGTCGTCAAAGCCACACCTCCAACCCGTCCCAGTCCTTGGCAGGAGGCACGAAATCGACCCCCTTGTTGGCCGTTCGGGACGTAGTCGCACACTTTTCCCTCTCGATCGCTGCCAGGTGGTGCAGCCTTGGCCAGTCCATCGCCAGCACGGTGCACCTAATGATGTGTTGACAAAATCACCCGCGGCGCCCATATAAAACGTCAGCCTTCGCATTGCACAGCAAGGTTGTAATGGGCCGAAAGGCATTGCGTCGACTCGAATGTGAGACGAAGTCGTTCCACGAATGATGGAGGAAAACTATCTGCAGGGAACGCCCCGGATTGCCTTCTACGCGGTGACTTACCGCTCGACCGTGGCACCGTCTCTGTCTCCCATTAATGCCATGGCCCTTCCGCCGACATGCAATCCCTGAAAATTAACACCCAAGACAAGACAGCGCGAGCACAAAACGCAGACACGGAGAGAATGGAGGTTGTATAAGGGGTAGCGCGTGATGTTGGAGGAGGTGACTCCAAGGTGAATAGAGCAGCAAGCACAACACTACTACATACTGGTAGGTGATACAGCTTGAGGGTGGCCTGCACACAGCGGGAGCGTCCTTCAGCCAACACAAACCTTTGCACTTTTGAAGAGATGATACTTTGAGCAAGGACGCGTAGAAAAATCAACATAACCGATGCACGGTTGGAGAAGCACTGACTGAGCGAGAACACCTTGACAATCGCTTCACCTGGAAACTGCCTCCCAACAGCGCGAGACATGCGTGCACCATCCAGAGCCTGGGGTCACACAGCACCTCGGCCACTCTTTCCGGTTCACCTGCGGAACCGGCAACAAAGCACATCGGTTTCAAGTGAGGGCGACCGTGCTTCGGAGGCCAGCCAAGCTTAACGCCGGTACATAGCAACTCAGGGGTCGGTCTCTACGCTTTGGCGTTCCCAGAGAACATCGCCAGGTTAGCCGATTGGTCACCGACGTGTCAACCATCGCTCCACGCGCGGCCATTTGAAAACCATGCGAAGCATACCTCTCGAAAACACACAAGCGACATGTAAGTAGTGATGTTCTCACCTCCCTCAATCTCACAAGCACCAGCTCCCTCCAGGGCCTTTGTCATCAGTGGTAGGTTCGAACACGCCTGCAAACAAGAACACACCCCGAGTTTAACAAGAATGATGGAATGACAGAGCCGTAGACAAATGGCGAGAAACCCTGCACTGCGAAAGAGCATAGAGCAACTTGACGGGGCAAACTGGCATACCTCCCGCAAGCAGTCCGCCAGAGGCGGCGACCAGCCCTCCTTGGCAAGCAAGGCCCGCAGCAGCCCCACGTGCGCACTCATCGAAGCAAACGCCTCTTCTCCGGAAGTAAGAGAAACCTTCGAAAACATCCCCGGGAGGTAGACGTTGTTGGTAATTCCTGGCCTTGCCGCGGCCATCCTAGACCAAACGCTCAGAGTTTCCCCTGCTTGGAGCATCAAGCCGCGCACGAGAGGGGCTGTTCGAGTCTCCTCCCCGGGGGATGGGGAGGGAACCAACGGGGAAGAGAACCCCGCCCTGCTCAGTTGCACCTGCGTAGCGGTGAGGAGCAGGGCAAGCAACGTCCGTGGAACATCTGCTTCAATACCACTCCCGGTGCTGTGCTGTTTACGCAAAGTACAGCCAAGCACAGCAGTAGGTTCGTCACCACGCTACCCGAACGCCTAAGGTCTTTTCATTTCGAGCCTACACCTATGCAAGAAGACCCCGGACGTCGCCTGTTGCATATTAATCAAATAATAGGGTTGGTCGTTGGCGGGATAGGACACAAGCCGCTTGGCACTGCTGTAGGTAAGAACGATCCGAATGCCCGAAGGCAATCATGAAAACAAGGCTAGTACCTGAACCATTTCCAGCGGCGCTTGCGGCAATAGTCTCTCGCACAATCTTGCAGCAGCTAGCCTCAGCTTCATCGATCCTTGCAGCAGAATCACCAGCAACGGCCCCAGCACCTGGAGAAGGCATACCATCCCAGGTAGGTTGAGACGAACACAGTATGGCGGACACGTTAAAACTCTACACAAGAAGTAGGCCTTGGTTGGGTTGGCTCCATATTTGAACCCCCCGAACAGTCACCCGAAACAAAACCACTCACGACTTGAACCATTTCGCGACTCTTCACAACATTCTTGAGAAGCTTGAATCCTTAGGCATACGAAAATGGTGGTGTCAATACAATACCCACCTGCGGGGACACGAGCGGGCTAGTCCCTGCTTCCAGACTGAGACCTCCACCTTGGCCAGCCACGCCATCCATCGACGAAGCGCAGCGCTGCACAAGGCTAAGCACGTCTGTGCAGGCCTCCTCTTCCATTAGTGACGGCTCGGGCGGTGGAGGGGCGCATGCCAGACTGCGTACCTGGGTAGAAAGAAGAGGGCACATTGCATGCAGCCGTGCACAACAGCACATGAAATCTTGGCGGTAACAAACAAAGGAGCAAGCGCGTAACTACAATTGCGTCGGTGAAACCTATGCCAACCTATCGTCATTGGTGTCAACGGCGGCCGCTCGATGGGGAACCCCGGCCAAGGGTCCCCAAGCGCCGCACGATACAATACTGGAGAGCAACCTACACGCTACGCGGCGGCCTGCACGACGGATATATCTGCTGCTGTGACAACTTCAATGGAAGCCTCGGAATGCCATGCCGCTGCATCTGCTTGCCTGTTCCGCGGTGAGAGACACGGCGTAGGTGCTCGCACCCCACAAGTACCCGCTGGCCGATCTCTGGGAGGACGCGTAGGAAGGAGGCTGTCCGAGGTACACTGGGAACGGGTTCAGATTCGCTGGGGAGGCCTGTCGTACAGCAGAGAGCGGGCCATGAGAGCCAGAGAATAATCACGAGAAGTTACAGGTCTCGGAGCCACCACGGTAGCGACAACTTGAGCGAGGTGTGACAATAGACTACATTGACAACACCGCACGTGTTGCGACATGGCACGTAAGGGGAACCTCGAGGGCGTGTCCACAGACTCGTTTCCGACCCCGTATTTCTGTACAACGAATGTAAAACGCCAGCTGGGCCCAATGACGGACGTCCACTCTCTTCGAGCTTCACCCTGCGGCCTACACGTATATGCACACGATGCGCAAAATCGCAGGGATATTTCTTACCTCGCTCTTTTCTTCATCGGCCTCCTCAGGAGCGGCTGCGCAAGCCAACGAGGACATCTTGAAACCCCAGTCGTTGTTGGACTGGTCCGTATGGAAAAACACGGCGAAACTGGAGAGGACAGATGGACGCGATTGAAGAGCACAGAACGGATAGCGGATGCGAAAAAAAGCAAAGCAGTTGTCGATCACCACAACTCCATTGCTGCTAAACTACTGACACTTGAATCGGGGTGGCTCGGTGAGTTGCACCCGCGTTTTGACCAGAACATGAGGACAAAATTGATATTGAAGTGCCAGCTCACCTCGGTGCGTTAATGACCAGGGGAGGCCTTCCCCCTGTCCCCGGCCAGTTGCTCTCCGATCCGTTCCTACCGCCCGAGTAACGCTCTTCTCCGAAGAATGGACCGTCTGTGTCGGTCGCGTCCTTTGAAAAATAACAAAAAAAAAGACCATGTCACAACAAAGAACACCCCGGGGTCGAGAACACTATTGATCTATTAATAGAATGAGATGGTGGCCTTGGCACAGGCGTCCACTACGAAGAATGATTAAGCAGTCAATGTTACCGACGGAGGTACCACCCAGAGAAGGAGGGTGGTACACCACACTCCAATATTAACATCTTCCGAAGCACGCTATTCCAGCCTCGCAACAGCAGCCGCGGCACCGAGCTGTAAGGTATATTTCCGACCAACGCCACCATGTCTACCGTGCTATTGTCCTCATCAATGTTAACCAGCGTGCTGGCTGAAACCTCATGAATCTCAAAAAAGACCAACGCGCACCTTCAGGAAGCGCACGTAGTCGTGGTTCCGCTCTGTCTTGGTCATGATGTCGAAGGAGATGGTGTACGAAAGTGCCCCTTCCACACGTACGTCCCACATCCTGCGCTCGCATTCAACACGGGCAATAATTGAAGGCGCGGAAAGCCGGCGAGATATATCATGTAATGGCTTGAGGCCAAAGTCGGAAGACACGGCATGACGGGAAGAAAAAACGAAAGACAAGGAACACACCACATCCACCGCGCGATCGTCTCTTTGCGGACCATATTGTTGACCGCCATCTCAAAAATGGACCGAACGGAACTCGCGCGAAACTACCGTTGCCAACATTGTGTTACGCGGCAAGTGTTGTGAAGTGCTGGTGTGCAGCAGTGTCAAGGCGATGACGTTCCTCACTTGTCCACGTTGTTGGCGTACGGGTGTTGAGACTCGAGCACGTCCTTCACCATTCCTCCGGGGGTGAGCATGTGCTGCGGAAGAGATGCCTCCCCGTTTTCCTCCCCATCCACGTAGATACGGCACCTGCGATATAGGAGCACATACGGGAGTAAGGCGAAAAGGTTGGAGAGGCCTAGATTGAAATAGGCGCTCACGTCTCTTTCACAGAACGAAAACGGTAGGTTCTTGTACCACCAGAAATGTATCGCCCATGACCTCATCTGCATGACGCCATACGTCTCGACCTGAACCAAGTGGGCTCGACGTCACGCGTTGGCAGATACTTTCAATATTGGGCATTACGGAACGAATCCTGAGCTTCAGATTAAGAGCAAATCTTCGATCATTTCGAACTTACGGCGGCTGAATCAAACACTGATTGTTGACCAAGACACCGGTGCAAAGCAGTCTATCATTGCAACAATCAGTTATGCCGTGATGTTCTCTACGTGTGTGATGAAGACACACAACACGTAAGGGGGACACGCGTCACCTGTTCTTGGCCTGCACCACAGCGACATGTGTCCACACGTCCGGCTGCAGCATTGTCCTGGAATGCACCGAGAACAGCTGGTCCTCTTCGGCGGTGGCATAGTACCTGTCCACGTAGACAACAAAAGACGGGAGGATTGGCCATAAAAGTGTTGGTTTGGCTGTCCTTGCGCGAGGTTCGGATGCCAACATTATCGCGGGGACGGTACCGCAACAGTACAGAGCACACGCTTCTTGCCGAGGACGCAAACGCAAACGACAACGCCGTAAACAACACGACAACCACTGTACATGCCCAGGACAAGCAACTGTTATTTTCCCCAAGGTTCCCTCACATTAGGGTGGCGTTTCCCAGTAGCGACAGTCCAAACTGACTCCACGGTTCGTCCCGCTCATCGTGGGTGAGGTTGTTTACGCCTCCTTTCATCACCACGCTGCCTCCCACGCTTGGGTCGACCTTGATTACCTCCCACACCTGCCACCATACAAACGTGCACGTGACGAGAAGGTTAGCGCAATGGCTACAGCTGGCGTGACCAGTGCTTGGGGATCGCGTACACCATCCGCAGCTATTGATTGCCCTCCACTTCCGATGGTACAGCCAAGGTGGTCCAAGCGGATGGGAAGGTTGGCGCAGCAGTGTAGCCACTGGGATCATGACGGCGGTGAACCTGCTCCTCTCCGAAAAGGATTATCGTAGAAGTCGGGGAACGTTTAGCTAGCATTCGCTTGCCCACCCTCCGGTGGCATATAAGTAGAGTCTTCACGTGAAAACCGTACAGCCAAGCGACGCCATGCTTAGCGATGCTTGAGGCCAGCTGGTGAAAAACTGTTTTTGTCTGGGTAGACCTCGAGCACTGTATGTAGTACTTGCAGTTCAAACCGAGGGATACCTTCGTCCTCCGCGCCAAACCACTATCTACGACGGTACCAGTTTATACTCCATACAAGCGCGCATGACCAAGCAATGCTTCCGGCAGAAGCCTGAGAACAGGAAACCTACCAGTAGGTCATCGACCGAGGCAGGGGCGGTGTCATCCTCGGCGTTCTGAGGGAACTCCGCCATCGACCCCATCTTGTAGGTGCCGTTGAACCCTGTGATATCCCACTCCACCCTCGCCTGAGAAAACAAAGGGCGCGATCGTCAAGAAGCCAGCACTCGGGTCAAGACAATCTCGAACACAACCACACGATGGATCAACAACAGGTAAGGTCCGGTACCAGGCATCACCACAAAAAAACGCATGCAACCTTTGATGCCGGATTCTTCACCCAATCCCATCCGGCGGGTCTCCCAAAAGCCTAGCCTGGTAGAAATACCCATCGGAAACGAAACCTTCACCAAGATCCCGGACGCGGGGCTACAACCACTGGTTTCGATAGTTCAAACAAAAAATAAGAGACATCCCGTTCCCTCTGCGAACAAGTACGCTTCTCCTTTCCCACTCACAGTCATGTTGGATTTCGTCAGCTCTGTCACTGTTCCAAGACCTCCCGGTCCACCGTCCGACATATCTCCGCGTGGCCACTTGGGCCCGCGAGCAACCGTGTCGCCAACCTTGGGTGGGGAATACCAAGCCCCTGGCTTCGCATCCATCGGACAGGCATCCCGCCTCAACTGTTTAAAAGAAGGAGCAGTGGAGAATAACCAATACACAAAATCGAGGGAAGACAATGAATGTCGAGACAAGCAGTCAGCTCCTGTAACCTTGAGGCTTTCCTGAAAGTGGCGTGGGTGCATACCTGTATCGCGCTCATGGCCCAGGCGGGTACACTCCTTTCGTTCACGATTTTCGCGTTACCACACAGCAGCAGCCCGCAGTCTGTATCTCGCGGTCATTTGGCGGCTACTTTCATATCTTCATAAACCTCGTATTGTCCCACAGAGTCCCGATGCTCACATACCCCAATATGTGCAAAGAACGGCTGCCGTGCGAACGTAGATATGGTGAGCGAAACACACTCCATCAATCTCCCCACGCGGAACACCCTCTGAATTTCGACAGAGAACCAACTCACCCACATAGACATGGAGTGCCGCACACTCAAGTCTCGATGAGCGGCCACCCTCCCGGGCTCGTCTCTCCTCAACCGCATCCCGCTCGGCAACAGCGGCGTCTCTTTTGGAAGAGACGTCGCCGTTGCGCTAGCCCTACCGTCGCTGTCCTCGCCGCCTCCCCGTGTAGTCGGTGCGTCGACTACCGGCCGTACAGAAGAGGGTTGGTCGGAAAACAGGTCGTCGTCCATTGCCAGGCTGGCGTTGCTGCGCTGAACATTGCCTGAAGCCCTCCCAACTTGTCTGATTAGGACCGCCAGCAGCCTAGGAAGTGGGAGAGACGCGCGTTGGGGCACAAGCAAATAGCGGTACAACGTGAGCACACGCTTGTTGGATTTCGGGGCAAAGCTGATGTGGAATATTGCATGCATGTAGTCGATGCGTCGCTTTTGAGGCGTTGGCGTCGTGAGGGTCAAAATGCCGCTCCCACATGAAACGATCGCAAAATACTCAGAAGGTACATGCCTGTGGCTGAAGCTCGTCGGCTCCTCTAGCCGTGTTTCCAATCCCTGGCCCTCCAGCCCGACACACCGCGGCAGCAGCACTTCGAATAGGCACCAAGCCGCTTTCCGCACCGACTCCTCCCTAGCACCAGGGAGGTGCGACGCAAGCTCCCCGTCGCCAGCACCGTTGGCCTCGTCGAGTAGTAGCCCCTCCTCCTCCTGCAGCTCGGCCTCGAGGGCAGCGATGTCATCACCGATAGAGCCGGTGTCGAAGAACTCCTCGTCGTCACTACCATCGCCGCCGCCGTTGTCGTCATTGTCGTGGCCACCGTTGCCATTGGTGTCGTTGTCAGCACTACTGACCTCCGATGGCTCGGCGGCATTGGCCTTTGGTTCCACGGGCTCTGACGGGTCGGTCGCGTTGGCATCTTCCTCGGTGTTCTTGGTGTCACCGGTTTCGCCCCCGCCAGGCTCACTGAAGCTCTGCAGCAGTGGCTCGAGCACCTGAAAATAACAGGAGTCGTTTGCAATCAGGTCAGCGCGAAGAGAGATATTTGATCCATCTATACTTCCCCAAAAACGCAACTACGACAACTTCGCCTATTTCCGACAACCGGGCAGTCAAGGGCCATTCCTGACTGGGGGGTGTACAGGCGACGAAAAAGAAAGTACGGTCCACGGCACCTGAACCCGCCATCGAGAAGTTGAAAGCGCGAAGCCCTCCGGACTGTGTTTCGGACATATGCGCGTTCAACATCACATCTCACCTCCAACAGAACAGACTCTTTGAGGATCTCGTGGTCCCCCAGGTCGTAATCTAGCGCCAGCGCCTGCAATGAACTGACGGCGAGAAGCCTCCGCTCCGCAGCGTGGGCAGGAGTCTCGCCCTTCTTCGGCCTCGAGCAATCCTTTCGCCGCCACAGCAGAAGCCAAACGGCAGTGTGTGGTTGAGGTATCATAAGGCTTCGGAAGCGGGGCGCTGAACGTGCAGTACGTTCGTTGCACACAATGGATTGCACAGAACGCCCCAGTCTACCAAAACCTTCGGCACAGTAAAAGAACATCCAAAAATGTCTTGAGTAACATGCATGTCGCACCGTCAGCTTTCAAATCGTTGGGAGTACTACTGAACGCGGTAGAGAAGCACAACAGCACCTTGAGAACTTGAAGGGTGCACTCGATGAGGAGCGCAAACTGCCGAGCGAGCGCCAGGTACGCCCTTGGCTCGCAGCCTTCAACGGAGCTGAGGTAGTGGACATGCGCCCCCGGCCTGTCTTCTCTCTTGGTGAGACGGATAGACTCAGCATGCGACGAGAGCAACCACGCCTGCAAGGCAAAACGCACGAAACACGTGCAGCAGTGCATTTTGCCGTTCATGACGTGTTGCAAATCCCCACAGCGAAAATTGAACCGATCTACGAAGCATGCATTCACGAAGAATCGAGACGTACCTACGCGACACATGGGGCGCCAGGGAGTAAAATCAAGATCGTGGCACGACGAAAAGCTATCTAGCAGCATACGTATGCAATCTCACCTTCGCTGGAGGCGATGCTGCCGCTGCCACGAGGGCTCGGGTAAGACGGAGCCCTTCAGCCCTAAGCTTCGCTCGCTGGTCTCGACACTGCCTCACCATTTCCAGCTGGCTCACGTCAGCGGGACACTGAGCGAACTTCATGATGCGCTCGCTCACTGCACAGCATAGGAATCACACACACGCGGAGACGACCAGAGTGCCGACCACGAAGTTAGCTGTCCGCAGTACCGCCCGTGTCCTATGCGTGCTGCCGACACAAAGCGGGGCGTCTTATCCCTCCCTCCCCAGGGGATAAAAAACACTTTGAATAAATTGGCCCCAAAGTGCCGAAACATGCGGCCAACAAAACTGACAGAGAACAGGGAAGCTACTAAGTTCCCCACCGTAGACCGTGCTTTGTTGCTCTTGCACCTCTCGTAAGAGACACGAACAAGTGATGGTTCTCACCAGAGTTTTCCTTGGCCCTTTCGCGCATGTCTGCGGCCTTGCGGCGATACACGAGGATGGACTTGAGCTTTCGCATGGCGGTGGCTTCGTCCACGACTTCCTTCCACTTCTCCAGCAAGTCCAAGCCTACTCCAAGCATTTACGACGGTGTAGTGCGAGACAACTATGAGCACGCAAACAGTTGAAATGTCTATGGGTCTGTCTTCAAACCAGTCAACGGATTAGCTTCATGCAGTATGTATAGCGACAAACGATGTGTGTTCCGAGTTGAGGTACTGGAACGTTCTGTGGCTGAAAAAGCTGGCGGATCTTTACGAAGTCGAGGGCTGTGCGCAAATAACATCAACCTGCCTGCTTTCACGACACCCTATGGCCTAGAGGTCAGGTCAGGGGTTCGAATCCCGGAGTAAGCGGGCTTTTCTTGCAAAGCGAGTTTTTCTCTCGCTTCCGGTTCTGGCCAAGTGGATAGCGCTAGTTCGTGTGTACACTGAGGGAAGAGAGTGCTGAACTCTTCTCGCATTAAAAATCGAAGGCAAAGAACCGCAGGAGGGGAAGGTAGAGAGGAGCTCTTCTGTGTGACCACGGGTTGGAGTAAACGGCACTAATGCTGTGAGCGCTGATTTGAAGTGAAGACAAAAAAAAAAATGGCCCGTGTGACAACAATTCTGCGCCAGAAGCGCTGCGTCGAAAATATTCGTGACTCTCAACGACCGGCGATAGAAAATTGAGGATAATTCAGCCACCAAATTACGTACCTTCTGCCGGGCTGTTGCCATGGCTGGACGTCCGCTGCATACTTCCCACGCCGCCAAGCCTGGCCAGAATTGACCAGCGTCGCTTGGACTGCTCTTGGATTGACACGCGTGTTGCCTGGGATGGCAGGCTCAGAAGGAAAAGAGCACGAGAGACGATTCGCTCGCTCACCTGTATTGGAAAGGGCGTGTCACAAGGTCACGAACGGACCGCGGGGGGTGGGAACGGACAACGTGGTTGCACGATTAGTATGTGTGATTCAACAACATGTTCGTCACACACGGTGACTACGCCGGAACGCCGGGCTCCTAGAGTCAGAGACGGCACTGCGATGCTTGCGGGAAGCGATGCTTCGGCGGTCAATACATCCGACGCACACAGCAATCTGGATCAACTCCGTGATGCTGCACGCGAGGAACAAACAACGAGCAAAGACCTGTAAAGATGGGCCCCTCGCCCTGTGGCAAGCCAAGTCGCGTGGTCAAAGCAAGGATCTGGTGCAAACCCGAAAAAAAGCCTCCCAGCAAGGCTTGAGTCCGTCCGTCAACCCAATGAGCAGTAAAAAGCACCTCTGCGATGACTCTCTCCTCCGCCCCCTGGTATATCGAGGGTCCTCTCGTGAGGATTGGTCTCGTGCTCGGACTGGGGTCATCCAACGATGCAGAAGCCGAGCTCCTCCGTGAGGTCTCCATAGCGACCGCCTGAAAACAACAGAGCGGTCGCGCGTCATTGGTGGTTTTAGTCTCAAACGTTCACTACTCTGTGGGGGAGTACCCGATGTGCATTGACAGATGCATGGTTGTCGCCGCTCCCACGGTAGTACTCTTCAAGCCCACAAGGCCTGACTCCAAACATCGTGGCTGTGATTCTTGCCCAAGCGGCAGCAACAGTAGAGTGACGAGAGGAAAGGTTTAGAGACCGTTCACATGACAGGTTCAACCTTGATTTCGAAGAAACAAGAGGAAACCATTCCAAGAAATCAGCAATGGCACCAGCACAACAACGCCAAAGACTGATTGCAAGGGCTTTGAAGCGGAACCGCCGATGAACCTACCAGTCGAAACCTCATCATTATTTCACACGGTTTGGTGTTGTTGCACGCACCTGCTGCCTCTGGAGCTCCATCTGGCTATTGACGGCGTCACGCACGTCCCCGTAGTCGAAGAACTGCCGCATCTGTTGCCCGAATCTCCACGCCTTTGACAGCGCCTGTGGCAACAACGCGATCCCACAACGTAACGCACCGACGGTTCACCCTTGTGTGACATTTTGCTTCCAACACCCCGCGCCAATGCAGCAAGTAACTCCTGACGCAATACACATGTCATGCGTTCGCAGACAACAGACAAGCATGTCATTCTGCAACCTACTTCTCATTGGCACTATTTAGCAATTTACCTTCGACGGTGTTGCCACCCTACCCTCCGCTAATGCGAGCGCTTCTGGGCCCAGTCCCTGGTGCCAAATCAGCGCAGCACACGTAGCATAAACCGCCCGGTTTACAGCCTCCACAGATCCTTGGTCCTCACCGACTTTTGCTCGCATAACCTTGCACAACCTATCAAAAGCAGAACGGTGCGAGCAGCAACACCCACCGGGCGTAAGTTCGCCTACTAGTTCACTTTGAAACAGGTTTCCCGCAGATGGCATCAGCAATTTCACAACATACCTTCCGTGCCAGAGGTCATCTCAATTGCTCAAGACACATATTCTGTGGCGATCACTTATAACAGCGCAATGCCAAACGACACGTCAAAAGACAGTGCCCGATAGCGCGAAGAACGAAACAAACGTGAATTGACGACCCGCCGACAACTCGTCTGACCTGCCCTCCAAGGGTGCGTTTTTCCTATCCAAGATAAACCTTTGCTTGAGGTTTCCTTCTCATCACATGAAAATAGTGACCATAAAGGGGTTATTTCCTTCAGAAATTCATGAGCAACACAATCAGCCCTCCAAGAACTTCGCTCTAGCAAACAACGGGCGCTCAGTCACAATGGTCGTCTCGGAAAACGAACAAATGCACTCACGAGCTGCCGCCGGTCCCCTCAAGCCTGTCCACGACTTCCTGCAGCAGCACGAGCTCTGGGGAGGGCGGTGCATTTGCTGCCAGCGACGGCACGGCTGCTCCAACATCTCCCACGGATACCTCGCGAGGCAACCCCCCTCCCGCCGGCACACGACCGACCCAAGTAACCCCATCTGCTGCTGGTGTTGCCGTTGACGTTGACGTTGAAGGCAGTGTTGTCGCAGGGCTGGCAACGGCCGTCGGAGAAGGGCCGACTGCAGCAGCAGCGGCAGCGGCAGTCTCGGGCGACACCGCCCCAGCCAAGAGGTCATCTTCCATCCTACATGAGCGGAGAATACGGGATGGGGTGGGCAACACGCACGACGCTCAGCAGGCATGTAGGCGCGTGTAGGCTTCGTGTGACTCACATGTGGTAGTGCCAAGGTCTCCTCCCACTTGCGCTTGCTCGAAGAAGGGTAAGGAGCAGGTTGTCTCTTCGAACACAGCATGGTGACAATAGCAAAAGGGAACGTTTTCTCCCGGTTCAGTCCGACGTCTACAGCGGTGTTAACCCTCTGCTGCCGTGAAAACACGGAACGCGGTAAACCCAGACCTGTGCTAAAGCTCACCATGGGGCGTTGTCATCCTCGGCTTTGCCTCCCCACGGCTTGGAGATCACGAGGCACCCCGCAAGAGCCGCTCCGGCCCCTGCCAGTTGCCGGTCTAGGCCCAGCAGCCAGTAGCCGCCTCCGTCCCCTCCGCTGCCAACCTAAAATACAAACACCCCGCAATGGCATGAATTGCCGGAATGAGACGTTGTGGTCACTGTGGTCACACGCAGAACTCGTGCCTACTGACGAGCGGAGCAAATCAACTTTGCCCTAGACTGCTATATGTAGACAAAAATGCACGGTGACCAGCGAAGCAGCAAACTCTCGTGAAGACAGTTTCATCTACATTGATGGCAGAAAAGGTAAGCAAACAAAAGGAAGCTCTGCACAGTATGGCATAGATACCAAAACAAAACTCGCGTCTCGGCAACCGTTCTGACTGGATTGACACCGAGTTCAAAGCGAAGTGGGAAAAGCAAAAGGAAAAACGACTTTTTCACTACTCATCAACGTTTGTCCCATGACAACTCGATACAATTCGCTTTCTTGACGCATGATATGCGCATAAAGAAGCATTTGAGTGAGCCCACCTTCTTCAACTCGGCTGAGGCAGTGAACTTCCAGCCCCAATCTTCGTTCGATCCGTCCGTCCTCCACTCAATCCAGCATCTGAAATTTACCGCGTGTTTGAACACGGCAATACAGTCGAAGCGAAAATGCCAACGTCGACCATCAGAGCGCAGCGATTACACGAGCATGCACCGTCCGATGTTGCGGGCATCGGTTGGGGTCGAACCTAGCACAGCGTTTGCCAACTCATCTTCAGAATGAAACGCGTCGGCTATACTGCTGTCAGTCAAGGTTGAATTCCCACCGAACGATGTCCGGTATAGCCTGTCCACAACGACGACACCAAAAAAATGACGAGTACATAACGGCACTACTGGAAGCTCGGTCTCTTCCAAGAAGTTAGAGTTCATAAGAAAAAAACGAAGGAAAAGGATCGAAAAACTATACTGTATTAGGCCCAAGCTGATCGTACTCTCTCCTGGCCACGCACGATACACGGATTAAGCAGGCCTACCTTTCCGCCTCGATCACTAGCGGATCCCTGCCGCCGAATCCCGGGAAGTTGCAAGAGCTCCCGGTGCCCGAGAGCTTGGGAATTCTCGGATGCCATGACTCCGTCTTCGACTCGTCCTTCCAAAACACCAAATAGTCGTACCTGCAGAACAACCGAGCGACAGCAGGTTGCCCAGACATCACGTACCTTCACGCTAAAAAGCACTTGCTACCACACACCAAAGGTATCCTCGTATTCTAGCAGCACACCACAAAAAACACGTTTTCGTGGACGAAGGGCAAACTAGCTGTGCGAATACGAACGTGTGCTATTTAGCAACCGCTCGATTGAGCCGGCACGAGCCAACCAAAAAAGACATGTGGCAATACAATCGCCTCGTTGTCGCTAATACGATGCTGAACAAATCTACACCACACATACCCGTCCTCTGTGCGCGAGCGTTCATCAAACGTCACCACCATCCTGGCAGCGCCTTTGATCTCCAGAACCAGGGTCTCATTCGTCAGCGCTTCGTAGTTGTGCTTGCTCTCCATCACCTTGCGGAAACACGACGGAAATCACGTGACAACAAACTCTGAATGACATGGATGTTCGTAGGTATTTCTACTGGTACGAGGCATGTAGTTTATTAGCCTGGTAGAGGGTGGCCTGAACACGTTTATAGTGGCCTGGCTGCTGCTATTCAAGGCCAGAGACGACCACCGTAGAGAAACCCACCACAGACTTGTTGACGGTGCCCACGCCCTTGCTAACCCCGGCCACGGACAGTCGGTCCTTTGGTACCCTCTCCAGCAACTTGGAAACCATCTTCATCACTCCCACGATCTCCCGTGCCATGGTGCTCAAGCGCCCCTGTATCGGTGGGCGAAGGGTGTTGTATGCCGGTCGGGTGTGTATGAATCAACTCACCCAACTGAATAACGAATCCGTTGAACCACGGGTTGACAGACACACGGCGATCGGTCGACAACAACTCGCTCATGGGGCAGGGGAATCATTTCGTCTATCGGTTGACGGCTTGACTCGCCGTGTCAACTCTGTCAGGTACATCAACTCCCAGGTCTATTGTGCCAGTCAGATCAACAGCGCTTGCTTGTATTACCGAGCGACAATACATCAACAAAACAACGGCAACAGTACATACCAGCCAAAAGACGCTAGTTTTGCTGCCAATCTCGAAGCTAAGCCGGTAATCTCATTAGATATAGACTAGCCTCATGGCCGGCTTTTCCTTGTTGCACATCAAACAACGTAAAATCGGGCTAAATGGGCCACAAACCACCGCCCAAGCTGATCAACCAGCCAAGTAACAAGCTGTTGAGGTGACGATATCAACTGTAGTGTTGCTTGCCTGTATTTTAGTGCCGTGCTTTTCCGCCAGCAGTGTAAGCGACGAAGCCACCATGGGCAAAAGTGCTCCCAAAGGAGACTCCTGAGGGTACGCGTATCAATGTTAAGCACGAAACGGGGGTGATTAAGAACGAAGTTCAAGCGCCAAAAAACGACGCACCCTGATGTTGCAGCCACCAATGGCATACACCGTTCAGCCTTTGGGGTAATCTAATACAGCAACGACGTAACCTTGGGCTACGTCAGAGTCGAAGCTTTACGCACTACCCCAGACACCGGTTCTTTCCCGCTTACAAGCTGGTTCACGGAAATGAACCCAAATGTATTCAACCACAGCTGCCAAACGAAGTATGTACACAATATTGACACATGTTGTGTCATAGTGACCCCCATGAGCAAGGGAACAAATCGTCGTGGCCGGAATTTCAATCAGAGCCGTGGCCACGATGCAATGGGCATATATGTGTCTTAGCCAATCAGAAGCCTTCAAAATGATATTAAACTAATAATGCGTGCAAACCCGCACTTGCCACCTCTTTCCACCGCAGTTTTGCAACAAAGCAATTACCATGCTCTAGGGGACCCAAAGAAAAAAAAATTGAAAACGGTCATTGTGGAAGCAAGTTATGCCCAAAATGGTGGTTCGACTGCTGAGATTTGGCGTCGTCCATTTTCCATGGATTGTACATATGGGAAATAACACACACAGAGAGTCTCGCATTGGATTGCCTTGTAATATCGAAGTAAATATTGAATAGTCCTCAGATTTTGATAGCACGGTGCAACAAACTTCCGCAAACCGTAAAAAAAAATGAGGCGATGTTTGCACTCCTGGCCGGCGTATTGGGGTCCCCTGTATGGAACCCCCGAAAGCCGGTTACAAATACATGAATTCCACTCTTTTTTTGTCCGCTCCGGGATAGTTCAAAGACCCTTTCCAGGAAGTTTTGTATCAACACTTGTAAACTTGGCGCAGCACGGGGATTTACAGTGAAAAAGGGGCCACGCGGATCGTATTCTTTACTTATGTCAAGTAGTTTGGGGAAAATCACGCTGAGCAAAACTTCATGGCACAAAAGCTGAAACTGCACGCCGTTTTTAGGAGTTAGACTTTGAAACTTTGCACACATGTACATTGGGTTCGCACGAAACGCTGTGCGGTGGGGCCTTTTTCATTTTCTCCGATGGTCGCCGGTTATTCGGGGTCCCAGGAGCCTCACCGACCCCGACATCTCTAGGACCCCGGATATCCGGCGACAGAGAAAAAAGAAGAAAAAGGCCCTGCCACACAGCGTTTCGCATTGACCCAAGGTACATGTGTGCAAACTCCTAAAAACGGCGTGAACTTTTGCTGTTGAAATCTTTTTGTTATGGGCCTTTTGTTATCCATTTCCCTGAACCAGCTTGTATCTACAAACGGGTGAGAGTCAAGACCAAGGGCACCATTACCACGCCTGGAAGTCCTCACCTGCAAGATGCGGTCAGCCTCCTCGGACAAGATCCCCTTGCCAGCCACGACACCCTCACCAATCGCGTCAGCCGTCGCCGCAGCTTGGGCTGCCAACGCGGCGCATGACCTGATCGATTGATGGGACACAAGGCAAGGGGGTCGAGAAGGGACGTAGCCGATGCAGGATCAGGCCCGGTGGGGGGAGCACGTAACCCTGTTTATAACATGAGCGAACCTTCGGTGAACCCCTCACAAAACCACCATCAGATAGACTACGAAAGTCTTCCACAACTTAGCGTCTAACACGGACACGTACCCGCATTACAAGTGGGCGACTACAGGCAAACCTGAGCGCTCTGCCGTAAACTTCAAGCCCATAATGGTGCTATACTATTTCCGATTGACAATGAAGCGCTCACCTGCATAAGGCCGTAACGAGCACGACCAGAGTGCTGGGTGCCGATACATCCCTGCCAAACCATGTCCCAGTCACTGTAGCTAGAGCATGCGTCGAGTCAAGCCCAACGGCTGTACCATCAGTAGCGCTGGAAATATTCGAAGCCGCTTCGTTCCTGTTGGTGTCGCCGCTGGCGCTGTTGGCTGTGGTTGAGTGTGTGGGGAGAGGCGCGAGTCCCATCGCCTTCAAGAAGCGAGCAATTTCTTCTTCGCAGAGCATGTCGAAGGCTTCAAGATCTGACTCCATGATCACGCAATCCGCGCTGAGGGAAAAAAGTTCGAGAGGTGCAACACGCAAGAGGATAGAGCGGCGTAGACGTTGATGGTTGCGAGGTTCGTCAGGAGGCCACAATGTGTTGGTCATTGGAACACAAACGATTCGGCATTGTACGGGTGCGCACTCAGCTGTTGTTGCAACAGCACGTTTCGTACGCTCTGCCCATGGTGAAGCCACAATGGTCCCCGAACAGGGCCATCTCAAGAACCAACCTTCAACACGCCTTGCGGAGCACGTAGGTCAATGCTACATCAACAACACCAACGCGATTCCGAACACACCTACTAAGGAGCTGGTTCATCAACCGTCCCAACATCTCCACCGCAGCCTCTCCCACTCCTCCCGTCAAAGCGGTACCATCCTCCACGCTTCTCCGCCCTGAATCCCTGCGATCGCCTGTATTCTTTTCTTGGGAACGGTGTTGCAACGCCTTGATCCTGGAAACCCCTTCAGCTGTGGCGACAGAGAGCAGTAGGCATTGCAATTCGTTCGCGGATGGAGCCGGGGTCGCTACCATCGTCGTCGCCGCCTGCGCGACATCGTCTTTCCCGAACAACACACCATCGTTCTTGGGAGTGGAGGCCCCGGTCGCCGCGATGGGCGGGGTAACGACGAAAGGGTTTGGTTCGTTAACTTTCGCGGAAACATTGGGTCGCACCACTATCTCCACCAGCTGACCGGGGTCGGACATCCGGCGGAGCAGAAGCTCTAGGACGGTCTCTCTTGCTGGGCTCAGGCCGTCGCTATATAGTTTCGAACAAAGACGAAGCAACAAACAGGGAGCGGGAGTGAGCGAGGTGACGTTTCGGGAACGCGGTGTCGGTAAACACCGTCTCGTCATGCGGCACGCGCGATTCCGAACGGTGTTGTTGTTTGCCTCGAACTGTCGGTGCAATGTCAGCAATTTTCCATCTCCACGATACAGCCGCTAAGGTCGTCCATCGCCTTGAACGCCGCAACAAAAAAGGTACATCGATCATGCCTTTCTGTAGCTTCGACCATGCTAGTAAACTCAAACGTAACTCGCATTTGCTACCTGCCGCACGGTCCTTGCCTCTCAACTGACGAGCTTCGATCTGGGTTCTAAACGAAATTCATCCGCGATGCATAACAATACGCCCGTAACCTCAGCCACGTCATATATACTGTACCAGCTGAGTAACGTCAAGTGCGATTCGTACCACACGGTTCTACTCTAGGTCCCGCTTGTGTGTGCTAGAAAAGGGCTCACCTGAGATACTTGGACAGATACCTCGCCAGCAGGCTATACCTCTGCGCGCACGAGGGGAAGAACAAGTCCATCCCCGTCACGAACAGGCGAAGGCACGCTCTCTGCAACAAATCCTGCCGCGCCCCCGCGCTCCCCACAGCCACCGCTCTTCGCCCTCCGCCGCTGTGGTCAAGGGCGGAAGAGCCAACGCTGCCGGTGCATGACACCCTGCGGACCGCAGTACCGATATCGGCAGCCGAGGGAGTTGCTTCTGAGACAACCCCTGCAGCCTTGTCTTTCGGCCCGAGGCCCTTCTCGTCGCTCTGCTTGCGAGGCGCTCGGACAGAGGGACGCGGCGTCGACAGTGTTTGCGTGCTTTCTTCTTGCTCCCCGACCTCCGGTCGGTTTTGGTCGATGACGGCAATCAGAAGACTCAATAGAGGGCCCAGTTTGTCCGGAGAAAACGAAGCCAGAGCCTGGAAAATGAAGAGGGCACAAACGAAAGGATAGGGGGAGCGTTGCTCGAAGCGTTCGGGGGTACATGTTGTGCGCGGGGAATGAATGGTCTGTTGGCCTCACAGCAACGAAGGGTGCACGGCAACCTCTTACTCCGGTGGACGTTGCACATTATCCACGCAATGAATTTCCAATGGCGCAACAGCCTGAGCTGGACGCGCTGTACGTCACCATTCCCTCGCAATGTAGGCTGCTCAAATGTTAGGAGAGTCTCTTGATTCGAAAACGGTATTATAGTGAATCCTTCGAGTATAAGAAGTCAACCCCAAGCTGCTATCATGCCACGTACTGGCTTCTCTAACGCACCGTTGAACCGCGTTGGGGCTCGAAACACGAAGAACTACACGCATTCGTCACTCCAACGAAACTCGCAAGCAGGGCTCATTGTTGCTAATTATCTCTCACCGCAGCCGGGGTAGAGCCTCTCAGCAGCTGGAACATCTGGTTGGTGAGGATGTTCACCGCCGACAGCACAACCGCTGCGTCCAGCTCCGCCTGTCCCACAACACCATCTACCTCCTTCGTTACCGTCTGTCCACCCCTTTCGCGAGCAAAACTTGATGCGGCGATCTCTGGTGTTACGTGCTGTGATGATACGTCCGGCTGCTGCCGCAGGAGGACCGATTCGTGCCTGAGAATAAGCGTGACGAGGTTGTCGAGAGTCTCCTTCGACACGTCCACGCACATTGGCACCTTTCGCGATGAAGCCGCCCGAGGAAGGGGGAAAAGGAGAGGGTAAGAGACACAAGAAAAAAGAGTGATTGCCGTTTATCAATTGCCGGCCGCAGAACAGCAGGCCTTGGTGCAGCTCGCGTGACGTTTTTTCGGAACCATCTCCAACATACGCAAAACAAACCCTTTCGACCAAGTTTGAGAGGCAACGGGTCAAGAGGTTCGTAGCAAGGGGTAGGGCGTCTTACCTTTGGGGCCGGTAGACGTTGCCTGACGGTGGCACACCCCTTCTTGGGCATTCGCAGGACCTGGACACGTCGAAAATGACTTGCAGGGTTACTGTCTCACGTTGTACAAAAGAGAGGAGCACGTGAATAATTTGAACCAATCTTCCCGTGCTGATTATTCCTCTAGAAGAAACTCGGTGAGCGACACATGAAAAATAGAAAAAAGACGAAAAACCAAAACGGTTGGAGTCCGCCAGCCGGTTGAACGTCTTCCGTCTCTCGATTCTTACCCGACCTCGCATGTTAACAAGTGCCGACCGCCAATATGTTGCTTTTGCTCGTTCTGTTCAGTCCACGTCGCCGACGAGCTCCACCGGCAACAATGCACACACGGATTAAGTCCAGGTTATTCGGCACCTGAGGTACGGAGCCTGGGATGGCGCCCCTCCGGCCTATCATCGCGAACGAGCTGCGCTTGTGCATGCCGAGCGCCGCAATCTCTGTGGTCCCGGCCCCCATGGACAAGAGTGCTCTTTTGGCGGAGTTGCCGAGGTTTCCGGAGGAATCCTCCTGTACGGCTATCAGCACCTGGTGTTGACCGGTGTATAGGTGATACGTGTTAGCTTCGACACAGGCGACAATCGATGTCGCGACAACCCAGCTACGCCGAAGGTATCCCTCAACACTATTAAACACGACATTCTTCCTCCGGCGGAAAAAAAGTGGCGGATAGGAACTTTATTCACACATCCCGGCGACAATGTTTTTGACGTCAAAAACTATATCAAGCCGGCGGTGTGTTATCCGTACGGGGTGAAATGTTCAGAGACAACATGGTGGTCTCAGAGTAACTCTTATGTTTTGCGTTCATGTTGACCCGCTGAAAATTCTTCACCCGGTGTGATATTTGCGTGAAAGACGGAAACTACAAGCTCGACACATAGATCCAATACGGCCGTCTTCGTACCGTGCGGCCCTGGGGCACATTGTTCAGGTAGTCCGCGAGCCGGTTTGAGGCGTGCACAGATTCGTGAGTGGCGAAGGTCGTGGCGACTTGTCCTCCTGCATCCAGAGTCTCCGTCAGGACCAGGACGTTCATGCCTGGCTCCTTGCAACTCCGGTCCTCTCCCCTCACCAGCAGCCTGGAAAAATTCCCGTCGTCTTTACCGCCGGAGGCGGCTTCCAGCTCGCACCGCACCCGGGGCTCGGCAACATCCTCCTGCCGGGAGCGCGAACCACGAACACGAAGAGAACATCTAATTCAGTTGAAGGGTATTTGGGTGTCTGGACGTCAGTACACAGGACAGGTCCCCACCCCCAACGCTGCGCTGTAAATAATCAGCCAACACAATAATGTTGAATGTTCCATCCTCTTACTCTTCACCGATATACGTCCCAGAGGCTCGTTCTTGCTCACAGAGTGGCTCCCCAGACGTTAGTGCAAAGAACCTGAACCACGACCACCGGAGGACAGACAGCACATCGCACCTAGTGCACCACTATGCCCGAGCAGCAGGTCACTTTCTCAAGACAACAACACTGTTGTGTACTGGACACGTCCACAAACAAGCGTTGACTTTCTACGTGGCTCAGCTATTACAAGTACACCATCGACGACCCCACACGCAAAAAAAAAAAAAGTCACCTCTGGCGGCCCGTACGGCTCGCCGAGCCTTTCTAGATAACCCAGCAACAGAGCAGCGTGCCCCCTAGCGCATAGCACCGCCTTGTCCCCCCCCTCCTCTCCCGAACCAGCAGGGCCGTGTAGATCCAGCAAGCCAGCCTCCTCAAGCCCCTCGACGCGGTGACAAGGGGACGAAGAACCCAGCATGATTCGAGCCCAGGCCATTCGCTCGGTGGTGTCCGACACCTTTCCCGGTGCAGCAGAGTCCAGCGACATGGTTCCCTCGCCCTCCGAAGGAACCACTCCGCGTGGAGACCGCAGTGCTGATGGCCGTGAGCCCTCGGGAGGGCTTGGTCGAGGCGGCGCGAAGATGGGCGCTAGTCCGTCGTTACGCCACCGACAGAGCTGTCGGGGGAGGGACGAGGGAGATTCGCGGGAAAATTCCAAGGTACATGTGCACAAGAATTCCTCGGTTTAGATATCTACTTCGTTCGGTTGAATATTCTCTCCGTGCGTTGTGTGACATTTCCTCTGAGGATTAGTTGTCCTACATGTCCAACCGACGACAGCGTGCACCACCTAGTTTGTGGAGAACAGCACCATGACTGAGTATCGCCCTAGACTCCCTCCCACCCCGGAAAATTATTAGTTTGCTGATCCCGACGTCGCTGACGGCAAAATTCCAGGCCTCAAATGACCAGCAGTAGCTGTACCTCCAAGTTAGTGTGCCGCCATGAGAGACAAAGTCTATCATCTCGACGAGCCACAGGTAGGCGCCCTGTGTCGTAGGTACAGCATCTACGCTTTTCCGTTGGAATACTTCATATATCGGGAAGCAAGTAATTCTACCGTTGCGGGACATCCCCGCTGTTCCTTTGTACGCTGCACCTTCTTCAAGATAGAATCCCACCCCCACATGACGTTGTTGCGGCGGTCGTACCCCAGCCCAGTCGGAGCAAGGCTTCCTGTAGACCTGGAAACCCAAACGGCGAGTTCGTCGCAAAATATCAAAGTGAAACGCTCGTTGGACATCAACCATAACTACACCGGGAACGATCGCACGAACACACGAACTCAGAGAAAGCCAGCAGTGACAAGCTGTTCACGCTCCCAGTGAGGTAAAATACGATATAATAGGACGGGGTGCCTGCCCGTTGCACTTGAAGTGGGGACAAGCAAAGAGGAATATAGAAGTTGCGAGATCGAGCATGAAATACGACGCCAGTTGGGAGTTTCGACGCGCTTCTGTAACGTTCACGAAACGCGAGGTCGTTCTGCCGTCGCAATGAACTTTTTCTGGCACATCCTCCATGGTCTAACTATCACCCTATCAACCATGCACACAGCAACAAAAAAATGGACAGATGGAGGGCCCAAACCGACGTGTGACTTGTTCTGGCGCTCTTTTACATCTGAATGCTGCTGATGTAACAAGCCCCACCTGACGTCGAATTCCATGTCTTCATCCTGGTGTGTGGTGCCTAGCGCCTCCTCGTCGCCGGATCTCGAGAATACACCAGAGCGGCATCGCATAGCGATAACGGCTGTGTCTACAAGCAGGAACGACGGGAAGCACGGCACACGGCGAGGAAAAAAGCAGAACGGAAAATGTCGAAAACTCTGTCCCGATTTGTGGATTGTAATGCAAAGCGTCGCTTGACTTGCACAAGCTTCTTCCTCGGGTCCAACGGCGGTACGAGGGCATCTACTCCCTCCATTTTCTCCAGAACAACGCGCGCAGCTCACGAATGCACGGCCTACCTGGCACAACTAACACTTGCGCGAGTATCGACTCGTGTGTTCCGTCTGCGTAGCCCACCTGCCGTCCTCTTTACCACTCCGGAGTGCCTGTGAGTGAGCATGACTAGTCTCTCTCCGTCGCACAACACCGCGTTCTGGTGGAGCTCCGTCTCGTCCATGCCCCACGCTAGCGTAGCGGTCCTCACGAGGCGATACCCGTCTTCTGGGTCCAGGAATAACATCTCCAGCCTTCAAAACGTCCAAATAAAACAAAGGAAAAGGGCTGTCGAGAGGCCGCCGACATGCGCCAGCCGTGGCTTCTCTTTTTAAGTGGTACAGAAATATCGCACGCTGCTGTGTTTTTGCGTGTGACGGTGTTGTAGGTCACAGACAAATTGCCCTCACGCTGCAGCCGGCGAGCGCTGAGGCCAGGCAACGCGAGGGCTATCAACGCATCAGCGAGAGGAGACACAAAAGAGCCACAAAGATGCTTGTTAGGCTCCTTGTTGGAGCAACGTTGTTATGCCATACCGTAGGACATGTCTCGCTTCTCGCTTCGCTCTCGTTTCTGCGGCGAAAGAAGTAGAACAGAAAAAACGCACCTGCGTGGAGAGTCACCATCACCCGACGCCGTTGCTGCCGCAGCCGCAGTACTCGGGTCGTCTCCCTCTTGCCCGCTTCCCGCCGGGCACACGAGGATAATGTGCCTCGAATCAGTCGTCATAGCGGGAAACGGAAACCCCCCTTCCTCCTCCTCCCGACACAGACCCTCCCGGACTTCCTCGCTTGGGCCGGTTGCCGACAGCCGGGTCAGCAAGCACCAGGGGGGGGGGGTCGCTGCTGAAGGCGCCAGGGTGTAGCGGACGAACCTGGCGAAAACGGTACGATAGAAGAGGAAACCAGCGGATCACCTAAAATAGCGCTTCTGGATAACCTGTCTCTGCATGGACGTGTCTGAGTGCCTGAAGATGGCGGCAGGAAAGGCGTACGACCTCCGGCTGCTAGAGTTTATGAAAGGTCATGGTGGGCGCTACGACAATGCGGGAGAGGCTCGTACAAGTGTTGGCTTGCAATTAGCTCCGCGAGGTCGACGGCTGTCCCCTTTAAGGAGTGGATTCAAAACAAAAAATTGTGACGAAAGGGTGTTTGACACTGATCCAAAATAACTCGATAGAGCGAAAGGGTGCTATTGTACGGAAATAGGGCGCTCTGCTGCCAATGTGTGACCTCACCCACGACGGGTTCACGGCACAAAAACACCTAACGCACCGGCCTCCAAGCGCGAATTCCAACAACCAACATGCGTCAATCTCAACCTTCATATGGTGTTCGGACATCTCATGTATGTGGCACCTTCCTCCTGTGTGGCCGAGGCTGATACCTTCCCATATGCGAAGGTGTAGACAGAGATGGGACGAATAACAAAACACACGCAGACAGACACCTGCACAGCAGGAGGGTCAGCCGCACCTTGCGATGTTGGTTACGCCTTCGGCTGCCGTGATCTTCGCCGAGTACTCGGCCGTTCCTCCCTCTTCCTGCTCATGCTCGGAGGCTGTCCACAAACCCAGGGTGGTCCAGGTGTTCCCGCTCAGCGACGTTTCCACCAAAAGGCTGTTTATTGGTTAACGGCAGGCCAGGCCGAAGGCGAGGATAATGATCTTGTTCGTGACGTGTATGGTAGACAAAGCCAAAATTCTAGCTTCACCGATTGACTTGGTGGTGGTACTCACGATAGAGGTATTCGTGTGCAGGCAAGAGTAAACACGACACTTTCACCTATCGTATCATATCATGTCATGTAGACATGGGCAAACATTTAGTGAGCTAAGGGTCAACAGACCCGGAGATCCATGGCACTGAATTGTGGCGGTTTCCGTACACAATGCTAGCATGCATCGACAAGGGAGAACAGGAGAACAGCCAGCCCTTCCACCAAGATCCAGCAGAAAAAATCAAGATTTAGGAACGACCGCTTTATACTCCATGTCATGCCTGCTGCTCGGCAAACCCGTCCCCTCGGCGCAGTCTCACCTCTGCATGGCGATGGAAATCCCAGCACCCGGGGACGGGAACAGCTCAACCCCTGCCCCCCGAACACGCCTCGCCAAACCCAGGTCGACAACGAGGACTCTATCGCGGTCCGACGGCGCGAAGGAAAAGGCCACATCGCTGGGCGAGCTTCCGCCCGAAGGGAAAGGGAGTCGATCCGATTCCTCGCGCACAAGAAGGTTGTTCTGCGACGCGAAAGCCGGACAGGTGTCACATTGACGTGCGGGAATGAAATTTAGTAGGGAGGAGGGGGGGGGGGCGTACGTCTTGTACGACTCCTCTTGCTTCTTGCATTCGAATGGGACTACGCAAGGCGACTTGGACCACCAGCTCGGACAGGCGTCAACCATCCTCCAAGGCGTTTCGGAAAGAAACGGCCGGCACCGGTACCGCGACATTGACATAACGCAACACAGACACAAGCATGAGCAACAGCTGCATTAGCAGCTAATCCCAACCCTGCACCTGGTACAGGAACACCGTGCTGGAAGCTGAATGTCTGGCTTTGGAAGATGCACCAGCACAGAAAGTTGAGCCAATAACCGAACCTTCCTTGGGAAACACTTCAAAATACGGCAGTTCTATCAATTCTCTCCTCCGGCGGCCGCTCAACCATGACTTTCACACAGCAACTACACAAGAGGCACCGTCCTCTACAACCACACTCCTCCTAAAAAAAACGTCTACAAACTACCACAAACTCTTTGTGAGGGCGTGCGACCCCCAACGATACACCAACCGATGACATACTTAGCATTTTTCCTCATGTCTCTGTTTGTCTCTCTCTCTCTCTCTCTCTCTCTCTCTCTCTCTCTCTCTCTCTCTCTCTCTCTCTCTCTCTCTCTCTTGCCTGCAAAACACCTCCGGACAGCTCCGAGTTGGAGGAGCACTCCGCCACGGATGCTCCGAGGTCAGCGTAAGCAAACTCCATTACGTCTTCCGTTTCCGCCACTTCCCCCACCCCCCCATCCTCGGGGGCCACCTCCTGTTTCTCCTCCAAACCATCCTCGGGCTTAGCCTGACGCGCTTCGGTAGGCGAAGCAGGAAAGCCTGGGATGGGCAGGTCGGCCAGGCTAACCACCTCTACGAGGGACAGGTCTGACGGACGTAGCACGGCGATCTCATCTGCCGACAGCGCCCCGGACGCCTGTATTTTGTTTAGTGAGACCGGTGGGGGGGGGTCGTGCAGCACGGCGGTTTTAGTTGGGGCGTCGAGAACCCCACAGCCAGTGGTGGCACACCAAGCCTCTCGGTTTTTAAGACAAGACAAAGGTTTGCGGTCAGGCCCCGACCAGCACGAAAGAGAAAAACGCCGCCTCGCGTCGGTCCTAAATCATCCCCCGCCCCAACAGTGCCAAGGAAGCCCTTCCCTATGCATACAAAATCCGTGCTTGTTCTGAATTATTATCCCTTCACCTTCTCACGGACGAACAGCTTCCCGCCCGCCAACGCAAGCCAGACCGGACGAACCGCAGCAGGTTCCGCCGTACCGCCGCCCCCCGCGGTGGCCCCACCCCCCCTGGAAGCTCTTGAGTCCCGCCTGCCCCCACTGTCTTCGTTGAAGTCTTGCACAGCAGCTGCCGAGGCTTCTCGCGCCTCGTCCCATATGGGGGGATTCAACGCCCGAGGCTGGTGCAAAGTTGAGAGGAGACATAATCGTATCCAAGGCAAGAGTAATAGTGCAAAGCAGCAGGCACATGTGTACAAGCTTAGCGATACGAAAGATTGTCAACAAGCGTACAGGTTGAGGGGAGCCTTGGTGCACGCTCGGCCACGAAATTTAAGAGGCTACAGCACCACGCAAAGCACAGCTCAGACCTTGCGAGCCAGGACATGGCATAATTGCCCAGGGTCTGACAGCATATTTTCTGCAACGGGTGGGCCAACCAACGCATCCCTGCGAAAACATGGGTGCGACACGTCTTCGAAAACTTACCAAAATATTCTACGACAAATAACGCTGGATGTCTTCTAGAAGCATGACACACCAAAGAGAAAGCGAGAAAAACCACGCGCTTCGCACTAACCGAGTCCGGTTCGATGGTTTCCCCCGTGGTCGGGTCGAGTATCTCGATGAACTCCTCTCCGTCGAGTTCGGCCTTCTCGTCGCTGTCCAGGCTTCCGTAGTCAGAGTCATCCACACTCTTCAGTGGCACCCACCCCACGATGTTGAGAGTCTTGGACGGGGGAGCGAAAGTAGTTCGCAAAAAAGTACGTACGGAATGGGTGGAGACGGCGTTGAGAAAACGGGAGAGGTTCACGCCTTCCGAATGCTACGTACTTTCGCAGGGAGAGAGCAGTGGTGGGCGGGATAGATAGCGCCCGACAAATCATGTAACAACAAAGAGATTAGGAACGTCCACCTGTATGAGACAAACCAAAAGCCGGTAGGTTTCAAAGCACGCGCGATGCCAGGCGTACCACTCCCTCGATCCCTCTGTGCGTTAACGCAGACCGGCAAGAGAGGCGACTGCTGAGGACGATGCGTTGCGTCCCCCCCCCCCCATGCGCAAACCTCGTAGGGAACTCATTGTTGAGCCAGCCACCGCATCAGCCGAACCACGCGCACCCACTCATCTTCCTGTCGGCCGAGAGAGCAGGGAGCTAGATGTTCCCTGCCGCTGCTCCACTGCACGGATTATATTCGAAACCATTCATACCAGCAAGCTCGTAAGCACGCACCTGGGTCGACACCGCGCGAGAGGTCACCCGGACCCTGTACCACCGGAAGCCGTGCACGACCTTGCAGTCGAGGATGTACCCCTCGTCGTCCTCCTCCATCGCTTCCTCGCCCTCGCCGAAATCATCACCCTCTTCGGGGCAGCCGGACTCAGGAACCTGCCACGCGACACGACACGACCAGACGGACCATCCATAATACGCGAAAACCCAAGTCGAAGGTGTGGGGGGATTTGCTCGAGCGATGCGCACCGGCTGAAGAAAACGAATCTATGCATACACACCTGCCCTGTCCTCCCTTCTCCCTTCTCCCTTCCTCGCCACGACGCAAAAGCAACGCCCGCCGTTCGAGCGGCTGCCGCAAGGATGTATCTATACGTTCACAGCAGAACACTCACCTGGCGAAGCACAGCCTTGAATTCCAGCGCCCTAAATCTCAGTAGCCCGTTCCCCCTCGCGCCGCCACCGTTGCCACCGCCGCCGCCGCCGCCGCCCCCGTCCCCACCGCCGGCCCCGCCGAGTCCCGCCGCGAGGGATCCAACAGTTCCTGCTCCGACCGCCATCGCAACCCCGATCCTTGCACCGCTCTCCCTCGCCCTCATGGTCCCCATGGCACCGAGGATCTCGTCTATCGTACGCGGGGGAGACGAGGAGCGGGACCTAGTCCGGCTGTCGGGGGGCGTCCTCGCCGCGCTTCCCGTCGGCGGGACGGTCATCGGAGACTGGCCGCTCGTCGGCACTTGCCGGACCGGCGACGGCACCCGGTGCAGCCGCACGCCGCCACCGCTGCTGCCTGCGCCCGAGCGCTGTCGCTCAGGCGGTGGTTGAGCGGCGTCTGCCCCCCGAGGGGCAGGCGAAGCCACCCCCACCCCCCCTGTCGCTGCCGTGGGCAGCGGCGGGGTTGCGGAGCCTCTTCGTGAAGAGGGCACAGGGGGCTGCGGGGGTGTACCTCTTGGGAGGGGGATTGCGGCGGGATCCGGGAATGGGGAGAAGGTGAAGGATGAATCCGAGGAGGACGAAGAGGGGGAAGACGAAGACGAAGAGGAAGAGGAAGAGGAAGGCATGGAGGACCGGGGCACCATGGAACCCAGTCCGAACCTGTGTGGGTTTGAGGTGGGTTGGACTCGGAGTGGGGTCTGGGTTGCATTTTCAACCCACGGTCAACGATACAAATGCACGAAAAACACACGCGGCAGTCCAAGAGCGTGCCCAAAGACAACGACACAGGGGGATAAACGGGTGTTCACAACCGCCACAAGCACAGCGACGACAGTATCTAGCAGTATCGTTTAAAAGTGACCACGCTGTTGATTGCATTGAAAGTGTCGACTCCTATCGGCGGCAAGGAACGAACGAAGAGGCGGAACCCGCAGGAGCAACGTGTAGGTGTCTTCCCCTGCTGGCTCACTGACCATGAACGGTTCAATCAGAGGACCAAGCTCCCCTGCATCTAACAAGAGCACGCGAAAACACCATCTACTGCTGCAGCCCTTGCCACAACGTTCTCCTCGTGACTCTACACTTCGCGCGGTGCATGTCTCCACCCAGGCTACCGCATTGAGTGACACTGCGTACAGAAGTTAGGAGGCTCGCAGGCCCCCTACGGCACCAACTTCAAGCACACGCCTTCATTCAGCGCAGCGGGCAACGATTCTCACCCGGATATGCCGTCAACCTCGAGGTTAGCAGTCTGTCGAAAACAAGGACAGGCGCAGGAGAACAATGGAGAGCGCGCCGGTGTTCAGGAAAAGGTTGGGATTGGGGTTTAAAAGGAGGAGGACGAAATCGAAGATACGCGGAAGATGAGTGAGGGGCGTCTGGGGTGCTCAGTGGCTGCTTCCATATTCTTCCATATTAGCTTGCACCCGAGCAGACTGCTTCCTACAACTCTCATCGCATGGCATCGTCGCAAAGACATAATGGGCGGCGAACGTCACGCCGAGAAAAAACGCTCACACGGATCAGAAGAAAGCTGGTGCTTTAGAGAGGACGATAAACCCGCCTGAACTCCGCAGCCTGACACCGGAAGACCGTTGTTTACCATCAGGTGCCAAGATATTTGCATAACAAAATGGAAAATGAAGTCGTGTTGGGCCCACCACGGGTGCCGCCATACGAAGTTGCTCCTGACCTGCCCCAATAGTCCCTCAGGCTCATAGCGATCGGCTTGTGCCGCCCCGTCCTACACCCCAACCACGCGGATAGTCTCTCCCAACTCACATTGAAGCTACCGCTTTCGTTCGAGCCGTTGGGATCCACGGGCTCGAAAAATTCCTCAAAGCCTTCCATGGCGCCGTTTAGACGATCGGGCTCGCTGTCATCGCTGTCGCTCATCCCCAATCCCAGCCCCCCTCCGATGTTTAGCCCCGTGCCCATCAAGGAGCGCCTCCGTTGAGCCGCCGCTTCCGACATGACGACGCCACCGTCGCCACCGCTCTGGCGAGGACGTGCATTGAGTACATCCGCCTACGAACAACCAAGCGTGGCGTTTGAGAGGCGAGGGGGGGGGAGGGGGGGTCCGGGGGGTACGTCGGGTACGGTAGCGTTCCACAAAAACTACACATGTGCCGCAAGCGACAGCCACGACCCGAACAAGCAGGTCTCACGCGTGTCACCAGACGACATCCGAAAAACAGGTCGTGCTGCCATGCGATCGTCGGGACCAACGCCACCTCATGGGCGAGTAGCAGCCTGGTCACGTCATGTCCGTCGCCGTCTGTGTGCGTGACGTCCATAAGGACACCGACCATCACCCCCTTGCCATGCTAGGCAGCCCTGACATTTGCTGAAAGGCTCTCTGGTTGTGACAACAGCATAAAACAATTCTACAACTCCCGACTCAGTCGCGAGGATAGGATGAAACGTCTGAGCAGTCTTGGCGCCAAATGTTCCAGACCTCTTCTGTGAGACGGCGAATACAGACAGTCCCGCCTTCACAAATACGTTGCTCTGTCGCTCACTAGATACTCTTTCAAGGACGGCATTGCACACGCTCAACCTGGGACTATCCCCCCCTGCGACGGTACATACTCACTGCAATGTTCCGGAACCTTTTCGTTCTAGGCGAAGCAAGCGATAGATGCCTAGACGCAAAACCGCACGAACCTACACAAACTCTGCGTAGCGCAGTCTAGCGGTACGGCAGCAGTGTCCCCGACCGTACCGAACCTGTAGTTGATGCGGCGCAAACACTTGGCGCAAAACACGGCACAAAAACAAGAACACGCTCATACGCACGGCCTCCTTACTTCAGGACTCGCAGCCTCGCCCTCGCCCTCGCCCTCGTCCTGATCCTCTTCGTCTTCCTCCGGCGGGGCGGGCTCCATGCCCTTGAAAACGCGAATGTCGTCGAGGACTTTCTTGCTCGACAGGTACACGTTTCCGGCCAGCGTTCCGTGGAAACCCGTGCCCACCTTTCATGTTACCGTACGGTACGGTATCCGATGGATACGTAAGTGCACAACCAAGCGAGCGGGTTCGTTTGGTGTCAAATCGGGAGTGTGGGAACAGCAGGTCTGTAAAAAAAGGTCTCGCGTAGCAACCGTGCGGGCCGGCAGAGTTTCAGATATGCTACTTTAACACTTTCGTATCATCAGGCGTTAGCGCAACGCCTGTCGTTTTTATCGAACACACGGCTTGCAACGGCGTTGCGAGCCTGAGGCTACAGGTGGGTGATCAGTCATCCGCCCCAAACACTCCACTCTGGTCTCAAGCCCCAAACACTCGTGTGGCTGTTATCGTCGCCCCAAGCCTCCATTTCCAACAGAAGCGCCGTGACGTCGAAAACCACCACCGCCTCAATACGGACGGCCCTCTCAGACGCACATGACGACTACCATGACATAGAAATAAGCGACGAGACGTACGTCTGCCCCCCCCCCCCCACCGCCCACCTTGTGCACCCTCTTCGTATCGGCATCCCAGACGTAGACATACACCCCGTCGGTCGCAGGGTTACAGCAACCCCCGCCTGCCGCCGCCGCTCCATCCTTGCGGCCGTTTCCACCACTACCACCAGCGCCTCGCCGGGCACTCGAGGGAGTCGAGCCACTTGTGCCTTCGGCCTCAGTGTCTAGGCGTGCCGGGAAAGACGCTGTCCAGGTGCCGGGTTTAGGGATCGAAACCTGCACCGCAACATCGGGGTTGGGAGAACACGCACATGGAAAAAAACTCGAAGACGAAGCCACCAACACGAGAGCGATGATGTTGGAGCCACCCAAAACTCTCGAGCTCGAGGTACAAACAGGTAGTACACCTCATCCCACTATCCTACGACACACAGTCCGTATGCATACTCTACGAGCTTTCAGATTCCGCAATGAGGTACGCCACAGGAGCCAACAACACACACTGGAAGAAGCAACACAAAAATGGCCGGCACCCGTGCTGCCTGCTGCGGCGCAACGGATCAACGAAAGAGGCCTCGCCCGGCTGCCTACTCCGGCAGAGAAAATCAAGCCCCACCTTGGGAGGCGTGGAGTGGTTCCTGAGTTGCTCCAGGGGCCCGCTAGCGGAAGGGGGAAGTGCCGGCACGTCCAGTTCCAGCAAGAGCATGGCCACCCGGACCACGTCCGACACGGATCCCGTCGCAACCCCGAGAGACAGGAGCAACGCCACAGCCTACCCGGACCGATTGAGCCGTGGGGGGTTACGCGAACCGCCGAAGGGGGACGGGAAGAGGGGGAGGGGCGAGGGAGGGGGGGGGTACGCCAAACGTTTTACTTTGCTGCGTAACGGATCAAGGCTACTCTGAACAGGGGGTGGGTGTGCGTAGTCGAGCATAGAAAAGAGCAACGAGGCCATTCACGCTGTGTACCATGGTTTCAGAGAAACAGCTTGGTATCATACAGGTTAATGTTGAAGCAAAAGAGCACACGCGTTGAAAAGAACGGCACACATTGATCTTGAGTACAAGACCGCAGCAGAGAGCGCGACGTGTTTTCTTGCTGCCCAGGTGAGACACGAAGCTGCGAAATACATGTTTCGTGCGTGCCACCGCAGGAAAAACGTTGAAAGTACCCAACCGCAGTGGTAAATATCGCCGCAATCTCACCCGAAGTTGTAGTATGATTAAACAAGTACCCCGGATCTCACACACGATCACCGTGACAGGCGGCAGGTGACGCTGTCAAACAAGGAGAATGTGCTTGGACAAAAAAATTAGGGTTCTGAAACGATAGTGGCATGGTTGCAACGTCGGGCGTACTCAGTCCTCTTCGCGTTCGGTCCGGATCTGAAAGTGATTTTGAGAGTTGGGCTAGAGTATGCTATACCTGTGTTCTCTCGTCCTTGGACGATCCGCTCTCGACAGTCGCCACCCTCTCGGCCACCTCACGTACTTGAGTCAAAGTCTCGAGGTACGCCGAGGAGGACCCGACCTGCAACGGGTCAAAGCACCAAACACAAACAAGGCGTAAGCGTCAACGTTTGGACCCAACCTCCACATGTCCTCCCCCAAAAAAATATATATATGCTTCTACAAGTGACAGCTTGAGAAAAAAAATATGTAGAGTGAATATTTCGGTGGAAACGGATGCACATACTGGTGATGGCAAGGTGAAAAAACATGGAAACCTGCCCGAGGTCACTTGGCAATGACAACGGAGAAAATACGTGCTCGCAAGAACACAACACAAACCCGATAGTTGTACAATCACGCATGAACGGCGAAGAGCGTCCATTCCAGAGCCACTTGTACCTGTCCCAGAGCGAAAGGTGCGGATGCCTGAAAGAGATCCATGAGGGTTTGCGCCATGCTCGCGAACAGCCCTGGGACCGTGGCGCGAAGAGCCCCCATGAGCGTGAGCGACATGCGCATCGAAGCTGAGGTCAGGATTGCGGCTGGGTCCGACTCTCCCCGTCCCTGTAGAGGTGGAAAAGACAACAACGCACACACAGATACGCCAATTTTGTGTGTTAACTCGAGGTGCGGCTGAGCGAGCGATGCCGACACTATAATAGTTAGTTTGCACACCGCACCAGAATCCGCAGGCGTTGGAGAAAACTGCACTATAATACAACTACTTTTCTTCCTCGCCCGTCGAAAGGAAGACAAGCGATTGGGCTGGGTGCTGCACCCACCCACCTACCTCTTCGTTAGAAGAGGGAGGGAGAGCGAACGCCGATGAAGCAGCCAACGCTCCGGCGCCTCCCTTGCCACCCGCCTCCGCCTTCATCCTTCTCATCGTACGGAATGCTTGCCGCATGAGAGCCACATGTATGCGCTACATGCGAGAGCGAGTGCATGAGAGGGAGCGTTGGGGGGGAGGGGGGGTTGAGCTGGCAATAGACCGATAAAAGCCAAACACTGAATAAGGCCAGGCATGGCACGAGACGTGTGGGGCAGGTATTCAGTACATCCAACTCCCGCTCCCAAGCGTATTACAAGTCTGGTTGCACCCGTCGCCAGAAACGAACGCATTCGCAATCTCTGGAGTCGCACCTCACAACGATGGTACTTGTATCACACAACCACACACGCACATTTCGAAAGCGTCATCCGTTTGTAGCCGCACTAAGACTGAGGTAATTTCATTGGTCACCGGTTATAGCGCGGCGAATGCTAACAGTAAAGACACTCCCGCGCACGCGCACACCTGAAACAATCTTGATCGCATCCGGGTCGCCGTGGAATGCGTCGAGGCTCGCAAGTAGCTCTCTCCCAGCAGGGGCGGGAAGTCCTCCACGCTCGTGCCCTCGCCGTTGCCCGTGTCTGCTCCCGCTGTTCCGTTAGGCAAGTCTTGCTGCGGTCTAAGCAGTTGCAGCATGCGTCGAACGGCGTCTTGGCCGTGCAAGCCACCTACTCCGACGTCGGCCTCCGCTGACAGTCCGGGGGAGCCGTCATTTCCCTGGACCTTAAAGGGGGAGTACGGTGAGCGAGTGGCAGGATCGGAGGAGGACTATGAACAACAGAGGTCTCGGCAAAGGGCTCGATATGACTGTTCGTGAGATCAGTGCTCCTCAGCTATGGATAAGCTCTCCTCCTCTATATCCCCCTCTGCCCTTACAGGGATGGCATCGGGGAAGTGGCCTCGACTGCCTTGGGTGGCGCAACTGTTTCATCTGCACCTAACGTCCGCAATGGAAGGCGTCTGTAAGGTGAAAACACAATGTTCTTTTGCCACGGCCTGTCGAAAGCACGATGTGAGCTCTCCTACAGCCCATTTCCCTCCACCACTTGCCCACAACACTGCACCTGAAAGATGTCATACTACCGTACTCCGAAACCTAGGCTGGCCTGACGGTAGGCACCTGTTGACACCTCCCTCTTACCGGAAGCATCTCAGTCCCTTCATAGGGCGGAAGGCTGGTATACTCCTCTTCCAAGAAGTCGTCGTTGAACAGCATCGACCCTTTTACCTGTCACAGCGATTTAGCAAGGCGGTCACTCGAAAAGTTAAAACAGCAGGTGTGTGTAGGGATGAGCAGCTGGTCTACCGCACATGAGCGATTGCCCTGCGAATTAAAAAAAAAAACAGAAGACACCTTCTTGCTTTGCGACATTCCAAAAAGCAACCAATATCCCCCCGGCGACTACATAAAACAGAGGTACCTCTACCACCCCGCCTAGCAGGGAAAATACATGCTGGCGCGTGGACAACGCAGATAAATCTTCCGAACCCCTGGTACCAGGGGAAAATGATAATGTTCAATTGAGAGCAGGACGAGGGGTGCTTACCAACCCAAACAACCCGACACAAAGCTCTCCATTGGTAAGCGCTAGGTCACCTACTGTACGTGGGAAGCCAAGCCGCGGCGCAAGAGGGGGTTTGAGCTAGGTTGCTGTACGTGCAAGCCTAAGGGGTAAGGGCTAAGTCATCGTATGTAAGGCTAAGCTGCGGCGCAATAGTGGTGAAAACTACCAGTAGGTTGCTGTACACGAACTGCGATTTTCTGAGAAATCATATTCCGACAAGGAGACCACGACTTTTTCGGCCTACAGTAGTAGTCGGGAACACTAATACAAGGCAGAGGTGCGCCATGCCACAGCCGTACGTACGTAAGCACGGCGTGTGTTTTTCCTCGGACGGATTGGATCAGAAAGGCCTTTCGCATCGCTCTCCCCCCGTCGTTCTGTATTGATACGCATGTTTGGGGCATTTCCGCTTCTTCGTTCTGGTGTAGAACAGCATTGGCGTGACATTCCTGGTCTTCAGGGACGGACTACTGCTGTACTGTACTTTACGTACCTCGTTCTCACGATGATGCGTCTACGTGTGCACCCAGCGTGTTGCTTGTACAAGCCTGCTGGTACTGCTGTCGCGCTAACTTGTCCATGTATTGTACCGTGGTCCCCTGCTGCTGCTATTGTATGGGTTTCTCTGTTTTATTCTAGATCATCGAGGCATCTGCGGTTGACTTCGTGCTGTGCCCCGCGGCCGTTCCCCGTATGCATACAATACAATACAGGAACAGTTATGCGTCGCTCAGGTTTAAATAAATCAAACGTAACGTACAGGCACTTGGTGCATCGCTGTGCACTCACCAGATGGGTATGGCGCATCAGACAGTGAAGGCTCTGCCGAAAACAAACAAACTTCTGTGAGGTGTGTATACCTTCAAACAAACTCTCTCCGCAACTCCGAACTTCAAACACGTTAACCATTATATGTACGGTACCACATCTCCGTACACCTATTCGACGATCATGTCGCAAGCAAGGTCGGTCCTTCGACAGTTCAAACGCCCGCCGACTTCATTTAAAAAAAAAACACAACGCGCTGTACCAGACACAAACCTTAACCATGCAGCGAGCACTGCCGCCGCTCTACGCACATTTGTCACGTCACCTCGTCGGTTGTTGACCATGGTCAGTGCATAGGTACTGCTGTAGGCTCCACGAAAAATGGCCAGGTGTTGCTTGAAAAGCTCTATGCACACAATTTATTTGCTCAAGTCTTTACTTGTAGAGTTCTCACCGAAAGCCATTTCAAGTCTTCTTCCACCACATCAGCGTCATCGATTGCCACGCTGCCGGCATGCTCAAGCACATTGCCCATGCTTTTGCTGTGTTTCTCTTACTCTCTCCTCTCTCGTTCGTTCTCGTTCTCGCCAACCTGCTCACTGCTCACGCTCGCAAGCGTACGAGCAACACTTCAAGCGCGAAGAGCAACAAACGCGCCTGACACAAGTGTTGGGGCCAAAATGCCGAGCTGACGATTCTAAAGAATCCCCCAGCTCCAGTCGAGCTTCGCGTAAACTTGCCAAGGGCACTCGCGCACCCGTTTGCAACAACGAGCGACTGCTGTAGGAAGGAAAGTGCTGTAAATGCGAGCGCTGGCGAACTCAAACTACCACAATGGTATTTTACGATGGCGTTCTGGTTCTCGCGTGAGTGTGTCCCCTGGGTTCCAAATTTCTCTCTTTCGCCGCACAACAGCAGGGGGCATCACTACAAGTGCTGCTCCGCGCACTGCTGTCCAGCCTACCGCCCTGTTCCGCTCAGCGCGGCAGCGGGCATGATGGAGCCAGCTAGCCACTCATGCTTCAGAGTTAATTCTAGGTTCGCACCCTTGTGTTTCATCCCTATAACGCACAGAGGTCGCCCACGACCAAACGAGCCTTGGCGGTTATCAAGGCGGAAGCACCGGCTTGGATGTTCTGCTGCCGGCGCACGAACAGCAGCAGAGGGAGATCATGATGCCCATGGTGGTGTTGGTGTTGGCAATGATGGTGGTGGTATTGGTGGTGGTCACGAGCAGGCTGCAGCAAGGTCGCCGGCCCCAGTCCAAGGGTGGACTGCAAGAAAGGGCAATGAGTCCCTCAACATCAAGGAGATGAACGTAAGTGCGCATGTTGGTCGCAGGACCAGACTGTTGGTACAGACAACGCATGCAAGATGACAGCAGCAGAGGCCACGCAGCTGAGTGCGAGCACATCGATGTTTTTCAGTCAGCAACGTAAATTGCCAAGGCTCCGCCGTAGGATGTGAAAAGCCTGCCCGTGTGCTCGCGTGGCATTAGTGTTTTCGCACAATATGTAGCAAGCTGCTGTCTGTTGCTGCGTGCCATGTTGGTGATGATGTCATCAAGATTGCGGATGATCTCGAGCAACCATCGTAATTTTATGGATGTTCACCGATGCATATCATACTCCAAGGAGAATGCCATTGGAAATGCTGCCGGACGTCACCTCCAGACTACAGAGACAACAGCAGGTCAAGAGAAGGATATGTAGCTCCACCGTCACCATGCAGGCGGGATGAACAAACCCATTTGCATGTAAGCTTGCGGTAAAACTAGGAGTCGTCGGGGCTCACCATGTCGTTCGTGGCGATTGCCTAGACTGTGCATACTATTTTCTCATGAAGCCTTGCAGCAGCTCTTGTTCGATTCAGACGCACACAAGCTGAGTGCCGCGACTCGGAGTATGCCTACCGCCATCTACGTCAAGAAAAATGGCTCCCTTTGACGGCATCTGGTTGCTTTGCCCCTGGCCGGCTTTCGAAACAGCAGTTCAGGAGAAAGATTCGCGTAAGAAAAGTATCGAAAAGAATCGCGCGGACGACGAGGCACAACTCCTTCATCAGCACTGCCAAGGTGCGGGGGGCGCGTGGTCAGTGGCGTGAGGTTCTAAGGCTGCTCGACAAAATGGCCGAGGACGGCATTCCTCTCAACAGCTATGCCTACAACAGCGCTCTGAGCTCGATCGCCAAGTCCGGACGGTGAGTAAAACATGCACATCTGTTGAGGGGGAGAGAGTCAATAAGTTTGGCAACCTCATGATTCAATGTTTGAAACGGTTCCGACGCTAATTTTCCACGGAGGTTGTTCCAGCAGTTGGTTGCGCAGAAAGTGTGTTAAAACGAGCTGCTTCTCTCCAGCGGTCGCCATCCTGGGGCATTGTTATCAAGTTGGGCTGGTGTCTTGTTCCCGACTTCCCTATTCGCGACGCCTGACCCCTTGCCGACAGAGTTTTAAAACCTGTAAAAAATTCTCCCTCAACATGCATGCGTGCCTTACCCGATCTATGCCAATGGTTGTGGTGGCACAGATGGCGCGAAGCGTTGGCATTGCGAGACCGGATGCTGTCCGAAGGAGTCAGACTTGACGGCTACACTTTCAGCGCGCTGATCGAGGCCTGTTCCAAGGGGGGAAATGTGAGCGATGGGTTTTCTTGTCTGAAAGCGTAAACCACCCAAAGGGCGAAAGTGGCTCGATTGCTGAGATTACTTCAATACAGCGTAGGAAGGACCGCGTGTTGGGTTGTGACAGTTTCTTTATTCCGAGGCTAAGCACTGCGCCGGTGTTGTGATTCTCCTTAGCGCCATTTTTTCCGCGCACGCTGCTTTCTGGACGGAGGGTGGCAAAAGTTCAACGACCATGTCGATCTCCGTCCAACAGCCTCTCTCCTCCCATCGCTCAAATAGGTAGCGAAGGGCGTGGAACTCCTGCGGGAAATGGTCGATGCGGGCGTTGCAAGAGATTGCTTCTCCTACAACGCGGCGCTACATGGGTGAGACGAGAATACCGGAATCGGAGTAAAGACTGGTGCAAGCAAACCGCGCTTCACATTCACGAAGCTGACAGCGATAGTACCGTGTGGCCATGTGAAATGAACCGGTATGATCCTGGTGGACGGATGTACCTGCCTGGTACATGGTAGGTGGTACCCGAGTGTTTCAGTCGACATCTCCGATGGAACGGCAAAGGTTTAGGGTCGCTCCTAGTAGACGTGGATCGCCGAACATGTTTCTCATCGATGAATCCGTAGGGTTTCCATTGAATGACCTCCGCCGCTCCGCCGTCCGTGGCTGAATTGCCCATGCGTGGTTAAACCGGCCAGGTTCGTCCGAAACGGCGACTCGAAAAACGCGTTGCTTATGCTCGAAGATATGGTTGCGGATGGCGTGCGGCCAGATGCCATCACCTACGGCACGTTGCTCGCATGTGTGAGTGAGTAGATCCTGGTGTTTCAAGCATCGGAATGTGTTCTGGGTGATTGATTGCGGGTGCCTGCTGATTTGAGCTAGCGACTGACATTCTGCTTCTGACGCTTGAACGTGAGTTCGGATGTAGTCGCAATCGCACGAACTGGGATTTGTGTTCATGTTATTCCCAAGCGGCGGACAAGAGTTCGTTCGTGGCTACAATTCGATTTTTTTCGACCTGGAGATTGACAAAAGAAAGAGATCGCTGAATTTTTCTCGCGACAACAATTGAACTTAAGCACCTCAGAAGGAACATGGAGCAAGCAACTCCCGTGCGCAAGGAGTAAAATGATGTCCAGCAACACACGAGATGGCAACACCCGCACACGATTGCATCGTGGTCCGCGCCGATAACTTGTCATTTTCCATTTTTCGAACCTAAACGTGGCGTCCTGATTGTGCTATTTTGCCGTGTACTTGTGACGTTGCCATTACGGATCCGGTGGTTGTCGGAGGTCGTGTGCATTTCATGTTGCTCTGAACCTCGCCGTTCTGTCGCAGTGTGGGAACTCAGGAGAATGGAAGCTCTGCATGAGCCTCATGGACCGCATGCGATCGGAGGGGATCACCCCCAACGCTTACAGCTTCAGTCCCCTCATCAAGGCTTGCGGCAAGGTACGTTGCGAACGCAGACTTGTCCTTTTCATGCGTGGTCTTTGTGACGGAGGCGAGACGGATGCCAACACACACATCGAAACAACGGCGGACGTGATGGGGAAGTTGCGAGAGGGACACCTGTTTATCGCCCGTGCCTCAACCAACAGACGAGACGAAACACCTTTCGACTTGGGTTCTTCATGTTTCAGCAGGAGAAGCTGGCACTCGCTCTTGTACCCTCCACGATGCTGTTTTGTGAATGACGTCGTCTTTGAGCTTTGAGGCCTTTCCTTGCCTTGTTCTGTAGCAACGTGGGAAAAGCATTGAGGCGATGTTCTGTGTCACGCACGGGGCTATTCTCGCTTCACCAAGACACGAGGACATTGCATGAAGAGTCAGGAATGACGAGTTGCGCTCGATCATTTCACACGGATTACGAGCACAGGGCATTCCGCACGCGCAGATGCTTCGACGTATCATGCAATTGAACACACCGACCGGGCCGGCCTGCGCCAAAGAGTACGGCATCACAGCGGCGGCTGCCTACTACAAGTAGACCTTGTGTTTTCAAAATAATACGCGCACGGCATTGACGGAAGAAAGGTGACCGTGCGCCCCCCCCCGCGTTCGGGCCCCCTCGAGGCTGCCACCCGCGTTGACGGACCCCGCGAAAGGGTCCATGGGGAGACGTACTTGTTGTACATCTATTTCGAGAGCGGCCTAGACTATGTACACCACCCGAAAAAGTCCTTCTCTAAAAGCCACGTGTGTTTGCTGTAGACTACTACTACATCGATCTACATATCCCCTGTGTTCCTCCACAGGGGAAGTACAGTAGACTAATGTACATGTCGCCTAATGTGTGCAAAGACTCTTGGATTCCTTCTGCAAACGTACCATCTACATGCCCTCGTACTACCGTAGACTATTATTCATATGTGTTCCTGCACGTTCTCTGAACTAGATTGTGAGGCCTTCTGGAATACCCAACCGGGCTTCTTTTCGCCTCCGCCGCATTGCCTGTCTCGCCCACGTGCGCCAATTGGAAACTTTCTGCCGTCATTCCATCGCCCGCACCAAACTGGTTGTTGTGGTGCAGGAGGGACGCTGGGCGCTGGCAGTGAAGACCCTTGAGGACATGGAGGCGTCGGGGCCTACACCGAACGAACACAACTGGCTGATGGCCATCGGCGCGTGAGTTGTCACCTTGGGAAAGAGGTCGCTATTCCGTGAGCTCCAAATGTCTTCTCCCTGCCTCGTTGTACTCACTCGTTCCCCTCCCCTGTGGAGTGCAGCACTTCTGAGACAAGCTCTTCGGTGACTTGCTCCCAGCGCTGGAATGCGATGGTGTCGAAGCAACTGCTGTTGCAGGCGACGGCGGAACAGCAGCGGGGTAGTTTCTCACTTGTAGTGAAGTTATTGTGCATTCGACAAAGAACAATATCATTTGCCGACCGTGGGTGCCGTCCATTTCATTCGCGTCCGCCTGTAATATGCGGAAAGTATTTACGCAAATTTGTTTTGCGTGGCCGAAACTCCGGCCTTTGCCCTTTTGCTCAGTGGTGGAGCCTTTGAAACCCGAGTACTCCGCGGCAGGAAAATTGAGGTTCTTTCGTTTCACCACCGCGCTTCATAACAACGCTGCCCATTTGTACAGCTGCGGGAACGCCGGACAGTGGGAGGAGGCTCTACGTCTGATCGACAAGCTGGAGGCCTTGGCGCTGGGGGGGGAGGGCGTGCCGATGTCGACCACCATGTACAATTTTGGGATTGACGCGGTGAGTGTGTATGTATATGATGTATCGTGCCATTGGCCCCCGAGGAGTAGGCCAGAGAGGTCAACAGGTTTCAATGCTCTTGGCTACGATTGGCTAGAGAAAGGCTATTCGGAGACCATTCCATCCCTAGGGCGTCAGCGTGTTTGCATGTTGTATACTAGGGCGGTGTGAAGCCATGAGTGAGTAACGCCAGCGCTAGAATAGCACCTTGCGACAAGCGGTGTTCTCCTCTCGCCGCGAGATGTCCATCGAGATGGCATGACTATCGCGCAGAGCTTGCCGCGGCATCAATGCTACCACAAACCCACGCTTATGCATGGCCAGTGCATACGTGATACCCCCCTCTTTCTTGTTTTTGTCGTGTCGTCGTCAATAAACCAACCTGTCGATCCATCGATCAATGGATCAGTGCGCCAGAGCCGGGAGATGGGACCAGGGCGTGGCGCTCCTAGAGAGGATGAAGAGCAACCCAGCGACGCCGCCCGACGCGCAAACGTACTCTTACCTCATCGACGCCTGCGCCAAGGATGCCAACTTGGAGGATGCCCTGGCGTACCTCACGGAGATGAGAGCTGTTGGACTGGCGTGAGTATGCTCACTCCTCATGTTGTCTGTGATGGTCGTGCCCACTCGTATGCTACTGTAGTTTCTCTTCAGTCTCTTGAGATACAAAATGGGGTCAAAGGGAGAAATACATCCCCCCATCTACCTGTTTTTTTCTCGGATGGTAGAGGTTTCAGCAAGTGCGTTCCTCGCAAAGACTCGCGCATGGCAACATGTTTAGAGCCTTTCCTGCATACCATGTTTTGGACGCCCTCGTTGATTGGTGTGTTGCCAAAGCTAGCCCGCTCGTGGAGCTCTCCCTTAGGTCCGCTACGATGGTGGAACAATTTCCGCTGTTCTGCCTGGTCTTACCCCCCCCCGCATCACCCAGGCCCACATTTTTCGCCTATATTTCTGCGATGAGCGCGATAAAGGTAGCTGGACAGTGGAAAGAAGCTCTTAGCCTGCTGGACGAGATGGCCAAGGGCAGGCTTATTTCAGACGTGTTTAGGTAAGGGTGGGTCGTCACTTGCCGCTCGTATTCCGTGCGCGGAAGATAACTCGTGAGGCGGTTCGTCAGGCTGGATGCTGCTGCTATTGCTGGTTCTGCCTGCGTCTTTGGAGCAGCAAAGCAGCACCGCCGTGTTTTCTTGGGGTGCCGCCTTGCCTTCGACGGGTGGGGTCTATCGAACGTTTATCGAAGGGTGTGTCAACTCTCTTCCCCAACATTTTTTGGGGAATTTGACCGAACTCAGCATCGTTGACAGTCCTAACGTAGCCCCGCACGCTGTGGCGATGACACATCAGTGCGCCTGGCGTGTTTTTGGGCCGAGTCAAGCAAGCTACGCTCAAATGGTGTTGTGTCGAGAACCCTCCGATGCCGTTTCTTGCCATAACAAGACCCTCCCACCGACTTTTCTTGTACGACCCTCTGCTTCTTGAAAGTAGGTGAAGAAAGGGCGGTGTTGAGTTGTATGGCATCCGTTTCTCATATTTGCGTTGAAGCATCGTTTTGTTCTTTGTATCCTGCTTTCGCCCCTTCAGCTTCTACAATGTGGTGGACGCGTACGGCAAGGACGGTCAGCTAGCGCGCACGCTGGTCCAGACCAGTGCCAATCCAACGGAGATCGCCGCAGATTCCGAAAACGAGGTGAATCTTAATCCTTGCGTGCGGGTTGTGTCGTGTCATGATGTTTGTTCGCATCGTTGTCAAATGGGAGCAAGTATCACTTGTTTCTTACGCGCCATGCTGGGGTTAAAGGATCGTGAGATCACAGTTCGAATTGTAGTCCGTGTCAGCAAGTGCACGCCTTGCGTAGTGCCCTGCCTACGGATGAGAGTCATTGCACGCACCACAGTAGAGCTTCGGTGCGCCACGTGACCTCGGACACCCTGTGGTTGACGTCGTCGATGCCCAAGCGACGGAGCATCAGGCACCAGTGTTTCGTGACATGGCCTTGAACGGCCTCAGCGGCTGAAAGGGTGATGCGAATTTGAACAAGACATGTGTGCGCGCCTCGTAGCAGATGAGATCCGATGCGGATCTGAACGCGTGGCGGGCGGAGGATCCAGACGAACTGGTGAAGCGAATGGAGAACAACGGAGTCGAGCTAGACGTGATGAGCTTCAACATCCTCATCGATGCCTGCGCCAGAGTAAGAGCACAACCGTAAATAGTTGTTGGTAGCCGCGTTGTCCGTGTGTTTGCGGGGCGGGATGGTGGCTTTGGGTGATCCATGTTTCAGCACATTTGATCTAAATTCGTGTTCTGTTTATGCTGTAGACTCGCAGCCACCCCATGGCCTGTCTATACCGTAACCCCTCTTCCAGCGGCTTTTTCCACAATCGCTACTCTTTATCTCCAAGCAGCTTGAGAACTTGCACGGAGATTTCAGGTCGAAAGTTCCTCCAGCACCCATTCCCCACTGGATTGAATCAGTACAAGAAGTACGGATCAAAGTACGGATCAAAGCCAAGCCACCGGGCTTTCCCACTATACTGCAGTATACCGCTCATCGGGTCCCGTTGCCGCTCTCGATGTCTCGTGTGCCATTTCGCAAGGGAGGGAGTCATTGGGCAGCCGCAAGGCTCCTCACTAAGATGAAGTCCCTCGGACTGCGACCGAACAGCTTGAGCTACAACCCCATCATCCACAGCTGCAGGGGCGGTACGGACGAGGAGTGGCGGCTTGCCCTTGACCTCCTCGACGAGATGCGGAAATCCGGTCTGACGGTGAGATAGATGTCCAGAGGGTGCCGGACCGAGTCCGGCCACTGCTATTGCGAACGAGACTGTTGGTTTTGACCCAGTACTGGAACGCGAGCAGTTGTTTGGTCTAGTGCCTTCGGCGGCGTGTGTTCTGGGGGGGTTGGGGTTGGGGACGGCCGGCGGGTGTTTCATGTAGCTCCGGCAACCACAGTGATCATATCGTCCAGAGCGGCAGTGCTGCTAACACTGCTGTTGTTGCCGTGAGGTGTTGGCTATGATGCTTGGAGTTTCTGTTTTTTAGTCTCTTCCTTTCCTTTGAGTTTTCGTCCATTCAAGGAGTTTTTGGTGCGGACGTCTCTTTCCGTTCCTACTTCACCAATGCCCCATGGCGCACCTCTTCGTCGTCTCCTTTCCGCACTCTAGCCTGACGTTATCAGTTTCAACACAGCGATCACGTCCTGCGCGAAGGCTGGGGATTGGCGACGTTCGCTTAATCTTTTCGCGGGCATGAAGGTCGAGGGGGTCACGCCCGATATCCTATCGTACAACGCCGTCATCAGCGCTTGTGCGAAGGGGGGGCAATGGCGGATTGGGCTCGAGCTCCTGGCAAAGGTACTGTTTTCCTATGTGGGGACGATATCGTGCACGACCGGTTCGAAAAGCGGTGCCCTTCCTCGTTGACCATTGGGGGCGTCGGTGTCCCTGTGGTTTGTAACCGTCATGCCAGCCGGCGCACGGTTCATCCCCGATTCGTGGATTCAAACCCATTTACACATGCATGTCAACTTTACTGCGGTATGTTTTGACCGTCAACCAATCTTGGTTGAAGCGCGAAGTTGCACAAGGTTTGACAAAAGAAACGCCTTCGTCGTGCTGCCTGACAAATTCACCTCCTGGTTCATGTGCTATCTCGGCGTGATATTCTGACTACGAGGTATTATCTGCCGCCGCTTGGCGCTGGTACACATCCTTACGATCATCCCCCTGTTTTTCTACCCCCTGCCCTGGGAAGGTGCGTGCGGACCCCACGCTGGAGGCCAACCAGAGAACCTACACGTCCGCAATCAACTGTTTTCAGCAGTTCCAGGGAGGACAATCGGTGGCAAGCTTGGCGTCGACGTTGGCAGGACAAAGCTCTCGCGAGGAGATGCTCCTCAATCCGATACCGACCAGCGATGTTTATCTAGGAGGGTCTCCGGGTACGCCGGAGGGCGGTGAAGTTGGTTAAGAGCACGACGAAAAAGGGGCTTAACACTTTGGCACTTCCGGTGCATCTTGAACATGCTTCGGTCTGTATCTTCGATCGGTGGGCGGCCGGCGAATGGCACTCTGTGAAAAAGCAAGCTTTTGGGAGTCGCCGCTAAGCACCCGACAACCCCGCCGGCACGTGGGACACCCCCGGAACGCGTGCCTGCGTCACGCCCCTGTGGTAGCAGCCCTCCGGAGGAAAAGTCGGATGACCCCGAGGGTGCCGAACCATCGGCGGTGACGATGGCGATGATTCGGTCGAGCGCGAGAAGTTCTTCGGCGGCGGGGGTGGAGACGATGACGAGGACGTCCCCACTGCCGCCGGCCGGGAGCAGCAGGGGGACTGGGCAGACGAGGACGAACCCGAGGAGGAGCCCGAGGCTCTTACATCTCCCGCCTGGCGCATCCATCGTGGAGATGCTGAAACGGCACCACCGCGATGGGACCGACCCTCCTGAATGGCTCATGTCCATTGTACTCCCCGCCAACAATAGAGTGGTTATACAAATATTGGCTCGCTGCGCGTTAGATTAGACAGGAGTGGTTATGTAGACAGGTCGGGAGTTGACCAGAACATTATGTACAAGATGGATGTGCAACCTTCCAATAATTGGCGTCTATCAATGCTGCTGTCATTTGCAGCAAGCCAACACTGTCACTACCTAGACAGTTGTTGGCTCGGCGGTTACGGCAGTAGTAAAAGAGGGTCGACAGTGTATGTAAAACTGTTTTCTTGGTGCTCCGGGTATAATATCTTTGCCCAGAGCTGTGGGTCATAGCTAAATTGATGCTGTGTTGGTGTTGTGGCCTTTTACAAATGTGATGATTTTTGTGTTGTTGTTTGGTCCTGTGGTATCACCGTTTCTCCATCGAGCTGGCAATTTGTTGGGAAGCCAGTCAGTTTGAGAATCGTATCACGACGTTCGAATTATCTCCGCCCGAAAATAAGTTTTCTGCCCTCCATCCACAACAACAGCACTAACACTGCTGTATGCGTACGATGAACCCGTATGAAACCAGCTCGCTCTTTTATGTTCGTGTGCAGACTCTAGTCGACTTGGTGTGAATCAGGCTTTCAGTGAGAGGGAGACGGGAAATCTACTAACACAGGAGTCAGAGACAGGGAGGGTCTTGGCGTGCCGTTGCCCAGGTAGAGTGGAACAGGCGAAAGCCGGGGATTCTGCAACAGCAGTCCACACGAGGGAAGCTGGATATTTGAAATTTGAACTTTCACGTCACGAAGTCTCTCTTGTGGAGTGTAAACCCGCACGTTCATTCTCGGCCGGGGAGAAGATGCAGGGAACGTGGTTTAAAATCGATGTGTCCGTGTTGGTACATCCTGGTATGCAATTATGTCTTTGTTCGAGCGCTAGGGCGCGGTGACGAACGTGGAACAGAGTGGGTGGAGGGTATAAAAGGGCTCTCAAACCACCCGACAACCTGCAATTCAAACCACCAAAACATGACGATCGTCCCCGGGTGAGATTATGCCTTCCTTCTCTAAGAGTACTCCCTTTTCGGTGGTGGCCACACGAAACGCTAGACCCACAGCCGCAACGATACAGCTCTCCCTGCTTGTCCAACAAGCCATGCCCGCAAAACGACGACCTACGCCGACGAAGGCTGAAGGTAGCAGTGACAATGCAAAAAATGGCGTCAAAAAGGCCGCCGCCGCGGCAGCCAAGAGCCCTCCGCCATCAGCAGGCAAGAAGAAGAAGGCACCTCCACCCATCGCCGCCGCAGCCCACACATCCCGCGAGAAGGGCAAAGGAGCCTTCCTGGGCAAGGGCGGTGTGCTCACGCTAGGAGGTAAGACCTCTGGCGGCGGGCGTGGAAAGGGTGGGGGGCGTGGCAGCAACAGCTCCCCGGGGCGGGGCGGTCACGGTGGCCCCAAGAAGGGTAGGGGTGGTGCTGCGGGTGGACATGGAGCAGCGACGGCAACCAAAGCAGCTACTGCTGTTGAGGGCAGCAACGCGAGCTCAGAGGAGGACGGGGAGTCCGAAGATGGTGGTGAGTTGGACGAGATGGAGGAAAGCAGCGAAGACGGTAGTGAAGAAGAAGAAGAAGCGGAGCAAGTCACGGGCGCCAAGGCAAAGGCAAATAAGTCCAAACACGGCGGTGGCAAGAGGCAGGAGGAGGATTCTTCTGAAGGAGAGGAGAGCGAGCAAGAGCTGCAGTCCTTCATGGAAGCCTTCCCGGGGATGAGCAGCGACGAAGAGGAGGGGGAGGATGGGACAGGGTTGGGTGGGGCTGGCATGGTTAGCGATGGCAGCAGCAGCGATGACGCGGGGAGCGATAGTGATGAAGACGAGGAGGACGGCGGGCTGATGGATGTACGTTTGTCGCGTGTTGCAACAACGCGAGCATCTTATGTCAACAGCAGGACACATGTAAAGGCGTCGTATAGGTAGCGGCATTGACGCGTGGTTCGTGTGGTACAGACGTATCACTGTTTGTCGCGTCTGTTCTAGCACGTTGTACATCAGTAACCCCGCCAGACACGGTAGCTTCCTTCGATTTGCTGGTGATGGAATCAACTGGACGAACTCAAGGCATATACATGAGTTTTTTGTGTGGCCAGGCGTCAAGGGCTGGCTCTTTTTCGCAGAAATACCTCACTCGCTACCTTCCACAGACGTGCCCCTTTTGATCGCCTACAGTAGGGTTGCATGGCAATCAGATCGTCAAGTACATTTTCACTTTGTGTTGCCGGTTGTTGGTCCTGATTTTGAGAATTTATGCACCCTGTGCGGCTATCTATCTATTCCTCTGATGTCCTGGTCACCACACCCAGGGGTACGGATTTGGACTTTGTGTTGGGTGTACAACCGATTCCTCGTCTCTGTCTTCTCACCATTTCGAAACGGTTTTGTCTCTTGCCACAGATTGAGCGACAGTCGAAGGCCCTCGACAAGAAAGCAGCCAGGATGCAGGCTGAACTTCGTGACGAGGCGAAAGAAGGTCTCGAAAGGGATGTCTTGGAGGGCAGGGAGGCGTTGGGCCTTGTCCCTGCCGGAGAGGGGGACGGGGAGGAGGGGGAAGAAGGCCAGGAAGAGGAGGTCGTGCCTCCGCAGGTGCTCAAGGAGAGAATAGAGTCCGTCATCGAAGTTCTCAGCCAGTTTCAGGTGCGCCCACTTCCTGTGCTGCTGGTGCACAAACTTGTTGGCCCACAGTCGATTTTGTTGTGTCGAATTGCAAGATGCTGCGGTTGGAGTGAGGCGTTTCTTGGTGTTGGGAGGTACGGTCTGTTTGCTGGCTGAAGACGGTCTTGCCTCTGAGACTCGGGTATTGCTGCTGATGCCGTCGGTAGTTTGCGATACGCGGCTGCTCTCTTCTGTCTGTCCACACCTCACTGATGATGAAGTGGTTGCGTAGCATGGCAACACCATCACTACGCTGTATTTGACACCCTTTGGCGACGTTCGCTTACCCATATCTGCCTTGCGTTGTCCGTCTGCTGTTTGGTACATACAGGAGAAAAGAGACCCCGCCTTATCGCGAGCAGATTACTTGGAACGCCTGGCCAAAGATCTGAAAGAGTACTACGGCTTCCTCCGAGAGCTGGTCGATATGTTTCTTCTCGTAAGTTGACAGCAGTCCCTCGTCCCGCGAAGCTACTGTAGTTCCAAACAAGATTCACCGGTGTGTGTTATTGTTGCTGTGGTTTTGAAACAACCGGTTTAGACCTCCGTTAATGGTTCATGCGTCTACTGCGCTCATGAAACCGGCAAGAGGCGCCAACATGGTGGGCGCAACCCAATCAAGGTGAAATTCTTCACTGACAGTTTGTAACCTTGGAAATACCATTTCTCATATGCTAATTATTTATTGAATGCCGCGGAGCATAAGCGGCACGTCCGACCTCGAACTATCCAACACGGCCAAAAGCTCACGGTATTGAACGAAAACCTCCCCGTGAATCGCTGGGTGGAATCTGTTGAGAATCGTCCTGTCCTTGCTCTCGAAGCTCTAACCGTGTCGTCTGGTTTCCCTCTTGTGCCTGTTTTTTCTGCAAATGACAATGAAGATGTTCTCTCCAGCGGAGTGCGTCGAGTTTCTCGAGGCGAGTGACAAGCCCAGGCCGCTTGTCATTCGCGCCAACACCCTCAAGACCCGCCGAAAAGACTTGGCAGAAGTGAGTCAGTCGCATTTCGAGGAGAATCTGGTTTGTCATCCTTTGTTTGTGGTTGCCGTCTGTTCTGCTCGTCGCTCCAGCTCACCAAGTATGTGTGGTGCATGTGTTCAGTATAGAATATTAAAATTTCTGTTTAAGGTCGCTTGTATGTATCCCGCAAGACGCATATCAGTCCAAGTATTTTGCTTTACGGCGCACTTGACCTGGCTAACGCGAGTCTTTTGATCCAACTTGTTTTGGGATTTATTTTTCTGAGACAACTCGAATCGTATTGTGTCATTGTTTCCTCTCCGTAACCCAGGCGTTGATCAAGAGGGGGGTCAGCCTCGAACCAGTGGCAAAGTGGTCCAAGGTCGGCCTCAAGATCACAGAGTCCCAGATTCCCATCGGTGCCACGCCGGAATACCTCGCGGGACACTACATGCTGCAGTCTGCTGCATCAATGTGTCCAGTGATGGCGCTCGCCCCCCAGCAGGTTCGTACACGAAAGAACTCAGCGAAATTATTCCCGAACACCGAAGCGGTCTGAAAATATGTTCGAAGTAGTCGATTGCAAGGATTGACATACACCGTTTGCTTCTTTGTTTTTGTGCGGGTTGATGTTTTCGTCTCACGTGTGTTGGTTTTCCTCGGTTCAGATAACCGTTGCCATGTAGATGCCTGCTCTCACCTTCAAACGTTCCGTCTACGCGTACATATATAGGTATGACGTGCCGTGGACCCATACTCAAAGCTCGATATCATGACAGCAACGAGAGATCCATTGGCGAAAAGCATGGAACGCACTTTCGAAATTATGTCATGTCTGTCGGTTTTGCCACCCTCATTGACTTGGAGAACTGAAAATATAGTAACAACCTTTTCAAGGGGGTGTGGTGTCTTGCGTGGAAGTCGGTACGCAGCTGCTATGTACTACAGGAACTGACGCATGGCCACCGTAGGCGTCCCGGTCCTTGCTTACGCTCGTTATTTTTGTTCTTATCTTGTACGCATACCTATTTTATATTTTGCTTGCACTTTGCCGCTGTGTTGTTGGTGACTCGTCTGCAGGGAGAGCGGGTGCTTGACATGTCGGCCGCCCCCGGTGGCAAGAGCACGTACATCGCCCAGCTCATGCGGAACACCGGAGTCGTCATCGCGAACGACCTTCGCCCACAGGTCAGCACTTAAGGGGAGGGTGTGTTGAAGTGCCTCAAGGCACGGGACCTTGTCACAGCAATGGTCTGGCGTTGTCGCTGTCGTGATTCCTGTAGCCACCACCATCGCTGTGCTCTGTGTGGTCAGGGTTTGTGAAAATGGCAAGTGAGTATGCTGTTGACACAACGCGGGCGGGTCCGTGCTCGCCTGCCTCCACCTGACGTTTGTGTCAAGTATTTCGTTGTTCCGAAGCCACAACACTGGGACGCTTGCTCAACTTCTTTCACTCTAAATATAATAGTGCCTCTCTCTCACCACGGCGGCTGCTGCCCCCACGACCTCCTGCTAACATTCTGACGCTTTGCTCCCTCCCTCCACCGCAGCGACAACGGGCGACGGTTGCCAACCTGCACCGCCTCGGCGTGAGGAACGCCCTGGTGTGCTGCCACGACGGCCGCAAGATTCCCTTCAAGGGCGTCGACAGGGTGCTGCTAGACGCACCTTGCTCCGGTAAGCCGTCCGGTATCGTCTCTCAAGCACTAGGGAAGTGGTTGGGTTGCATAGCGTATGGACGTGTTGATTGGCCGTGTCTTGTGTGCACGCGCTGGAGAGGGTGGCGTTACGTGGACGGCTTTGTAGCTCGAGATGTGCACGGTATTGCGTCTTCTCAATCGTAAACCTCGAGCGCTCGCGGTTGCTGTGACGTACTACTGTTGCAGCGAACCGTCTGCCCGCTTCCAATCTTTCGCCATCGGTGTTTGCAGTTGTGCGACCCGTTACAATCCCCACATGTGCAACTCCTGAAGTTTGTAAATGATATTCCAAACCCCACGGTGTTTGTCGTGTGGCTTCATTCCAGGGCTGGGGGTGATCTCACGCGACCAGTCGGTGAAGATCCAGCGTACCACCAAGGACATCCTCCGCAGCTCGCACTTGCAGAAGGAGCTTCTCTGTGCTGCGGTCGACGCCGTGAGTGCCAAGAGCGCCACGGGAGGGGTCATCGTGTACTCGACCTGCTCAGTCAGCGTGGCTGAAAACGAACAGGTGAGGACGCGAAAAATATTATGTTGTCGAGCTGATTTTTTTTTCAGTCAACAGCTGACAATTGTCGATTGACTTTGCAGAACTAACTCTTGCCAACCTTTTGGGGACAGCTGAGTGCTTACAAGTGTATCGTGACGTCGTACCTTTTTTTTTTCTATTTTCCAGCTTTGCACGGTAAAATGGTGTCTCCTATGAGGAATTGCTTCAAGACTGGAATTACCGTCTGAGAAATCCCTGCGGAAAAAACTTCGAAGCGGCTGAGTCTGAGGAGGTACCCGTCGCATTCACTTTCACAAACACCTTTGAATCCAAACGCTAGATAAACGTTACCTTGTGTAAACCGATTTGAACGCAACGTTCGAGAAGATCAGGTTTCTCCCGTTCAACGTGTCCACTCGAGAAGGTCCAATATTCTGCTTGTACCATTCCGGGCCTGCATTCCACCAAACATGTCGCGTCGCAATTGCATGATAATTGTTTCAATCTAGTTGTTAAGAGAGAGCCCGATGATTTTAGCACAGGTTATATCTACATTTTTCACCTTAGCAGAAAAACATGCTGAGAGTACCGTCGACTTCCTTATGAGGGCCTCTTTTCCCTTGCGTTTGATGAGGAGTCATGTTCCTGAGCGATATACCATGACCACAGCACAACCAAGAAGATGACATATCATCGCGCGGGCACACATCCAACACCATACGTACGTACGGATATTCGTTATGTCTTGACTTAGCTTTTCAAGTTGGAGTTTTTTTCTGGTTTCTTGTCGGGGCTATTGTATTGCGAGCATTGCTTCAAACCGGAACTACCGTGTGAGAAAACACGTTCGAGGTGGCGAGATATGCGAAGGTCAAGTCCTACATTGTACCATATTTTTTGTTGAATTTTCTCGTTTTTGTTTGTTTTGTTGAGTTCCGTAAGATGCTTTGGGGTACGCACACGGAGTGTGTGAGGTGTACACAGTTTTTTCCAGTGTCGAGTGCCTCCTGCTTGGAACGTTGTGTTTGACTGCAAGTACCGTGTTTTTTTGTTTCGCTACTCTCATCTCCTGTGAGGAATTGCTTCAAGACTGGAATTACCGTCTGAGAAAACCTTGCGGAAAAAACTTCGAAGCGGCTGAGTCTGAGGAGATGACCATTATTAACTACCCTTGAAATTTTTTGAGTCCTTCTCTTTTCGTATATTGTATACCCCACCATGGCACATGACCCAAACGGTGCATCGCCCAAGGTATTTCGTTTGTCGCCTGTCTGAAGACGTATCACCCAGACCTCATCTGCGGAAAGATACTCTTCAAGTCAAGTCATAAATTGAGACACCAACCAAGGGAAATTACTTGAGAACACGAAAGATTTCACACAGGCCTACCTCCTCATTGCTGACAAAAACCACCAATACGATCGTATTGCCCGCGTAGTTGTGTTTCCTAGGGATAGGCGGTTGTTGGGAACAGTCAGATATCGCAAGTTTTCTAACCATTGTTGAGTTACGCGAGTGAGGTTACCGCGGATTGCTTGTTGCGAAGACGAAGAAGGCGCCCGATGATTATAACTCACGTTACATCTACATTTTTTATCAGAGCATAAACTCGTGCTGAGATACCGTCGACTTCCTTATGAGGGCCTCTTCTTCTACATCTTTTTATGTAGGAACACGTTCATTTACCTCGTTAGGGTTGATTAGGACCGACTTATGGTATATTTTTAATTCTGTTTGATTGTTTTTTATTTTTGTGCCAATTTACTCTCCATCTTGCTTCTTTTGGAATGTCGATGCCTTGTGCCGGCCTATACTCCCGTGATGAATAGCTTCAAACTGGAATTACCGTCTGAGAACAAACGTGCGGAAAAACCTTCGAAGCGGCTTAGTCTGAGGAGAATCGTCTTGCCTACTTCAGCGCGTCCTAGCGTTCTCTTTTTTTTTCTGATGTGTGTGACCAATGCCAATACATGCGTTCAGTTCATTTGGACGATGAAGTGCATTAAATAGGGAGGCTCATCCTAATTGTGTGTATCACTGTCTCCCGTGATGAACTGCTTCAAACTGGAATTACCGTCTGAGAACAATCCTGCGGAACAAAATTCGAAGCGGCTTAGTCTGAGGAGAGTTATGCATATATCTTGTCCTTAATCTGCCTTGTGCTCCGTACAACAGCCTCTGGGTATTGCGACTTCAAGCGTTCGTTCCCTGTAGATTTATCCCGTGATGAACTGCTTCAAACTGGAATTACCGTCTGAGATCAATCCTGCGGAACAAAATTCGAAGCGGCTTAGTCTGAGGAGAGTTAAGCATATATCTTGTTATTTCTGTCTTGACAGTATGCCCTGTACAAAGTCTTACATGGGTATTGCGACTTCAAGCGTGTCCTGTAGATTTTTCGACGTTGGATTTATCCCGTGATGAACAGCTTCAAACTGGAATTACCGTCTGAGAACAATCCTGCGGAATAAACTTCGAAGCGGCTTAGTCTGAGGAGAGTTATGCGTAAATCTTGTTGTTATTCTGTCTTGACAGTATGCCCTGTACAAAGTCTTACATGGGTATTGCGACTTCAAGCGTTCCCTGTAGAGTTCTTCGACGTTGGATTTATCCCGTGATGAACTGCTTCAAACTGGAATTACCGTCTGAAAACAATCCTGCGGAACAAAATTCGAAGCGGCTTAGTCTGAGGAGAGTTATGCATATATCTTGTTTTTTCTATCTTAACAGTATGCTCTGTGCAAAGTCTTATATGGGTATTGCGACTTCAAGCGTTCCCTGTAGATTCTTCGACGTTGGATTTATCCCGTGATGAATAGCTTCAAACTGGAATTACCGTCTGAGAACAATCCTGCGGAACAAAATTCGAAGCGGCTTAGTCTGAGGAGAGTTATGCATATATCTTGTTGTTACATCTATGCTGCGTAAGGGTATTGCGACTTCAAGCGTCCCCTGTAGCTTCTTCCACTTTCGATTAGGTTGCACGAGGTACCTGAGTCCTAGAACATCACTTCGAGGCCTGTTCATGTCGGCCATGGTTTGGCGGTTTTTGTTGCTGTAGTCTCCCGTGATGAATAGCTTCAAACTGGAATTACCGTCTGAAAACAACCCTGCGGAACAAACTTCGAAGCGGCTTAGTCTGAGGAGAATCAATAGCAGTAGTGTAAGTTATATCGTGTATACAATCACAAAAGGCCAGCTTGTTCAATATTTTTGTGAGCTATAGCTTTAGTTTTACTTGTCACACAAGCGAGCAGAACCGTAGGCCACCAGCATGGCGTTGTGTAGCACGAATGGCTGCTGCAAAGGTGTACCTCGTGCGTGGTTCTGTCACATACCCAGCCTGTGTGCCGGCTGTATTTGGCCGGACCTACACAGGCGTATCTCCCATGAGGAACTGCTTTTCAAGACATCCGTCTGAGACCTAAAGTGCGGATGAATCGGCTGAGCCTGAGGAGAAGACAAAATATTTTGCGGTAACATGTTTGAACCATTACGGTACGTAGCACTGTGAAGTACTTGGTATGAGGGGAGTAGACCTTGAAAAATACGGAACGACCTCCAGTAGTAGGTAGAAGGCCCGTGTTGGTTCTTGGTGTATTGGTATCTCCTGTGAGGAATTGCTTCAAGACTGGAATTACCGTCTGAGAAAACCTTGCGGAAAAAACTTCGAAGCGGCTGAGTCTGAGGATACATCCGAACCAACATGGTGCCTGGTACATCGTACTTTAATTTAGTTGAGGTGGATGTGCTAGAAGTCATGTGCATGCTTTGTTTCTGCTTGAAATTCGGATGTCGTGTAGAGTGCAGTGCGCCATGCGTAGCCAAAGAGAGGGAGAGAGAGAGAGAGAGCACCCGATGATTATAACACACGTATATCTACATTTTTTTCTCAGAGCTACAATTGTGCTGAGAGTACCGTCGACTTCCTTATGAGGGGCAAATCTCTTTCGAACTTTACGCAGAAATACTGCACATGGTGGAACCTAAATGCAGTCTTGTTTTTCCATTTTTTGCCTCAAAGTCAGATAACAGTCCTTTTTCGATTATGTCTTGAGCAAATGAATACCAGAACCCGAACACGAACACATACGATCGTTCTTCTCATTGTGTGTTGGGGATTGGTTGCATTGCCCGACACGCAACGTGCAGAAACAGAGGGCAACCGACTCTGAACCAGAACCTAGACCGTGTTTATTCCATGGTAGTGTTGTGCCTGTGTTCTGCGTGCTGAGAGCGGGGAGCTCGTTTCCTATGATGAATTGCTTCAAACTGGTATTATCATCTGAGCAATTGTATGCGGCGAAAAATTGACGTCGACTTACGTTTAAGGATTGCACCCCCCCCTCTCCACGTTCTAGCGCCGAGACCTTCTTGAAGTGTCCGTGATTTTGTGGATGTCATCGTCCGCAAGAACCGCACATATTTTTGTGCACGGCGAACGGGCAACTCGACCACCTTAAGTAAATACAGCAAAAGGCTTCCGCCCTCAAGAGCAGCATGTTGAAATCAGGGCAGCGTTTTGATCCCCGTCCTGTGCCGACGGTTCAAAACAAGTCTACATAATTTTCTCAGCACTTGAAAACGAACATGTTTCGCAGTGGGGGTCATCGAAATATATGCTCTACAATCGCTGCTTGGTGGCCCGTGTCTCCTGCCCGCCCATATTCCGTCCCGCAGGTGATCGAGTACATCCTGCAGAAGCGATACGTTAAGCTTGTGCCCACCGGGCTGGACTTCGGCCGGCCCGGTTTCAGCCGCTTCCAGGAGAGAAGATTCCATCCCAGCATGAATCTGACCAGAAGGTGCGCTAGGAATCTCTCTAGAATCGCTGTTGGCACTTTGCCCAAACGTTTTGCGGTTCGGCTGCAGAGCCATGTATACGGTGACTTGCTTGTGATGTTCGAACTTTGGAGTCACTGCCTCGTTCTTCGTTACGGCTGCGTGTCGTTTGTGTGCTGCAGACACACGACCGTTTTGCTTGATGGTACTTGAGCCAATTCAGACGTTGTCTTTCTGGTGGTGGGCAACCCATCGGTACAATACAACCATAAATAGGGGGGTGTATTTAAAGAAGAGCGTGTAGTTTGGTGCACCACCGATATCATCAGCAGGTCTGTACATGCACAGCTCCCACCTTTCGCTTGAACCTTCTAACGTGCGTTATGCCATTGCGCCCGATTTTATCATCAGGTTTTACCCTCACGTGCACAACATGGACGGTTTCTTCGTGGCGAAGCTGAAGAAGTTTGCGCCGGGAGAGAGGAAGGCGGTATCCACGGGTGCGGGAGTACCCGACAAGGATGCCCCGGAAGCGAACGAGGCTGGTGCTGCCGGTGCCGCCGACGAGATGGACGTCGACTTCAGGTTCGACCGTTTCCTCCTCCTGTTGCTCTTGTTTCCTTTCAACTTCACGGGCGCTCCGTGCTACACAAGTACTACTAGTTGCGTTGGTGACGAACTGTTTCGATAGCGTCAAATATTTGGCTGGCTGCAGGTTGCATTCAACAACTTTCAAACCTTGTCTGCTTGGTGTCTGTCTGTCCATTGTATGTGTGTACATCAGCGGGAGCGACGAGGACGAGGACTCCAAGACAAAGCGAAAGCGTGCTAAGAAGGAGGCCAAGCGTGACGCCAAGAACAACGCAAAGGCCCAAGAGGCGGTAGGAGCCGAGGTGAGCGCTAGCCTGGGCACGTTTGTTCGCGGCCGACGCAGGTCCTGCGTAGGAACAACGGATTTATTTGTGCAATAAGGAGTAAATTCCTCATGTTCCGGTTCCTTCAAGTGAGCAGTCTTCGATGGCCCCCAAGTAACTAATTGAAAAGGTCATACCAGTACTTTTATTTTAATCCCTTCGTCGTGGTTTAAAGATGGATGTACGATGATCCAGTCAGAAGACCATTTGGTGAGGCACACGGGTGGTTTTGCTGAATTTTGCTGCAGTCGTCTTCTAAATCCGACGTTCATTGATCGCCCACCCCACTATTTCCTTGGCCTCCTCTTTCCTTCAGATCAAGGAAGTAAACAGCGATGAAGAGGAAGACGGAGGCGAAGAATCAAGGCCTGCGGCAAAGAAATCGAAGCCCGATCCCACCGCCGCCGCAAACGGCCACAGCACACCAGGCAGAGGCAGAGGTAGAGGGGCTGCTCGTGGAGATGGCGGCGGAAGAGGGGGGAGAGGCTCCGCAGGATCACCCGGTCGGGGTGCAAGTCGAGGGGGCCGTGGAAGATCGTCTTCTGGGGGACGTTCGTCAGGAGGGTATGCGTCGGCCGGCCGAAACCCGGGCGGGTTCGGCGGGGGGCGTTCGTTTGGCGGGGGCAGGGGGGGCGGGAGAGGCCGAGGGAGGGGGGGTCGCGATGGCGGTCGCGGTGGTGGAGGACGAGGAGGCCGTGGTGGTGGGCGTGGCGGTGGTCGAGGGAGAGGAGGGGGGAGAGGTGGAGGTAGAGGGCGAGGACGGGGGTAGACTGAAACGAAATATGCTGGGGACGGGTTTGTGTCTCTGTCGGGTGTGTGACATGCCGTGTCTTGTGGGTGTTTTGTGTTGTTGCATCTGGGTGTTATCGTCTGAGTATCTACAACGGTAGATGCTGGATCATGGGCTGGTGCTGAACGAAAGGGCCTCAACGTAGATTAGGTGTTGGGAGAATCGATCCTTCGAAACGCTCTCCGAGAACCATGGGAATCGAGAGGCAAACCAGTACATGCATAGTTGTACGCATCTTCCATGTGCCACTTGCTGGCAATGGGCGGCCCGCTTGTGGCACCGCCCAGCTCTCTTTCTGGACCTTCTCTTGTTGCCCAAACGTGGCGACAAATGTGCCTGTCCTCGGTACAAGAGTGGGCCGTTCCTTCCACGTCGCCTACAGACAGACAGACATACGTTTCGGAGCCACTGAGGGAAACTCGTTAAAACCTTGGCAGTCAGTTGTGCCTCCAGCCAGTGTCGGAAGCAGTCGAAGCGCCCTCCACCGTACGATCACCACCAGAAGCAGCACTGCGCTGATTTGGAAGAAAACAAGTAGACTACATTGGTCAGGATGGTTTCTCCCGATACTGTACTGTAATTCGATCGAGGGTTCCTTGCTGTGGGCGTGTGGGCGTTCAAAACATGACGAGGACCATATTAGTGGATGTTCATTACACGACTGCACCTTACATATGAAACTTCTCAATTTCTTGAAGCCACGTGCATGGTGCAGGAGGAGGTATCCACAGGACAACCGCAACCAAACAGCAGAACCCGCCCGAAAAACCATGCCCCCTGTCCCCTGTCCCCTGTCGGGAAGAGGTTTCCACCCAGAACCTCTGAAGGCGTTGCTCGTAAGCAAATTCGCTGTCGTGTCGAGTTGCAAAACGAAGATGAAAATATGTAAACAGGGCCGCAACCAGCACACTCTGAGCTGCCGGTGGGAGGGTGTCCTGGCGAGCAGTACTAAAAGGTCTTGTCCCGCGTCAAGAAGATCGTGTCTTGCGTTCGATTGACAGGGGCGAGGACTGACACACCAACCCTCTGAGGCATTCTGCGCGACAGGAAATTGCGCGAAGAGCGAGACACACAAGGCAGCCGCGCTTGCTTGGATATAGGCAAACTTACAAACTTGCGCGCTGCTGAGAGATTTTGTTGTCGATCGCTTTGGGGAAGATAAGATCATCGTGCTTCTCGGTGGTACTCAGCTACAGCTCGCGATTATCCACTGGTGGAAGCGGAGTAACGAGCACGGAGCGCAAAGCGACAGTCCCGTGCAAAAGGACCAACGGCGAGGTGCAGCTTCGCTGCTACTTGCTTCTGCCACCGCCACTGCTGCTGCTGCTCCTGAAACACGATGAAGAGAGCTTACCCGGCAATCAAATTCGTGCCTCCGCGGCCAACTGGGAAGCCGGCCGCCGGCTTCAGTCAAGAACGCCGGTTTACGCCACCGCTGAGAGAAGCGGCGTCCGTCTCCCCTGGTATCGCCAAGCGCAAACGCCCGACAACCCAATCTTGGAAGGGCCCAAGAAGACGACTGGATCCGCCATCACCATCAAAGGCACAGCAGTCAACGGCATCGACGACAAAGACAGATGCAGGTCGGCGGACAGTGGAAGAAGCAGGGGTTGGAGTCCAAACGCCATGGACCCAAAAGAGCAACAACTGCTGTCGGACCTCACGGCCCGTGAAATCCCATCGGTGTTCTTCGTCAGCTGGCAGCCCGGATACCCCGTCGATCCGTAGGTATATGAGCAGGAAGCCGCTTGTGATGGCCACAGAGACGCCAACAAGGTCCAGAAACCACCCGTCTTCCTCACGTCATCCCATGACCAGAGATAGACATCAGTTGGAACGGATGGGAGGGTTACGAATTCCTGACACGCCAAACCGTCACAAGTCGGAGCCGAGGCGGGACCTCAAGATCGCGGAAGATACAAGAACGAAACGTCATGGAGGCAAACGTGAGATTAGCGATGGCGGCGGCGACCGCAGTAGTTGTTCCAGCTCTCTGTCCTCTGCTGTTGTAGAGCTGTGCTTGAAGGAGCAGGAACATGAGGCGGAGGCGGGCGTTGGGCGGGAAGGGACTACTGCTGTTGTACCTCCTGCTTGCCCTCAAGGGCCGAGTAGCAGCGGCGACTCGGAAGCAGGTTCAGATTCGCCGAACCTTCTTCGGAACTACACGATGGAGACAAACGTCATACTGCAAGAGCCGGCACAGGGCGTTCCCCAAGATGGAGCCAGCAGCGACAACGCTAGGGGTCCGGTCATGGGGGTTCTACACGACGAAGAATCGGGTAGCGAGGGATCGGATGGGGGCTCGGAGTCGCCCGACCTACTTCGGAGGTATTCAGTAGTTGATACTACTTCCGTGCTGAACGGTCCGAAGCAAGGTGCAGCGGGAGGCGGAAGGGACACAGGTCAGCAGTTGTAACGTGTTGCCTGAGGTGAAACACCTCATAGCCAGAACTCCACTATTATCTCGAGCTGTTGATACGACAGACAGATTCCCTGCTAATATATTGGATATTTTGCTGAAACCCTCAAGAGTAATTGTCTTGTGAGAAATCACTGGCAGAGAGGGACGATATTTAAAACATCATTGCACTTTCCTCTTTTCTTGCCACAGGCCAGCAAGCTACCTCAGCGCCACCAGAACCTCCTCCTCAAGAAACCAACCAGCCGTACTCCTGCGGCGTTGAGGTGAAGCCAGAGCGACGTGGTGCACAGGATTCCACTTCGTCGGCCGCCGAACGACTCGACTATCTCGCGACCCGCACACGGCTTGGAGACAACAGCTTTTCCACAGCGGCTGAACGGGAAAGGAGGGATGCTGCTGCGGAAGGAAGCGCGTTGTCGGATAAGACAGGGTTGGAGGGTGGGACTGGGACGCGGCCGAAATATAACCCGCCTCTGGATAAAGGATTCGATTATGGGGCGGAAGGTAGTGCCGGGAGGGATGAGGAGAGCGAGACCTCAGCAATGGCGCCGTCTGGCATGCCGCCGACCACGGAATCAACAACTTTGGGGGCAGGGAGTAGACAAGACTCAGCGCGAGACGAGGGTTTCTCGGCAAGGTCACCGAAGTCACCAACAAAATCGGCGGCAGCGGGGAATGTGGATCGATCAGGGGATGCCCGCTGCAGCCACGGTTGCCTGGGCCTCCTCAAGGTTGACAAGGTCGGCACCACCGCCGGAAGAATTCGGTGTTGCGCTGTAGGCATAACACCGGGAGTAGATCGAAAGCCTCCCCCGGCGAAAACCAGACCAGCACCAGGGTCAGCCGCAACGGACTCCAGACTTGCGATTGGTGCGACCTATTACGGAACCAAAGCCAACATCCAGGCGAGCGCACCAAAAGGCGTCGGACTGGGATCAACGAGGATGCCGAATCCGTACAATCTAGCACCAAAGAAGGCGACGACGCGTTTGCCAGAAGACGTGCCTAACCCATACAACGTTGTGGGCAACTCTTCCCGAGCTCCTGCCCCGCCCGGGAGCACGTCGGCTCGGGTACCAAACCCTTACGATACTGTTCAGGTATCTGCCCCCCGGGGGGGGGTGTCAGCTGCCGTGCCCAACCCGCACGACACGAAGCCCAGTAGTTCGAGAGTTTCTGTCCCCCCCGTGCGTGGTTCGGCTGGTCTGTCTACCCCACAAGATGATGCTGGGACGACTTCATCGGTTCCTCCCCAGCCGCGTGCACCAGCTAGCGTGCCCAATCCGTACGGTACCATGGGCACCTCTTCGCGACTTCTTCCGGCCCCAGTGGGGCGTGCAACAGCTGTTGTGCCTAATCCGTACGACAAGGCGGGCACTGCTTCGAGAGGCCCGGCCGCTGCTGTTCCCTCAAAGCAGGACGCGAAGCCTTCCCCTACGATAAACCCGTGCTCGAGTGGCGACACTCCGAGAGCGCGAATGGATTCCGTACGGCGTCATCAAGAGGCGAGTGGATCCTCTGCGATGAATACCCGCCCGAGTGACACTTCGAGAGCACTTACGGACTCCGTACCGCGTCAGCAAGACGCGAGTGGATCCTCCTCAGATGGAAGCTGCAAAACTCCACCGGAGGTCAGGTTCGAGGTAGCGCATCAACAGCTGTATAAGAACTCGCGCTCTGGGACGACGGGGAGGGGTGGGAGAGGTCGTGGGAGGGGGAGGGGAAGGGGGAGGGGGTTCGGCAGAGGAGCAAAGCGAGGGTCTACGGCTCCTAGACCTGCCCAGGACGCCCTTGTGGGAGTTTGGCGAAGCATGCCTGCTAAAAAGAAAGGAGAGAGAGGCACACAGTGAGTGAGCTCGCCTCATGACAAGGGTGTAGCTGTTGTAGGAATATTCATTTTTGCGTTGTCTCAACGAGCTTCGGTGGAGGACGCGCGCGCCTTCTGAGAGTGATCGTCTAGAAGATGTCGAAATCACACTCCCGGTAGCAGTGAAGCTGGATAGTGCATTCAGAATCACGGTGACTTCAACCCCCTGCCTGCACCAGCGTAGCTCAAAGTGGCAGAATCGACCTCTGTTTTCGCTACAGGCATGAAAATGCGAGGGTGCGGAAGCGCTGTGTAGTCTATCTACACTCCACCGGAGAATAATGCAAGGCCTCAATGGGTGACATTATTTTGATCAGTTGAATGCTGCTGACGCCTTAGAACAACAGAAACAGGTTTGGTCCAAACCTCATCCTTTTCCTCAAAACTGCCCTTGCTTCCCCTGAAGAAAGTACTGATAATGATAGCAAGCACGGACTTGAACATTGTGCAGCTCTATTGCTGACGCCTATTGTGTGTCGACATCTTGGGTTGCCCTCCAATGACGAAAATTTCGCGAATATTTGATGTCTCTGTACAGGTTCTATATTAGTCTGTCTGGGCAGAAGCTGAGCGGAAGGGAGGCTACCAGGGTTGCAGCAGAGGACCAAAAGAGAGTTAAGGAGGGACTTGGACCCGTGACGAAGGATCGATCGGCGATAATGAGGTTAGATTATGTGCCCTAAGTATGACCATTTGCCGCCGCGCGTAATTTTGAGCCCCCTTGTGACACGGGTTTTTAGATATTTCTTCCAATGGTTATGAGGTGTGTATGTGTGCACGTAAATACGCCCCCCATCGTCGAGAGAAGTTGACGTTGGGGCACAGCGCCATTCGACATGTTTTGGGCGTCTGTCTCCTTCATTCTTGATTGCTTCATCGTTCATCGTTCGTCGGTTGAGATGTTGAGATGAAGCTATTTCATGTCCCAAAAGGACCACTCCTGTACTCACTTGAAGCAACGGCGTCGACTTTGAGATTATGTGGGTTCAAACATAGAACCGGCAGGCAGCTTTTTTACCACCAAACAAGCATGCGCAGACCGCACGGCACGATCGAAGACAACGTTGTACTCCGTATGTGCTTCGTGTTGTGTACCCTGCTAAACCGAAGCAGGATAGGGCAGGGCAAAGAGCCCCCGTCTTGCCAAGAGGCGCACGGTGGCGAGAAGTATCTTCACGAGGACGCTCTCAAGCTCGGGACGTACAAGATACCCGAGCAGCTCGTGGAGTCGTACGCTAAAAGGTACTAGCATACTTCAAGACCAAAAACTCCTATTGGTGCTAAGGGAGAAACTCGGTCGATAACTTAGGGGGTTTTCAAACTGCTACGTTGCAACCTTACCGAACCTTTCCGTCTGCAAAAAATTACCCATGCTTCACCGCTGGCACAGTAGCCATGGATTTAGTGCCTGTCGTTCGTTTCATCTTCCACCTGTGTTCGTCCGTACGATGGATGCACCAAATGCTGTGAGGCAGAAGCGAGCGTGCTCCAACGGTTGTATGCCGACCGCGTTATTCGTACAGTAGGCCTGGCAGGGCGACGAGCGCATTTGTATCACCATCACCTGCACGTGACGCGTCGCGACTTCTTCTCCTGCTCGTCCTCTGTGTTTTTAGCATGTACGAAGTGTTGTATATTGTCGTCATTGTTCTTGCAAGTTCTGACTTCACTTCTCTCTACCCTGGCCGGACTGTGGGAGAAAAGGGGGATCCGAGGACTGTTTCGGTGGCAAGCGCATTGTCTTCGTGTCGACGACGGCAAACCTCTTGGGGGCGGGAATCTTGTATACAGGTACAGCACGCATGACTCGCGACCTTTAGACACCTACAGTAGCCAATGTTGATCTGCAGAAAAGAGACAGCTCTCTTTGACTTGTCTCCAACGGGTGGATGAAGTGTGGACTCCTTTAGGGCGTTGCACCATATTTTGTTTTCTGCGCTTAGCCCGAAGTTGGTGTCCTTTGCTTAGACCGTTGCGTACGCTGTCACCCGCTTGGTGGTGGCGCGGGCCGCTTTTTGTTGACGTATCGCCGCCTATAAACGCGTATTCATGTCGCGCGCTCACCGATTTTCGACGATTCGGAATGCCACGATTGTTTCCACGGTTATTTCGCGCGATGAAAATACCCGACCAGAGAATGCGATCTGTGTATGCGTATGATAGAAAGGAAACTTAACCTTCTTCTGAAACCCCACGCAAGCTGGCGAGCGAGGGAGTGAGCGAGCGCCTCCCTCTGCTCGGATGCGTCCACACGTATACGTAGAAAGTGAAATATATATCTTGCCCGCACACCTTTCACACCCACGGACCTACACCGACGTACAAGCGTTTCAAGTTCGACCTATGTCCGTGCTTTCCATCTTTATTTTCGCCCATCTTACCTTGTCTTAACATCTTGTTTTGTGTTCGTCAGCGCACCAACGAGTGGGGGTAAGACGCTGGTGGCAGAGCTGCTTCTCCTTCGGGCCCTCCTTAAGCACAGCGGGACGATGGCATTACTGGTGGTGCCGTACGTGGCCTTGGCACTGGAGAAGCGCGATTACTTGAGAGACGTCTGGTCGCCTTTACAGGTTCGGCGGAACACACGGAGCGATTTTTTCTATTACATACTCTGGAGTATGATGTTGACGGAACGAGGGAAAGATTGCCTTCGTATGCGCAAAACTTTGGTAGCTGGCGTATCGAGGCAGGGGAATATTGATCATGGGTAGAAACTTATTGGCTGGCGCATCGAAGACAAATGTGTAATCTTAAGCTTTCGTTGGCGGCAAAAGGCAGTGAGAGGCGAAAGCGTTTTGAAGTGGAAGGGAGTGCAGATTTTACAGTGTACAGTGTACAGTGTACAGGAAGGTGTTGTTGCACCGGTTTGCGCTCACGGCCTAGGCTACGTCTGGCCGGTTGAAGCTTTCGGCTTTGGGTCTTTGGAGTTGCAACTCGCTAGTAGCTAGCGGATGATGTGTAACGTGGTTTGTGCCGACCTATGGCAAACTCGTAGACTCGGAGGCTACGGCGGGAAGTGTAAGTAGGGTTTGATGGTTTCTCTTGTTTCATGAGAAGTGAAATCGCACTATAGCGAGAGAGAGGCTTGGCCAAACTCGGGTCATGCCATAACCTTTCCGATATGACATACATATCCCTGTTCGCATGTGATTCCCGTGTATTCGTTCATTGAACGCTTATCGACAACAGCTGAACATCCAAGCTTACCATGGAGGGGAGGGGGGCGACGGTAGCGACATGGAAGGCGTGAACGTGGCTATCTGCACCATGGAGAAGGCTAACTCCATCGTCAACAGACTCGCCGAGGAGAAGAGACTCGCTGTAAGCACTCAATCAACAGCAGAAACTGCATACGTGCCGCACCACTCGTTGTTGTACATCTATGATCCTGTGTCTTTGGGTTCTCTGGTGGTTGCTTGTATGTATGTATATCATCACTGCTGAGCACGAACTTGTGCATGGACCGATACAGAAGTATCAAGAGAGAAAGATACGATGTGCACCCAATAATAATCTTTCACGGTGGCGAGCCAACGAGAGTTCCGCGCTAACGTGCTACGCGGTTTGAAGTCACTAGTAGTATGTAGCCTCATACGGGAAGTGGTAGAATACGCTCCCTGGCGATGGCACTCCTTCGCTCATACAGGAAGACAAGGAATGTTTTAGGTTGAAGGGAGAGGTGCAAGAAGTCCTGCCATTTGTTGGCTAGCCTTGGCCTTCGTCCCGCACACGTATGCATATCACTTGGATTAGTTTCCGTTATTTCTTCTTTCGTTCAACTTCTTGTCAGTGTCGGTGTCGGCGAGATTTTCTTGTTCCGCCTTCCCCAGATTGTGTTGAATCAGCGGCAGACCACCTTAAGACGGTGGTAGGGCGTTAATCGAATGACTTCGTTTGTAGCTGTGTTCAACAATCACGCTAGGGTCGATCGATACTTGTCTGGATGGCTGGATGGGTATGTTCATGTTTCCTACAATTGGTAGAGTACGCTGCACGAGTGGTGCCGCCTCTCTTATCACCGGCGACGCTGCCCACCCGCACGTGAACGGGTCGTCGGTTCTTGTCTGCGGGGCCGCCTTACCTACGCCTCCTTCGACCTTCGATGTCTGGTACTGCTTCTTCCTCGCCTTACCTCATGCTCGAGTACCCTGCCACCCCGCTGCCTTGTTCATGTCTGGGTTCTCGGCAACAGGCCTTGTCAGCGGTAGTGGTGGACGAGATGCATCTCATCGGGGACAGGGCGAGAGGCTTTCTCCTTGAGCTCATGCTCACCAAGCAGAGGCTCTTGTGCCCCAATAACGTCCAGGCAAGCAAGTGTGATGTACTGTACTGTACCATGTATTTTGTAGTTTTGTGGGTGTTGATGCTGTATGGCCTTTTTCTCTCTGGTGCGCTTTTCTCGAATGAATTAATTGCATCTAGCTTGCGGCGGGTGACCTTCACACCTAGCATCGCGACACGTGTGGTCTCAAACAAGCAGTGGCCGGTGGCCCCACGCTTGACGCTGCTCGTACTCTTGTGTTTTTGGTGTCTCTTTTTTTATGTGACATGAGTGGTTCACGAGCAAAACTTGCATTTGAAAACTACAAATTGCAACTCGTGGGAACGGCAGCGTGGTATGCACTGCGGCTGGTTCCGGCTGTCTTTTTTTTATCGCTGTGACGCTCGCTGTCAACGCTGATTCCAACTGTGTACTCTATCTACTGACAAGTAAGCAATTGCGGAACCGCACCGCATGGCACAAGCCCTCGCGACTCATCCAAATCTGTGCCGACGGCAGATAGAGCGAACACCGTTCACAATGCTTTAACTCCACTTTTGCTTCAAATGCACCGCCGTCACGTGTAAAAAACTTCACACCAGACCCCCTGTCTTCGTTGCCAGTATACCCTTCTTCAAATCCCTTCCGTACGTTAGAATCAACGTCCCCGACAAGACATATCGCTATGCCCCCCCCCCGCCCCTGGTTCCAATTCCGTCCTCCCTGCCATCTTGCAGCTGATCTGTCTGAGTGCGACCCTGCCGAACATCGAATGCTTGGCCAAGTGGCTAGATGCCTCGCTGTATCGAACGGCGTATCGACCGGTGGAGCTCCGTCATTTCGTCTGCCAGGGGAGGGCGGTGTACAGGCCAACTCGAATACGCGGTACCGGGGGGGGAGCGGCGGGGGGAGATGACGAAGGGACCCTTGAAAAGGCGAGTGGTCCAAACGTATCCATGGAGCGAGCGTTGTATGCATAGACTACTTCATCTTTCATTCTCAGAGGTCAACACAATATTGTAAAAGTTTTACCGAAGCTGGGTCCTTTTTGTCTCTACCGTACCTGCAGCTCAACGGCACGCTTGGACTGCCAACCTAGCCAGCCGCTTTCTTCGGAGTTTCGTTGTTGCAGGGTTTGTTCATGGTTCGGAATACAGACGAGCACCATTGTATTTCGGTTGTGTGTGTGGTCTCTGGAGGGAAGGCGCTTGAGCACCATCGTCTGCGAACGGTGGCACGCGTCAAGAGGGCGCCAGGCTTCAGGCTACCTCGTTACGAAACGAATGTTTGTTTGTTCGGCTCCGTGGAACCGTTGTTGGAACCAGGTGGTTGGAGGGGACATCAAAAGGGTCGGAGGAACGTCGCCCAGTGCTGACCCCGATGGGGTGGTGGATCTTGTCAAGGTTTGTTTTTCGCTACACTACACGCGTCGCACGTACGTGCCGGATGACATTTAGTAAGATGTACCTGTCTACTTTAGCGTGCGCGTTTGTCGTCTTCATAGACTGGTGGACATGCTTGTCTTGCGTGGTGTGCAGTCCATGGAGTAAGGGAAATAGTTCCTGTCGTGATGCGATAAATTGTTTCACGTGCGGGATAAGTTTGCACACAACGAGCGATCTCTCGAAATGCGAAGAAAGGAAGTATGCGAGCGTCTTATCGTACTACGTCAAGTGCTGAAACGAAATGACCAAGCACGAAGTACGGGTCTGCTTATTTCACGTCGCTCACAAACCTCGAGCGCAACAATGTGGTCAACGGTCGACATCTTCAAGTATACCGTGGTATATCTCAACGAAAACTTGCGCGCATGAAGAGATCGCCCCGCATTTCAGATTCATTCCGCCCCTCCCTTTTCGCCACACCTTGGTCTGCCGTCGTATGGACTGCTCTGTACCTGTTTCACAGTTCAAATCCCCTGCGTCTTGGATTGTTTATTGTCTGATACCGCTTTTTCGTTCACCGTGTCATACATCATGTCAAGGATGCTCTCGCAAGAGATATGTCTGTCTTAGTCTTCTGCAGCACCAAGAAATGGTGCCAACAGACGGCTACCCTGCTCGCGAAGGAGGTTCTGTCCGACCGGAATCGAGCAGCGGTAAGGGCAGCCGCTGTCGCAACAGCGGCGGCGGGAAAGAGCAGCTGTGTCAACGGCGACGGTAGTATAATTGACGGCGGGGGCAAGGGGAAGGCCGCCGGTTTTAAGGGCTTCGTGCCGGCGAAGTCTATGGTATTGGCAGCAGCAGCAGCAGCAGGTGCAGCGGTGGAGAGCACGAAGTCGCCACACCCTAGAGCACGCGAGGGCACGGCTACGGAGCAGGGCACCGGGGCAACGACAACAACAACGGTACAGGAAGGCGGCAAAGCCACCGAGCGCCGCAGAGGGGCGTCGTCTCCCACCACCGCTGACGACGTCCGAGAGAAGTTGAGGCAGACGCCGGTGGGGCTGGACGCGGACCTATCGTATCTGGTGAGGCTATTACCCTTTACCATCCTAAATTCCATGGGAGTGCGGAGGCCAGATCTTTGTTGAACACCAGTAGTTGTAGCCTTTTGATGGTGGCAAGGCGCACCTGGATCCCCCTTTGACTGTCGAATCGAGGCGTCGAAATACTGCTACTGCTACATGTATAGTTTAAGGGATCAAAACACTTGCTTGTCGGGTTTACGTCGAACGGCTGAGACAAGTGCCACGGACACTACGACTTTTCTCCGACGTAGATCATACACGGTCATGCTTGTTGACACGGTTTGTTGTAGGTGGGCACGGGCATCGCATTTCATCACTCGGGCTTGGTGGTGGAAGAACGAAGCATCCTCGAGGAGGCCTTTAGGCAGGGATCGATCAGGTGGATGAAGTAATTGGATTTTTTTCTGCCGAGGCCCCGAACCACTCACCAATACTGTATACTGTATACTGTATGCTGCACAGTATCGTATCGTATCGATACAGAACCACCGACGGCGGCGTCGCGTCTGCCGATTGCGCAGCTTCCATCTTTTAATATTTGTTGTCGTTGTCGTTGTCGTTGTCGTTGTCGTTGTCGTTGTGGTTGTCGTTGTTGTGGTTGTGGTTGTTGTTTCCCACAATAGATCTTCTAGATAACGTAGCCCTTGGCTTGAGACGGGTGGGAGAGTCGAAAGAAGGAAGATATGTTAGGTTGTTTGCGCTGTCGTCGGTCGATCCGGAGGCACAGTACTACACTGGAACCCGAAGTACCTTCCCGTGACGTAGCACGGGGCAATGTTTTTTGTCTTGGGTGTTGTGGACGAGGAGAGGAACGTCCTGCAAGCGTGGGACAGACGGACAAACCAGACCAGGAGTCGGACTCTCTACTCGTCTTCCCCTTCTCATTCGATGTTGTACCATCCAGTGAAATAGAACACGTAGGTGAAGCATCTCGTGCCGTGATCTCGCCCACACATCGCGATCGCTCTTCTGCCTCCGCGACTCGCATTCATGCCACCATCCGATGCCTTCTTCCCCAAAAATCTGCAGAGTTCTCGTTGCGACGTCGACTCTAGCCGCAGGCGTCAACCTTCCTGCTCATCGAGTTATCATACGCTCTCCTTCGGTCGGAATTGGCCTGCTGGATTCCACGAGGTGAGAATGAAACTGAGACTGAGATTTTGTCTTGTGGGATTGGATTGCATTTCATTTCCCCGCCGTCTACGGCCACTGGTGGTACAGTACTGTAGGTTCTGAGGAGCCTAGATCAATTCGGGGGTTGTACGGAACCTCTCCCCAACAGCCACGAGAACGCTGCCCTTCTTGCCCTTCTTAAGCTGCAGTTGAATCCCTTGTTAATGATAAGAGGATCAGCAGCCATACCCCTCGATATGTAAACGACGGAATAGGTTCGGCAGACGTATTTGGAGGCCTCTGTGTACGATTTACCTCGTCGCGTGTCTGTGATGCGTCATGAAGAATCGACCTTCTAGCGGGCTGCAGGTTGTGATGTGATGTGATGTGATGTGAGGACAAGTCAAAGGGGGCAGAGGGGAGAACATATGAAACAATAAACCAAGCTTTCATGAGCAGTTGTCTACGGTCCGATGAGCAGGGAGGGTATTTGTGAGGCAACTTGTTGCCGGTGGTTACTTTAAGTTTTGGCAGTGTAGGCAGGCTGCTGTCTCTTTTCGTCGTACAGTATTGTATCGGTCCCGGTGGTCTAGTTGGTAACCTCGAAACCTTCTAGAGGCCAGGTCAGGGGTTCGAATCCCGGCGTAAGCGAGCTTATCTTGCAAAGTGAGTTTTTCTCTCGCTTCCGCTCCTGGCCTAGTGGATAGCGCTAGTTCGTGTGTACACAGAGGGAAGAGAGTGCTGAATTCTTCTCGCATCAAAAATCGAAGGCAAAGTACCGCAGGAGGGGAGGGTAGAGAGTAGAGAGGGGCTCTTCTGTGAGACCACGGGTTGGAGTAAACGGCACTAGTGCTGTGAGCGCTGATTGAAGTGAAGACAAAAAAAAAAAAAATGTATGGCGAGCTACGTGGAAGAGATATCTTATCTTATCTTATCGTGCGGTGTGGTGGGTTGGGGTGGGAAAAGCACGCTGTTTTTCATGCTCCTGCAAATGACAACAACCTCCGAAGGATGCCAGAAATTTCAGGAATCAACCTCCAAAGCAGTGCGTTGATCAGACTCCCCAAATCAGAAGTGGAACGTAACTAAGGCGGCACATTTAATCACACTCGCCACATCGGTACAAGTAGCCAGTCTAGTCAGATCCCTTCCATCTTCCATCCTACAACTCGATCGAGCAGGTATCACCAGATGGCAGGTCGCTCTGGACGTGCGGGAGTTTCTAGAGGAGAGGAAGGGGGCAAAGCGGTGCAAGGGGTCGATACGGCTCGCGGGGAGTCGTTCTTAATCTTACCGGTATGTGGTGGGTGGCACAGCAGTATGTGGGATACACGAAATTATGTTGCACTCACTTTTTTCGTTCACGATGGAAGAAGAAAGCCTTCTCTTCTGTTGGGTTTTGTTCCAGCCTTTTGATTTGCGGCGTGTAGCTGAAGAGGCCACGCCTCTGAGCAGATGGCCTTAGAGACGTGGAGCATGTCTCGGTGCCGGCCGCTCTGGTAAAGTATATATAGGATGTTGGTAGTGGTCTATGATATATGCGATGCGATACGTACTAGGCGCCTGGAGAACAACATGCTGTGGAAGGGGCGTTGGATAATTGCGATGCCATCTACCTACCCTGTTTGGGGTTTGAGGCCGTCGCACGCACTTGAGAAAGGTCTTGTGCATACGACGTTTTTGTTGTCCTGACCAACCTGTCTGTGTTTTCCCCGCTGTTTTGTCGGCATCACGTGTTTTCCCGCGAAATCCAACAACCCTTTTCACAGAAAAACGTCAAGTTCACGCTGTCGGATGCCTCCAAGCTGATTTCCGCACCCCTCCCCAAGCTCGAATCGGCGTTGAGGGATGCCGAAGGCGGGGGACTAGAGAGAGCTTTACTGGAAGTTATCGTTAGCATGACAGTCACAAGCAGGGAAGGGGCTAGGAGGTGAGCGTCGGTTACGTTGGGCGGGTATTGCAGGAGTTAATTGCCATCTAGTCGCGTCACGAGGAAATCTTGGATGGCAAACATGCTCCGGTCCTAGTTGGTTTCGAGATTATCTGTTTCTGTTGCACACACCACAACTCGCATCGTGACGACAACAACCTCTCTGCCTCGCCCTCACACTGGTGTCGTTATGCTTCAATGCGAGTCCGTACTTCGATGACATCACTGCCTTGGGGCTGGGGTGTGCTGATTTATGCTTAGCAAAGTCGTGCCGCTTCTTCATGTCAGGTACCTCATGTCTCTATGTACATGTGCTCATGTCCGTCTGTACCCTTTCCTCCACCAGGTTTAGCTGCAAAACTCTTCTGGCGGCGCAGATTCCCGAGGACGAAGTGCTCAAGGCGTGCGATTCGGCCATGGCATACCTGCTAAAGCACAACTTCGTCGTCCAACGAGGAGGCGACAGCGTGGAGGGGTGCGCGGACTACGACGTAGCTCCCACGCAGCTTGGAAGGGTAGGCAAACACACAACTTTAATAGACATTTCTGCAGCTATTGTTGGTTCGCTTGTCTTTTTTTATACAAAGGAAAGTTTGTTCGTCGAACAGACAGAATACAATGCCGTTTAGTGATGGAACTGTTTCGGATTGTAGTTTCATTAGTTGTTCGGAAACCTGGGGTCGCGAGGGGAAGAAATCGTACTTTGTTGTAATGTGTTGGGGCATTGGCGTGTGTTGTTTTCTACCGACATCTCCAGACCAGACCACACCATGAAAATACCTCTGTTGTGCATACCAACTATACCGTGTACCGTGCTAACAACCCTTCACAATCTATTCTGTTCTGTCGCGTCCTCTACCACCGATCACGAAATCCGGCCGATGCACTTCCTTGTGTACAACTATGCTTACAGCAAGTACGACAATGTTTTGAGAACCACTGTAAGCTGCAAACCCAATCAACTCGACCTGTTCCACTAGCTTTTTGTCCTCTTCTGTTTCCCCTTGTCAAACCACACGCTGCACCCGCTTGTACGTGGAGCGTTTGCACGAGGCACGATGAACGAACAAGGCAAAGACAATCTCACCGAGAACACCATTGGTACTAACCAACAACCAAACGCCACAACGCTCTTCTCTCTTCCCAGGCAACCTTCTTTTCGGGCCTGTCCCCCTCGGCAGCGGTGGACGTGTTCGAAAGCCTCGACAAAGCGTGCCAGAACTTCGCTGTGGCGAGCGATCTCCACGCCCTCGTCCTCGTAACGCCTCTGGACGGCATCGAGCCTAACTGGGGTCGATTCCGAGAGGAGTACTTGGCGTGCAGCACTGACGATCCCGTTCGCGTGGTGGGGGAGTTGGTAAGACAGACAGACAGACACACTCGCCGCCTTGCTTAGTTTTGGTTCTTCAAGGCTATGGGTTGAGGAATGGTTGGAGTTTTGGTAGGGGTATTCTATTCTGGAATGCTTCTGGTTCGCCTAGTTGGCAGGCAACCGGGTTTGTAGGTCACGGATAAGAGGACACCTTGCTAGGTGTTGGACGTGGTTTGTAGCGGGGAACCCTTAATTGGTACTAGAATGGTATCCATACCTCGCATGGGCGAGACCAGATGATGCTTGATACCATGATAGATACTATCGAGTACGACAATCTTACGGTGTCTATTTTATCAGCCGACTGCGCGTGCTGGCACAGTTGTATATGGTGGCTCTGTTGTCAGCTGAAAGATGATAATAACACGGCGTTTCGGACAACGAACCTTAGACACATAGTCTCAATAGAGGGTTATCTTCGTGTACAAGGCTGTTTGTAACTTCTGGTTGTCACATCGAAATGTTAAGGAACTACCAAGTTCACACAGGGCAATGCACGAATCACAGTAAGTATGGAAAGCCGCCACGCGTAAAAGCTCGGAAGGGTTCGAGCACCAAACAAGAAGTAGTATCCAACTTGCCACGAAACTTGATAAGTTAACGACTTGTAGACTCTACGATCTAGGTCGAACCAAGGGCTACAATAGAGCGTCTTCCTCATCTTGTTGTTCTTCCCTCTGTTGCCCTTCATGGGTAATGCCTTCCTACGCCTCACAGATTGGCGTCGAGCTAGGGGTGCTCGTGGGTGCAGCTGGAAACACTGCGCCCAAGTACGGGCAAAGGAGTTATGAAGTGTCCCGCGGGTCCAACCATCACCGGATGGTGGACTTGCAGCCCTACCGTAGACTCTACGGCGCGATGCTTCTCCAGCAGGTACAGTATTCGTACAGCAACCAGCGCTTGCTTGTGTTCCCCTGAGCCATGTTTGAGTTTCAAATCAAGAGGAATACGCGTTGCTCGCTCCCAGACACAGTGGTTTGGTAGTGGTTTCACCAGCTGTGGTTGTTCTGTTTGTTGTTCGACCGGAGGCTCTACGATGCCTTGCCTATCCAGGAGTTGTCGATAATTTTGTGTACAAAAAGCAGTAGATTGCAACGACGCGAGAAGTTGCAACGCTTCTAGCTCCCGCCTGATGGTAGCAACGAACGATTCGAGACGCTGCTGGGCCCGCCGAGAGAATGATCGATGACAACCGCTTCAAAACCAATGATCCAACATAGATTATGGGAAAGATAGGCGCAGGTATCTGTGTTTGAATAGGTGCCTAATGAAGGGGCCATTGGTCCAATGTAAATGAAAGGGTTGAGAAAACTGACTGATGTGGGGTAGCCTGGAGAGATGTTAGGCACGATTGAGACCTATTGCGCTCTTCTTGCGGATTACATTTTTACACTAGATGCGGTGCACCATCAACCGTCTCGCTCTACAGCTAAGTACCAAGTACGACTGTTGTTTGCTTGCTACGTGCTGCCGCAGCTGGCGCTGTTGCCGCTGTTGCCGCTGTTCTGCTCCTGCTATGTTTGATGCTTGGCATCCCGCTGAGAAGACAAAGAGATTGAGTTTCCGGCCAAATCTTGTACGACGTGCTATCGCCCCCTCTTTTGGTGCAGGCAGTAGAGGAAGTGCCTGTCCGCAACATGGCCGGAAGGTTGGGTATCGAGAGGGGGGCTCTGCAGGCGTTGCAAAAGGAAGCGTCGGTGTTTTGCGGCATGGTGGTCTGCTTTTGCCGGCATCTTCAGTGGCACGAGCTGGCCAACGTCCTCTACAGCTTCCAGGTGAAGAGAAGAGTGACATCAAGTGGGTGAAAGGGCGGAAAAGAAAGGAGGCTTGTAGCGGGGCTACAGTATGATAAATACAAAAAATAACCTTCGCCTGCTTTGGACTGCGCAATGTAACAATGTAACCAGGCGTGCCAGGATACAACATGATACAACATGATTTTGGCGACACAAAAGCTGGTGTGCTACTGTGCGTGTTGGAGAACTTTTCCGTGGGGTCTGTTGCAGTTGTCACAGCCTTCTTTCTCCAACTCATACCTCGGGTCTTCCGACGTTATCAACAGCACCTAAATGATGCCATGCCATTGAATGGCAGCGACAACAGCGCTGTGTGTCCCTTTGTCCTGTTGCCACGCACATCCAGCCGACGACTTTCGACTAACCGGATTTTGTTGTGGCATCCGACGCAGGACCGTCTTGGCTACAGCGCAAAGCCCGAGCTCCTTCCCCTTGTCCGCCTCAGCCGCGACCTGCCGCCTTTTCGTGCGAGGGCTCTGCTCAAAGCCGGCTACCCGTCTCCGCTAGAACTTGCCACCGCGGATGCTTCTCGCGTGGCTGACGTGCTGCTGCGCTGTGCCCCGTTCCGCAGCGCCGGGTGGGACGAGTCTGTGGTGAGTGCAAGGGGTTGATTGCTCAGGTGCATGGTGTTGTTGGTTACTGTGGAGACCTAAGCTGTGCCAGGTGACAGTGAGGCAACGCGTGTCCTACGTTTAGTGCGGAGAGTAGTGATTGCAACGTAGAAGCATGCGCGCGTACTGCCTGCTGGATGCTGTGGTTCTCTGTAGTGTTGCTCCAGTCCTCGCCCTCGTTATTTCGTGTTTTGCAATTTACTCTCGAAGTACGACTCTTTCTTCGACACCTCTTCTTACCCTTACTTGAGAAAAAAATCATCCCTGTTGATCCTAAACTCTTCGCCTGGTGATCATCGACCCTTGTATCACACCGTTCGTACCACTTGAATGTGCTATTAATAGAAGAACCAATCCTCCTGTTCGACGCCGGCCAATGTACACTCATTCGCTTCGTCGTTTCCGAAAACATTGTGGGTGTATTGTTGACTTCACAGGAGCGGTACCGAGCGAAGCAGGCCAGCCGCCTCGCTCAGAACGTCATCCACCTAGCGAGTGCCGAAGTTATGCGCCAAATTCACCGCCGGCTAGCGAGCACCACCACCACACCATAACGGCGTATTGGTAGCGCATACCGCAGATCGTGTTGTGTTGAATTTTCTTTCTCGTTCAACCGAGAATATTTTTACGAGCATTGTTGCTGTTCGTTGATCCCGCCTAGCCCTAGGAGTATCATCGTGGGTTATCTTCCGATCGAGTGACGACATTCATTCGTCCTTGTTGTCAACCTAAGTAAGACCTTCTTTGAGTTGTCGTGTTTGTGAACAGCTGCGAGGTGTGGGTTCCAATAACATGCGAATGCGACAACGGGTCTTGGCAATCAATTCGTGATCCGATTGAAAAGAATGTGCCAGTCGTGTGTGAAACTCGGGGCCAGCACCAAGGCGACTACTCTAAAGCTGTCTGAACAATTCCGAATATTTGTACCATCATCGTGGCTACGTTGTACGTCGTGTGCCCACGCTCGTGACAGCAGGGAACCTTGGAGGCGCCAAATAGCAAGACAAACCATGCAAATGGTTGGCAAAGAAAGCAGGTTTCCCTTGCTGTGTACGCACGTTAGCCCGTCATTATCGAGCGAATTTGTCTCGAGCCAAGCACATATGTGTGTGTGTGTTTTCTTGTGGTTTTCTCTCTGAAAGGAAAGCGGGGTCAGGCAGCGCTGTTTAATCAAAGCGAAAACACGAATGGCGCTGCCGCCCGAAAATTCACATAATAACGTTCAGATTTAATTAATAATAAATAGCCCGGGGGTAGCCCCGGCCTCGGCTCGAGTCTAATTTGTTTTGGCCAATAGGCAGGGAGCAAAATATTAGGGCGAGTAAGGGGCATGGCCAGGCGAAGAGGGAGAACGCTAATTGCTCGTGCGGAGCATGCGCAACGTGCGAAAGAGGACGATAACTATCCACTTGCTGCCTCCTCCCATTCAGAAAACAGGGCGGCGTCGCAATGAAGCTGACGGGCGATGTTCGTTCCACTACTACAGCACTATCCCAATTTTTTTGAGTATGTATGCTGACAACCGGTAGGTAAGTAAATGTCTTTTTCAAGGAAACATGCACACGTGCAACCGCTAAACTATCTGTAGGAGACGCCAATGAACAGGCACGCACAGACAGGCAAAACACAACAGACAGGAAGAGGCGACGTGAACGCCCGAAAAAACAAAGAACAAATAGAGTGAACGCGCGCAAAGAAGTACCACCACTTAAAAAAAAATGAAGTACATAAGCGGGCTCAGCCGGCGAGCTTGTCAGTTGCCGCCACTCAACGGCGATAAACTGAGCGGGCGAGAGGGAGGCGACGTGGACGTTGTAAAATCTCCGCGTCTGTCTGCCGCTCGCTTTCTTCGCATACTACATGAGGAATTTAGTTAATTAAGCACTGGTCCTCTCGTCCCGAGCTATGCCTGGTTCTTGCGCTTTTTGGTTGGCACGATTTGCCCGTATGCATGTATGCCTTTCGCGCTGTCCTCGCTAGCACGATTTGCCCGTATGGATTCTGCCCGCATGGCTGTCGCGCTGTCCTCTCCAAGAGGGGGAAGAGGGGATTTATCTGGGCGAGGATTCTTGTCGGGTCGTTGTTTTGCCGACACGAAAAAAACTCTCATTTTTGTGATAGCAATACCTCTGATTTATATCTGCCGACCAGCGTGTTTGATGGACGGTGGTGGCCGCAATGCAAACCACGCATCGCTGCGATGACAGGAAGGGACAGGGCGTGGGTGGCCTGACAAACCGGTCTTGGGACTAGAGAGTGACTAGGGAGCCACGCGGAGCAGGTGTATCGAAAGAGTCTCGATGGAAAGTCACTCTTATTGCGGATCTCTTGCCCAAGTAAGGGCGCCACAACTGCCAGAGATGTCCACCACGAAAACCATGTATCCACTGGCCTCGAGGGGTGGGAGTGTTTGAGGCCGTCGAGCAACCAGGACAATGCTGCAACTATTCGCCTCCCCTTCAAAAATCGAAATATAATCATCGTCCGCCTCGTTTTTTCTAATTTACTCGCCAAGTGCGAGGACGCGATTCCTCTGTCACAATCAACAAGGTGCCTCGGTTTGGGATTGCCCAGAAAAGGGTATTCCTACAGTACCGACGAACAGGAAAAACCAAGGTTTCATTCAAGCCATGGAGTGCCAGCCCTCTCTCATCAACACGTTCCACCCACCACCCTCTTTAACACGGCACTTCATATCTGCGACGAGGCTTCCTACGGACCAAAGCCTACACGCCCAAAGAACTTGTTCCGCTACCGAAACAAGTGCCCGGCTGCATCCGACACTTGCGCGAAGAATAATATGTACATCAATTGAACTAGCCTAGTAACCGGTGGTACATTTCAACATTTCAACCAAGAGGTTGATGGTTGGTTTCTCGTGGATACTCTTGGCCTCCCGTAACACCCGTCGTAAACACATTTCACATTTCACATTTCAGTCATTCTGACAGAGCCAAACCACGCATGGTAATCAAAACCGGATTCGGATGCGTTCTATCGGAAGGTCCATTTGATCCGCATGCTTGGAGACACCACACTCCACTTCCAATGTATTCTCGAGTTGGCGATCCAGCAGTCGCATCACACGGAATCGCGCGGGCCCAGCTTGCGGATCGTCTTCCGACTCCCTACTGTCCTGTTTACGGTGAAAGCGCCGGGTTGGTGAAAGGTGAGAATAAGATACGCCAACTATTAGGGGTGCCCGATCCTTTGGTTGTTATTTAGAATCATAAGTAAGTCCGACTTTGCACGTATATTACATTGGATAAAGAAACGCACGGCAAACAACGTGAGGCGCACCTTTCTCGCCTTGAAGTACGTGTTCGAAAGGGCAGATGATGGTCTTATGCCGTCCTTCTTCAGCGCAAACACAACCTTCAGAGCGGCATCCGGACGTTGCGCCCGACCACACCTGCAACGATCAACGAGATGACATTGGATCGTGCTTTGTGAGCACCTTGTCGCGAACAATGCAAGCAAAGGAACGCTGGAAAACGGCACAGGGGCCACGGCACTTACACGTATAGTAGCCCACAGTACGCGGAGAAAAGGTCTTTCTTGAGGTTCTCCTGCGGCCGGCGGGTTTGCTGGGCGGAAATGCCATTGACAGCATCTCGTTCGTCGGAGTCTTGCACCAAAGCGGGTCGCACACACCGTCGCCAGAACGAGATGGCGCCCTGCGAAAAGGGAATTTTCCGTTAGGGCAAAGAAACCGCAGCAATCAAAAGATATACCGCATGTCGGATGTGATACCGAACGTGCAATTCTTGATTCCATTGTACACTGCTCACAGCCTTGACGACTGCAACATGATCAAAGGCGAAGATCCAGCCGGTGCCGCGCTTGGCCGTTTATAAACACGGAAAGAGGAAAGAGCGCATGCTTGGTACCATGGGAGTGGCTGCAGGCGATCCTGAAACCGAGCGAGACGCACAGCGGCTAGCAATGACACGCACCAACAATCTTGGCTCACCGTGAGATCAGCCCCGAAGCCAACCAAGACCGCGTTGCAGATTTTGCCATTTAAGTGAATATCTCTCTCCGTGGCCTCCATATACAGCTGCGTGCACAGCTCTGTCGATGAGACTTGCTCTGCGCCGCCATCCGCAGCGCGTATCCCTTGATACCCAGGCCCACTTCTCGGCGTCCGCCACCATTGCTTCACGTGGCGCCCAGCTCTCCGCGCGTCCTGGAAACAATTACAACGGCCCAATTAATCAATTAGTGACAATCAATAGATGAACGCTCGAACGAAGCACTGGGAAGGCTGTATGGTGCTTCGTCTGAACATGGGGAGTAGAAATCATCGCTGGCCCAGCGCAAGCTTCAAAATATTCATCACGTTTCCTGTCGTCGTACAGTAGCGACTGCGGCATGTATGTCTCAGGTACACCACGCTGCCATTTCGCGTCTGCGGCTCTGCTGCACATTGTACATGTGTTCTGTGCCAACTCACCTCGGCCCGGGTCACCCCCGATATTACGGTGGTGTACGTGAAAATATCAGGAGAAACTCCACAGGCATCCGGCAACGTCTTCATCTCTTCCAGCAACAGCAGGGCTGCCTCTGCTCCAATGACTCTGTCTAAGCCAGCACTGCTTGACCCTGATCGAACAGAAGGCCAACACGACACAACCGCCATGTGCATGCAATGCAGTGCAGTGCAGGGTTGTTAAAAAATAAGAAGCGGAAGAACACATGGAGCATACATACGCTTGAGTATCCGTGCCTATTGACTTGAACGCGCTTGATCCACTCTTTGAAACGACGACCAAATGATTTGAGATGCTGCAACCGTCGAATGGGTACAAAAAACTTGTTTATCTCATATAGACCAAAACGCAGTCCTTACCGTGAGACGATGGCCCATCAACGACAGAGGCGAACGGCGCTTGTTTTGAGCCAGCCGGCCGAGAAGATGTCGTCACGGCAGTCACCTCCGGAATATCCTCCACGCTGCCGACATCTTCAATTTCCTGCCGGGCGATCAATCAGCTCCACGTGTTAGGTATTCCGACAGCAACTACCGGCAAACGTCTCTTGCGGTCGTCCCGACCACCCTGCTTCACACATACAACACATCCAGGGCAATGTGGTGGTGCTGCCTACACTAAAGGAGGCCAATGGTCCCAGCTCGGATCGACATCGCGCGCGGGTGCTTCAATCGCAGACCCAATCGCGTCAGAAGTGAAATGAGTTTGTAAAGGACACAGTTGGGTCCAAAAGACAAGGTATTACCACGCGTTGCTGCGTTCGCACAAACACCAAACAACAAAGACTCTCCCTTACGCCTCGGCACACGAAAACATGAAACGTTGGTGCTAGGTGCTATGCTGTCTGTCACCACGAGGGTACATCTAGAAGGTCGAACGAACGACTCCAACTACCCTACTTGAACAATCCGTGGGGTGAGCTCGATCGCTTGACGAGAGACCTATTTCGCAGGGAACAACCAGCAAACGCATGGCATGATAGCTCTCGCCCTGCAAGATGCCGATGAAACGAGTAATGCATAAAATCCAGTGGGCAATGAAGAGTTCGTTAATCACCTCAAACACCCATGGATCTTGCACAAGGGCATATATGAGCGAGTTGTAAGAAAACACGTCAGGTTCCATGCCCTCCAGGGCCTTGATGCGTTCCATCACTTGCAAGGCTCCGTACACGTCGCTATGATCTCCGAGCGCTCTGATGCAGCTGTTGAGGAATGTCAACGACGGATCAATGCGCAGCTTCCTCGCAGTCTCCATAACGTTGTACACATCCTCTCGGCTGAACTGCAGTCGGACCAGAGCTGCCAAGGTGATGCTGTGTCGGTGAATCGTCGTACATCGTCATGGGACACCAGGACCAGGCTGGCAGTTAGTGGTGGTGATGCGACACGAAACAGCAGTGCCAATCGTGCGGTTGACAGAGATGACGCACCACGGTAAATGTATCCGCAGAAACGTAGAATTTTACTCAAACATCCGCAGGCTGCTTTCTACAACATCCTTCAAACCGCTGTAACCCAGCTTCACAACATGTTGCCGGACATTGGCGTAGGTGTACTGCTCCCAATTTGAGTTGGCGGCTCCAAGCAAACGCGGGTCCGTGATGGTTTTGTACGCCTCTGCAGGTTTACAAGCAGCGGACTGCTTAATACCTTAATCCTTTGTCAGATTCGAGCGACGTTGACAAGACAAACGAAAGTGCAACAAGGACTTGCGCGACTCGGCCGTGCAAATATCACAATCACAATGGTGGAGAGACGTTGTTCTTTGTTCCAAACCTCTACTTGTACTATTCTCTTATGTTACACAAAAACAACCGATGTCTGGTGCTGGTGCAGGAGATTCCGCCTGCACGCGCTGCTTTTTAAGTCTCCATATTAAACCATTCAAACAAACAAACAACAACTGGAAGCCACAACTTGCACGCTGATCTGCAACGAGGGTCTTGTGGACTTCCACAAGCATATACCGGTGTATACATGGAACAAGCAGGCTCTCCATTGAGGCCGTCTGGAACACTTGGACTTGGACGAGGTCAAGGGTGTTGCTTCTGTTCAAGGGAAGCGACGCCACGATCCAGCCAAGTTGAATGTGATGTCCGTTTAGGGGGGCGAGAACACTCCAATACCAACAACAACAACAAAACTGGAGCTGTGCGCACGTTACCAAAACGTGAGGTCATCCCTTCCTTGCACGACAATTTGGCAAGACAACGGGCGCCGAAAAGGTCAGGGAATGTGAAAAACAACGGTATAATGGTGGTGAAACCCTCAGTGCCTGGGTGCCATCACCAGTATCATTGCCGTAGCTGGTTATACAATCAATCCAACTCACTTGTCCGGTTTGATACCCCTTCGTCGCATTTCAGCATCCACCAAACGAGCCTGCCGCTTGTCGTTCTCGAGGCACAGCGCTTGAAGGACCTTCAGTACAGTACAGTACAGTACAGTACAGTACAGTAGCCAACATCGCCAGCCGGTCGTTTGCAGTTCCACCGCGTTTTCAGCACGTACAGAGGTGAAGGTTATGGACGCGTTTCACCAACTACATATAGTCTACCCTGGTGGAAAAAATGTACGCCGTACAACCCAACGCGACTCATATGCATATAGGTTCATCCAACAAGGGGCGTTAAAAAACTGCACCGTGACGGCCTTTCATTCAACTCGCCTTTGCGCGGAGGGGTGCTGGGTGTACTGTAAATACAGCACTTCTGCAGTACTCTCGCTGGCAACATGGTAGGATGGAAGGGCGGCGTTCCAAAAACAGCCCCGCAAAAGGTCTCAATAATACTGCTGGTCGGGTTCGACACGATATTGCGGTTCCACGGCATCTCTTCGCAACGTCAGTATCAGCAGGGATACCAAGGTCATCCAAGGCTCCTACGTATCTAGCTTGTCCACGCACGAGAAGGGCATAAGAGTCATCCTTACAAACAGCTTGGTCTCTGGTAGGGCAGTGTCCCTAAAACACGCCATCATACGTTGTAGTAACAGTCGCGTGCTACCACTTTCTGCGTTCGCTACTGTGGACATACAGCCAATTTCGGCCCGGCAGCTTCGATGTACGCACATATGGATCTAACCCACGATTCTCGTTAAAAGTCTTGCAACACATCGACGACGCTGCAAGGTATGCGATACGTAGCGCAATGTACGAAAGACTTACATGTATGATGCTCAGTAGCAAATGCATATCGAGGAATGATCGTTATTGGAGCCAAGAACCATGCAATCGTGAATACACGCTGGGACAGTCAGTCAGTCTTGCTTCCAAGACAAGATATGACGTGTTCAACCAGTCTCAACCGTCAAACCTCACCAGGTTGTACGAGACGAGCGTAGGCGCCACGCTGCTCCCGTGCCCACTGTCATCCTGCCGCAAATACTTGTTGAACACCTCGATGACACGCAATGTGTCTCCCCCCTGACACAACGAGAAGGAGAGGTGCGCGACAAGAGAGGTTACGTCTACACCACAATCCCGTATTTTACTTACAAGTATGAGTGTTGCACAATGCTTCACTTCACTTAGTTAGAGAGACAAGCCCTAAACGGCGGCTGCAGAGGTCATGACGAGGAGGATAAAATGATACGATGGAACCGGCAGCACATAACCCTGAAAAGCAGACACTATTGTTTCTTTACTCTCATCCCTCAGGGGCAACAAGGACGATATTTTAGGCCATACCTTGGTTAGTCCAGTGAGAATTGAGTTGAACGTATCCGCCCTTGGACGAATTTCGCGCCTGTTCATTTCTTCAAGCAGCTTGAAGGCCCTGTCGTCCAGATTGCGCGCCATGTAGGCAGCAATGCCAACGTTGAAAGTGATCACATCCGGCACTACCCCGGGGAAATCCTGTACGAGCACACAAGAACCGAAAGCGATCGAAACGGCCGATCCAATCCTTCATGAGCCCACCGCCCACACATCTATCGCACACAAGGGCCTAGACGCATGATGGTGTTGGTGTTCTTGAGACGAGGATCGCCCTTGTGTGTGTTCCCCGTCCTCTCCTATGCTGATTGGTCGAGGTCGAGGTCGAGACAGTTTAGTCTATCTTTCGGACTACACACACATCAGCCACGTTGGATATCAACAATTGCGTGGTACCCACGTCAACGCTCAGAAAGGCAACCAATACTCTCAACCCAAACAATCGCCTTGCAAACAGCATCATGACGAAAGGAGCAACGCATGCACATTTCTACACCATGCTCTGTTGGCCGTGGCTGGCTCACCCCATCCAGAGCTTGTTCGAAAGTCTCGATTGCTTCGTCCAGCTTCCCTTGTTTGATGGCGTGATCGATCCGTGCGTTTATCGTGATTCTATCAGGCGCCACTCCAAGACGAGACATGAGGTTCTCTGCTTTCTTTGCGGCAACACGGCTCGCAGAAGACCTTTTCTTTGCAGCTGCGCTGAAGAAAAGGTTGAAGCTGCGCGCGGGGGGAGGAATGATAGGGTTCTATTAACATTATTTTCATCGAACAAGCGGTGGTTTACCGGCATCATCCACCTTTCCTACACTGCACCATCGGTGGCTTCACACAAATAGGCGAAGATGAATGCAACTATTGGTGATGGGGGTGACCAGTGAACAACACCATACCCTTGTTTTGTAATTGTGTCCTCATGGGCGAGAAAACTACGCAAAACGAACGACTACATATTACACACCATACGAACTGCATATGCCACAACACGGAACTTCGAGGAAGGCAGGAAGGAAGGAGCCCTAACCTCCCTTCGTTCGATGTGATTGTCCTAAGGTTGACACCAAAATGATACTTCTAGTAGTACATATGTGATGCTGGCAAGCAAACCACAGCATCAACAATATTACCCATAGAAACACCCCCCGCTCCCTCCTCCTCACCTCCATTCTCTTATAGATCTCACAGATCTTACAGACCAGATCCAACACAACAGCACTGCACAAGTGAGAGTTACATCATAACGCCAGTAGTCCTCGCTACAGCGGAAGAAAAAATAAATTCCGATCGGAGCATGCCATGAAACCAAGCAGACAGTTCCTATTACGAAACAAAAAAAGTGTTTTTTCAAGACCAACGCTTCACTACCAGGCGTTCGCGGCAAATGTCGGCTAGGCAAGCACGCCAGTGCTAGGGATACATGCTTGGACCTGCTCAACAGGGACCGGAGAGCTAAAGCGCACGTGGAACTAAAGGGACCATAAGCGATTCACCCAGTACTGTAGCACCAACAAGTTGAAAGCCTGGTCAAGGCATGTGCGACCTTCAGCAAAATGTTCGGGGACAAACAAGATGGGAGGGAGTGGCCTTGGGTATCCTGCTGGAATGCTTTGCAGCACGCAGAGCAACGAGGAAACTTATGAAGTACAGGGTTTCCATGCCAAAAAAGGTGTGAAACAACGCCCAGAAGAATCGCGATTTTGGTGTATCAAGTATGAATGCTTTTGGAGGATTCTGCAGAGACGGTGGTAGAATGACAGAACAAATGCAGGAATCTTCGAACAGAAACCTTCAACTTCATATGAGCAGCGTCTCACGTGTAGGCGTCGGGGTCGATACCCCACCGGCTAGATGCTCGCTCAAGCATGTCTAGTCCTCCCGCGAAATTCCCATCCTGCGATACAGTACAATAGGCAAAGATCCATTGATGAGACCAAGAGCGGGGGGTGGGGGCGGGTGTACTCATAGTCGTGCATGCCTTAGTCGTTAGGCCATTGACCTCGCATCCCTACAAAGCCGGGACGGAGCACGCCGGGTTCTCAACGGACCAGGCTCTCACATCACCTAACGCGAAGCGCCGTGAGGTATTCGGCGAGTCGCATGGAGGGTGCGCTGCATCTTGCAACGGGTGTTCGGCATCTTGTGCTTACTTCCTCGCATACGGATGACAGCTGCAAATGACTTACCTTTGTTTTGTGGTGCTTTTCAGAGACAGTCATAAGCACTGTGTAACTGCCTCGAGGTTGCTTGACCAATTTGACACAACGTGGTGCGATCATCCCCCTTTCGCGGAGTGAGAGTTTCGACCCCGCACACAATAATCTACTCGACCACCATTATGGCTACCGCATAAACAAAACCTAAGACAAACAAAAGCGGCAACCTGGTTGCCGAGAGCACGAAGTGATCGGCTTGTTTTACAACGTCGTTGCCAAGCGACGGAAACCCCGATGGCAAACACCGGGGGGGGGAGAGGTGCCGAAATTCTCATGTGTCCCATCTACCAGAAAGTAAAGAATTCCGGGTTATCGACCCGAGGGCTGCCGCGGCAGTCTGCTCGCGCGGTTGCTGGTATTGGAGAGAGCAGCTCGTCCGCTAATGTAGCACGCGCTGTCTATGATGCGCTATTGATGAGATGTTTTGTATGGCAATACTGTATTATTTTACGAACATGTTCAAGTTTTGCTTGGTGGAATCGAACAGAGTCCATGACCTTCTGTGCACGAAAAATTGAAATATCGGGGGAGATACCACTTGTGTGCTGCTCGGGAAATCGTTGAAAAACAGAATTTTCGCTGATGCTATTGAATCATTCATTGCTAATCTATTTAAGACTCTTTTCTTCGATAGAGATGGATTCGTTGGGTCAAATTGATGAAATGAAAAAATATGCCTTCGTTGATGGTTGTTCGCACCTGCACCAGAGCAGAAACGACGATATTGAAACAGACATCGCCGAGGTCGACGCCCCTGTCCATCATCTCGGTATAGGCCGAAACACAGCGATCTGCCTGCCTATCCCGCTTTAAGGCATCCAGGAAAGCCCCGGCCGTGTGTTGAGTAGGGCGTTGACCCCTGTCAAGCATAGCCTGCCCCGTCACGTGAACGTGTTGAATAAAGAACGACGAGAACTCGTGACGGTTATGCAAAGACACACAACACTTGCACACACACACACGCGGTAACCTTACAAGGTTCGGAAAAGCCAAGTGCAAATCATGAAACTATATCGTAAGGCCTGTGTGCGGGCTGCCATCTTCGCCAGCACCGACAACACAGCGGGACAATATATTCACCGTTTTGTCGGTTCCCATCCGCTGCTGCACGGCAGGATGCTCCTATATACGTGTAAGGACGTGTGCATAGGACGCCGTGATTCAGATGTGAGTTTTACTACACGCACATGTACTTTGCTGTGTAGTGGACGGCAAAAGAAACTTCCCATTGCTTGAAATTCTAGTACTCCCGGGGGTGTAGCCAAGTTGAAGCCTGGGTGCTCGACACGACAGATCCTTCAATTCCTCACTCAGTTTGAGTGTTCCAACATATCAGACTTGGGCACTGGGCACACCGCTGTGCTGTGTGACTTCATAGTGTACAACACCGAATGCATGCACTATTTTACAACCCCAGACAAGACACAGAAATAATCCGTACCGTGAAAACCTTGTCCGCGAAGATTGGCTGTCCACATCGGCTTGCTGCCTTCAGTAGCACATCTTGAACTTGCAAAGTGTCCGCGACCTCTGGGTCAGCTGTTCGCATCTGCTTCAGATACTCCTTGTCCGCCCCGAGAGACTTCATCGTCGACGCCAGCAGCCTCTTATCGCGTGTCCGAGCAGCGGACAGCAATTTGAAAAAGTACTGCTTGCTCCGTTTCTCTATTGCCACCGAGCGACTCTCCTTTTCCAGAGACATGGAATCAGCACGTGGCGGAGGAGAACGGGAAGACTGATGAGAAGGAGAGCACCGAAGGCGAGGCAAGCCACATCGGGACGATACTACGTGGTGTTGCTGGTGCTTCGCCATGAGTGCATCTCCGACAGGTCTGCATGATCCCACGAAAGCATTCAAGTTGACGGTCATCTGATGTCGCCACTGCTGTGCCCATCAACAATCCTCGTCTGCACTCGTCTCCACAACCTCGTAACCACTTTCCTATTGCCGTGGGAGAAAGCTGCACGACGAGAGAAGAGGAAGGGAGAACATGCAACGACCGATAGGAGGTTGTTGTTGCGTGTTGCGGGTTGATGTTGCACACCAGCAGCAGCCAGCAGGGCAGAGGGGCGCGACAGTACCGAGATGCGGTGCCCCTTCATGAAATCAGATCGCGGTGCCCCTTCACGTTGCGGATGATGCATGTGTCATGATGTGGACAGCACACCAGACACGCTTGTACCAACCAGTGCAGCACCATCGATTTGCTGTTGTTTTGTACATTCGTAGCCGTTATACTCTGGAGATTGCGGCGGAGGATGTTTTCGCTGCTTGTTGGGCGGGCTTTGGGACCATGCCGACTGCATGGAGGAAACGCGATGCGAGTCGTTCTGGGGGCTGTTCGAGGGCACAAGACGGTGGGTACCTTTCCAGCTTTCCAGCAGTAGTAATAGTGTAGTGCAACATCGGTCAAGCTCTGTTCGCGTTCCACATACTCCTAACGCACTGGCTACATCCTCACCTGCCCCCAGGACTTTCCGCCCCGCTTCTCTCCCGCCCCCCGCCACTACATACTAAATAGATTTTTACAAGAGAGTGCCATCTGTTGCATAAGATACCATACCCACCCCCTTTGGACCGATTTTCAAAGGTGGACTACCCGATTACCCTGTGCACTAAACACGGAGTGACGGGGTGCCTTTCATGGAGAAAGTTGTCATTAGATTCTGTCATCCTTTTCCTCATGGAATAATTAATGATCGAGCTATCGGTCCATGTGGTGATTTATTAGTAATCGAGCTATCGGTCCATGTGGTGCTTTAGATGAAAGGGTGGGGTGAGCGGGGTGATTTTCGGATTTTCGTACGTTGCATCGACAGCCACTAACGGACTCACCAGTGAAAGACGTCAGCCTCATCGCGGGGATTATGCGAATTGCGAACACGCTTCCTAGTGCGTGTGCGACCCGTTGTTGTTTGAATAACCGTTAGTCATTTCTTAAGTACAATAAATATAATCTAGAACTCTGCGTTAGACCGCTGGGGTACCATCCCAGAATCCCAGGGCAGAGGGGTCGACGCGGTAGTCGAGTCTCAGGTTCCAGCAGCATGTGTTTCTTTCGATCTGGGTAACATGTGCAGAATCGCCTTCCATATGCGCCCGGGTTGCCCTTAATCGCGGTCAAACCTCTTGCTGTTGGAAGCCACAGGATGAGTATCTTGTTTACACCAGTTTGGATTTAGATTCACTCGTCGCGCTTCCTTAGCCAAAACAGAAGTTGAAGGTTATGTTGTACAACCTGGTGTTTTGTCAGAACGGTTAGAAAGATCAAAGGGGGCACCGTAAGTGAGAGAGAATCGATAGGTAGGTACATGTATAACGAAAGGAAAAAAAACGAACCGACGATGCTCTTGCTCTCGTTCTCTGTCTTTCCATGTGTCGCTCTCGCCAACAACATGCTTACCTCGGCTTAACCGGTCGTTCCGTGCCCTGCTGCTCAGCAGCCAGAGACACGCTTACCTTGACCCTACTTGTACACCATCATGTGCCTTCCCATGCCCCGCTTCAGCCTAGAACACGCTACCCATGTCCAGCTTCCGCCCGAGACACGCATACCTCGGCTTCAAAAAATGAAAATAAAACGAACCGACGATGCTCTTGCTCTCTTTCTCTGTCTCTCCTCGCTTCCGTACACTCGCTTCCTCCTTCTTCCTCCTCTGTCTCTCTTCTACTCCTCCTCTTATTTGCTTGTTGTCTTGCTCTTTCGTTCAGATGTTTCTTCTGTTGTGAGCAAGGTGCATCTCTTTCCTTTTTATTTTCCTTTCGTTATACACACCTACCTATCAATTCTCTCTTACCTACGGTGCCCCCCGTTGATCTTTCTAACCGTTCTGACAAAACACCAGGTTGTACAACACAACCTTTCACTCTTGTCTCTCACTTCCCATTTTTTTTATTATTGTGTCGCCGCGCAAAGGCCGGGTCTTGGAGGTGGAACTCTCCCCCTCCCTCCCGGCCCTTGAGCCTACTAGGGAATCCACACGCTTCCGTAAGTAATAAGAACCAGGCTGACCACATTCCGCTGGTCGCCCAGCTTGGACACAAACCTCCCCATCACGAAGTCTTGTTCTTCTTACTTTTGGATTCCTCTTCCCGATTTCTTCCCCATTCCGTCCCTTGCCCCGGTTGTCTCTCCAATACCCTTTCGCCTCCTTCCAACACCGCCGACACCCATGCTGGGTCTTGCATATTCGCCCTTACGTATGACATTCGAATGCGTTCGACGACCACCTCCCTTCCTTCTTCATCACAGCCTCCGGTACTCCTTTCGCGGCCAGCCTCGTCGCCCCACCTATCCTTCCCGAATGTAACGCAAACTCTTCCGGTTTTAGCGTAGCCCCTGCCCCTTTCCCTTCCTTCGACCACATCTTTGACACCGCTCTTATCCCCTGCCTCATCTGTTCTGTCGCCTTCCCTCTCTGCCATACCTCCCACTTCCCTTTCCTTCTGTGTACCATCAATGGTGCCGTTGCACTTAATCCTTCACTTCCATAAATCCCGAATAGTTCCAGCATCAATTCCACCGCTCCATTCGCCCTCCCCCTCTCCTTGACCATCACCGCTCCTTTCCTCCCTTGGTCTCCCTTCGAGCCTCTCATCTGCACTTCTATCTTATCTGCCCTTAACCTCTCCGGTCCTTCCAGCTGCTTATCGCCCTCGAAGAATGCCACGTCCCCC